GAAATTTATCATTCTATAACAGCTTCTCTTTTGTCTATATATATCTTCAAGCAGTTTGAACTGTTAGGCACATATGATTGCTATGTATGTTGAGACATTTTAGTTCTTAGGGTAACTACCCCATGCCTCTTTCACATTTTTATTATATCCATAGTTCTGTCTAAAGATGTTTATGGTGTCTATAGCAGTTAGTGCTTCATATTAATTTTATCATCAGCTTGTAGCGCTCTATCTAGTCAAGAGATTGACATTGATCAGAAATAGTATACAAGTGACTTGTAATACCTATATATTTTTATAACTACTAAATGCATGTTTGAATTTACAAAATGACCTTTAAGGGTGACATATTTGTAAATGACATCAAGGGTTATACAAATAGTTGGTGATCAGCCTACAAATAATAATACCAGTCTTTCTTTTTATCGCTATCTTATCATTATAAATGTTCATTGTCTGTTTAGTTGTATTGTCGTATTTGTCGAATATTTTATTTTTGTCTTGACGTTAATATTGGAATGTTTTTTTCCTCGGGTCTTGCAATAAAAACAAAGAACGTACACTTGTGCATGCAATAAGTAGGTATTGCATTTTGCATATTAGTGAATTATTTTTTATTATTTGCTACTTGTACAGCTATTTATACCAAAGTCATGTGTGCCTTGCATACATTTGTAATTAAAATGTAGTTATAAATACATTAAACATATGTAAAACTAAATTTTATATTTGTCTTTGCATAGTAAACTTTTTACGTCATAAGAATTATTTCTGTAACTGTAATATATACATTATAAAGAAGCATCTCTAATGCAGGTTGCAATCTATGTACATGCTTGCGTTACGCTGCGATAAGACGCGGTGCGTTAAATTCACTAATATTTTTAGAGGTACAATATCCAGATGTGCTATGCAGTTTGATGAGCTGAGAGACAGTGTATTGTTACTCTAATTTTAAAAGTATTGGCGATATACCTCACCGCATCGCAACGCAACGTGTTGCAAACGTCGAGATGTTATATTAGTATTACTGCAATACTGTATCGCCTTCCACCGCATTAGACCGCACGCATCCGCATGTTGCTTTAAAGGTCGCGAATATGACTCAAAAGATAGCAACGTTTTCTTTAGTAATAATTGCCTGATTTAAAATTTGTTTGTTTATGATAATGTTTGTATAAATAATTCAGTTGCAAACTAATTTTATTACACATTTACTAACCGATATGTGTGATACTGTAATGAATATACCCTTGATTTTGATATTAATGAAAATATAAAGGTTTTTGTTTTTTAGCCAAGTAATACAGTGTTTGTTCCATCGAGGGTCGAATAAAATAATTATTTGAAATTATAACATTCACGATATAAATTACGATAGACGGTGAATACACGGCAGGTCAACGTCAACGAGAATGTGAGCCCATGTTTAAGATTTTGTACCCATTATCATGTCACGGATATCTAAATAAAAACATACTCGCTTTGGACTCGCTATTTGTTCTTCAGTATATCTAAATTTAAGAAATTCATTGTAATAATTAAGTACATCTATACAATAACCTTTATTATTTTTATTAAAGTTAAATGTGTTTTCATATCACTAAAATTATTATTTTAACTAGATTTAATGTAAAAATAACAGAAATCTTGTGACATATATATTGACGCGTCTTAATATATTCATTTTGAACTATTTATAATATTGAGTCGATATTTATGAAATATTTATTACATATTTTTATTGTAATAGTTTGTTACCTACGAGAGTAATGTAGTATGGTTGCCACGGGTACTTACAAGGTAATGTGTAAATATAATCCTGCCACAACACTAACTAAACATAAGTATTCAATGACTCGCAGTAAACTAGTGATACGAAACACGGAGTTCCACTATTGTCTTTAACCTCTGTGGCCTCAGCTGACATATTATTTGCATTATTTATTTCGCCTTTTTTTCGTGTAATAGTAGTACCATTTAACACAATTCGTTGTATATATTAATATACGTTCTGAACTGCAAACTGGCCACGTATGCGTACATTGTGAATTGTGTACCTACGAATGGGCGCTGATAAATTTTATCTGTCGAATTGTGTCAACAGCTATATCTGTTTTGTTATTGTAGCCCAATAATACATGTAAGTACCTATTAATTTAAAGTACCATGGGAGAAAAAAATATTTTCTAATAAAATTTGTTTTCGTTTTACATAGAAAGTTTTACCTCAATTTTATTGTATATATTATTGGCATATATATGTGTTTAATGTGCGGAACTTAGGCAACATTTCTTTCAACCTTTTTTTTCTTTAAATATAATCGCCAGGATTTACTATTCTCATTTGGTCTGTCATAAAAATGTCCTATTTATGTATACTCTCTAATAATGGTTTTTAGAACTCATTTAACTTCAATTTATCTAACTGGCCAACTACGAGTACTGAGTGAACTTACCATACCAGATGGGCATCCATAGTACCTAAGGACTGTTTTTTTTTTGTAATTTATGTTTTTATTATTCTATCTCATTTTGAGATAAGTGTAATATAATTATGTTTAATTATAATAATACGTATTTTTTGACGGAATTTTCTTATTGTTGTATTTGAATAATAAGAAAATTCCGTGGTTCAACTAAGCCGAAATACATTTCCTAATAGGCTAGTACCGCGTTAGATGAACGTTTCTATAAAATTTATTTGTTTACAAGAGTATAAACTAATTTTAATGTACGGTATTTGAAGGTTATTTTTTAAAAGAAATTTGAAATATGTAGGTATTCGAATACTAAACTAGACGAAGTATGCTACTAAATGAATATCCGATTTCGATAGAGATTTGATTGCGTGCGTGTTTCATAAAAAAGTTAATTTTACGCAAACATTGCACGGATGGTTAAATTAAACGCTTTTTAGTACATAGAGAACTGGCAACATAATTGACACGTACTTACAAAAAAATTAAATGCGCTATGTTTAAATTTGGAATGGTAATTTTAAATTAACATTAATTATTAAAATACTCCTTTTAATATTGTAACCGATTGTACAGTGAAAAGATAAGTAAATTGTGGTATGTGTTCAACAGCTATCGTTAGCATTACGTTATCAAATATTATAATATACTGGTGTATTGTTTGTGTAGTATTTTATTATATTGCTACTATAATAGCTCGTTAGTAATGAGTTGCTGTTGAAATTTCAGTTCGCCTCCACCGTAACGCTGACGCTGAATTCTGTGTAATATTTCGCCAAGGTTAAGATATGTACTTACATGTATTTGCCGATATGAGTACAGTCCTGTATTAATTAACCGTATCATTTAACAGCTGTGCATACAGCAGTGTTAATAAAATTAGTCAACTGTATGCGACGTGCGTTCGTACATCGACGTGAAATTTAGAAACCTTTAAATTTTAATATTTCTGTAATTTATTGTACTTTATTCATAAAATTTTAATATTTCTATAATTGTAATTGTAACTGTTTTTATGTGCAATAAACGTTATTATTATTATATTATCGGTTATTATTTAGTTTGTATTAATGGAATATTTCTATATTTATAATTGAAAAATCTCATCTAATCCTAAGAGTATAGTCACTCAATTGATCACATTCAGTTTCCACCAAGCATTGCGTGCGTTGCTATTTAGGTGTGTCACTGAATGCTAAAATGATAGAGGATTACACAGTGAAAGCGTCTCAGCCAGTGCTCACATTCTGGAAGTAGAGGCATAGATACAGGATAGCTGTGAACAGTATTATCGACATCATCGTTGTTCTTTGAGTGATATGCACAATATTTCTTCTAGTTCTCAAGATTTAATTTTGACTAATACTACATTTTAGGTTTGTGCACGAATCTGTAATCCTCTGTATGCATGTAGTTGTCTGTGGTAGAATTCTAGTCGCCAACGCAATCTCTGTCACTGTTTCCAAGATGATAATAGAGTTATCAAGCATGATGGTTGTAATTGGGGATTATAGCTCCAATTTCAATTTCAATATCAATAATAAATGCTATTAGATACAGTAAGCCGTTTTTTTCCGTCAGAATTTTTCGAAAACTGCTTACATGGGACACTAAACTCAGGGACGTTATCGAAGTATGAATTGGTGGTGGGGGTAAAATCGCTCGGCGTGATTTATCCTATCAAATGACGTTTCCCACCATTGGTCCAATATTGCTCCTGATTATAATGTCGTACGTAGGCTTTTACTTTAACAAAAATGAAAGGAACTTGTCTATAATACACATTTAATTTATTTTGATAAGTTTAACAGACAACTGTTCAACTTAGGTATTACATTCCGTGTTTACGTAAACAAGGCTATATACAGTAAATTTAAAAATTGTTTACAATTTACACAAGCGTCGTAAGTGTAATAACTTTTTGACGACCATGGTGGCGTAAGGTTTATACATTATATATTATACATTATATGTTATTATACATTATATATTATTATACATTTAATATTGTCTCGCCAAGGGAAACTATTCCTGACGACTGTACGAATGATGATATGGCGAGAAATGCAATGAAAGAAAATAGTATTTCTACTCCTATACATATCTGTAGGTATATATCTGACTGTGCATCATGAAAGGAAAAGTTTTTACGCTACTCTATGACCTTAATTCTACTAACAGTACTTAGCAGCGATATGGGATAAAGAACACTATGCCTGATCCCATATCACTTTTTTATCACTATCCCCACCATCATAGTACTGGGAAACAGAAAATACTTCTCTATTAAATAGAGTAGTATTTTCTGTCTTCTGCGAAAATGATACAAATTATAACGTGCTTAAGAGAACATACATTATTGTGATTTTGTGTATAAACTCCGTTTAGTTAGGATTTAGATGATATTACCGCTGTGTTAAGTATATTTTGGTTTCTGGTTGGCTCAACAGAGAATCATCCCCGTAGACAACTGCTACGTCTCCACAATACTTGATATGCTTATATTAAATTTGTTTCTCAGATCGCTGTGGGTCGCAATACACGGGATCACACGATCGACGTGAACTTGAGCCTGGAGGGACCCGCTGCTAAGGTGTCAAGGAAGCAAGCGACGATCCGCTTACGTAACAGCGGCGACTTCTTTATGTCATCAGAAGGAAAAAGGCCAATATTTGTGGACGGTCGGCCTGTGCTTCAGGGGAACAAAGTGAAGCTGAACCACGACAGTGTTATCGAGGTTCGTTTGCATTATTTACTCTGCTTTATTAAAGCGGTTGAAAATATGTTAGGTTAGGTTACTTAATTACCTTCTTAGTTACACTGTAATTTATAATTTCATTTTCATATTTCGAAGAAGATGTTATCTTTGTATAATGGCTTCAAAGATCAACTACAATGTTATTTGAACAATTCCAGTACTTATGTTTTTATAGAACAATTTAATATAAATAGGGCACAAATTTAGAAACTATTACAGTACATATGTTTTGCGAATAATATGGCGTCCCATCCGTGACTAAATTAGTATTGGACCGACACTGAACTCTATCGATCGCAAATATAATCATCAAAATTGGATATGACGTCGCGTACCATCAATTCGAGTATATTTTGTTATACACATATAACATTGAAAATATGTTGTTTTTGAATGTCATTGAAATTGCAAACACCTGATGGTAAGTGGTATCCATCGACTATCTACATGAACAACATTACTGACATCACGCTATCATGTGACGCCCATGATATTATGCATGCGTTGCTATTCAGGTGGATTACAATGGTATGTACCCTGTAATTTCACTGCCATATCGCACCCCTTCACCGCATCACATCTCATAAGCTATTTAGTGGTATCACATCTCATAAGTATTTAGGGGAGGTAGAGGTACCCACTCATACGAATTTATATAAAGTCTACACCGTAGTTGTTTAATGTCGTTTGATAATAATATATTGTATTCCTCAACAGATCGCTGGACTCCGTTTCGTTTTCCTCATAAACCAAGAACTTATCAACGCAATTCGCCAAGAAGCTGTTAAAGTTAATATTCCTGTATAAAAATAAAACAATAAATGTTCAATAAGTGATAAATGCATTTTTCTTCAGAACACATTTATTTGGTCAATTTTAGAACATATTTCAAAACTTGTACACTCAAAAACATATCTTATATCAATAGATATACAATTACCAATGTATTTGTTATAACATACGTACGTAGATACCATCTAATTTTTTACACTGTGTATTATTATTGATATTAAAACTATCACGAAACACTATCACGTGCGTTACTGGCATAAGATATGCATTAACGTTATACGACAAAACAAATAATTTCTTATTATTTCATAACAAATTCCATAACCCTTAGTGTTTTACTATAACCACAATAAATTATCAGCTATACAATCACAATTTTCAAAACAAGATCAACAAAGTGCAGGAACCATAAAAACTCAACAATTCACTCAATTGTGCATAACAAACATACTATAAAAGGTAAAGGAAAATAATATTCTCTGATTAAGGAAAGACCAGTCACTGAAATGTATTAGATTACATACACTGTACATGATAACTCGAATACATTTATCTGTAACTGACCATTCTAACTCATTGCCCTTACACCTTTGTACATTTAAGATTTACTTAGTAACTAATAATCATACCTATTGTATGAAAATAATAAGTAACCTATATAATAAATAAACAGTCCAATAACGCTTAACACGCCTATAGTAACAAATTATGTATATGAAATAGTATTCAGTAACTAAACGATTATAGTTAACTACGAAGGCAACACTTGCAAAATATGCATGTATGATTTAAAAGCACATTATTTGGTATATTTATTTAACACCCTGTACATAGTATAAAAATAGTGTTTCATATTTCATTAAACCTCATTAGGCACGATCAGGCAAACAATTATAGAATGCGAAATTCTGGTATACGAGATCAATATATTTCATGAACGTCCAAAAAGTAAATATGGTCTTATATGCGATTTAATATCATTATCAATAAGCCCGATTAAAAGGCACTCTAATTTTTATACATATTTTAGAGTCGATGCGACAGGTATAGTGGAATAGTGGCAGGCAATAATATTGATATACTTAATATTATTATATATATATATATATATATAGGTCTAAATATTCGGTAGATATATGAAAATTCGATAACAATTACATCTTGTAAATATCCATGGATTTTCCAAGAACCTTTATATTTTGAGTATTGGCTTTGGTTATTTCACGCTATTATTTTATTACCCTACATAACTATACCATACTATTACAATACCACATACAAACCATTGACCAACAACAAGCATTCTTTAGGAATTTTCAATAAAATTAACAGTCACAGATTTAGGTATATTTAGTGTGCATTCTTTGTACTTCAACCTTTAGTGTAAAAGCACACCTATCTCGCAATTCGAACAGGTTATTTTAATGTGTGCTTATAATTTACATGAGCAATCAGTGATCATCACCGGTGGAATGACCATAACCATAATAACAATTATCTAGATATCATCTGTATTTATGCTAATACACAAAAAAAGTAAAAAAAAATACTATGGGATAAATATATGATTATTATGTCTGCATTAAAAGCGCCAATACAGCATATAAAATTTTGAAAGAATAACAAAACAAATAACTCTAGCTAGTGTTTAGGTACATATACACGAGACCTTATAAAATATTTTGAAATCCATCTTATTGTTTTTCAAATACTTAATACTTAGTAATAATAAATTTTAAACTCAACATATTAAATCTATATACACACTTCAACAGAATCACCTTAACATTTAAAATATCAATAAAATTATAATCGAAACACATGATAATACTTATTATGGCTATACACATGCAAAAATGTGCAAATTTTATGATAAGTAAACTTAAAAAACAAAAAGGATCTACCAAAAATGGAATGACAGTAAATATTATTATAAACTTTGATAATACATTAACAAACCTATAGAAATCAGATCCAATTGCACAAAAAAAAAGCTATTACATATTTTGTCTTTGTTTTTATATCACACTTAGTACAGAATTTGGCTTGGTTTTCTAATTATCTAAGGTATTTACATAGTGAACTAATATGGTTAACTACTTATATTTTATTAAAATATATAGTTGAATTCTTAGGAATGCATAAACAAGACCAGCAATCGGGGTGGGATATAAATATTCATTGCAAAAATCTATGTATATGTGTCACTACATGCATTCAGTGGTTTTCATCAGTTTGGTGACCTACAGAAAAGATTCATTCTACAGTTACAAAAAAGAATCTCTGTTAAACAACTACTTTCAATATGTTTGTTTTAATCTGATAGTGCACTTCAATTGACCGCTCGAAGAATCCTCCAATTTAGGTGGCGATATAACAAATTTCGCACTTTCTATAGATTTATACTTCTGAAATTTTTCAGCAAAAACATATGTATTTTTTCTGTGACTAAACACAGCTTTCGATTTTCTCTTAATTGCCATTTTGTCGATAAAATTGTTTTTTTCTAAAAATACCCATGGTTGCCACTTACGTCCCGTTAGGTCGGGGTTAAATGTGGAGCGCGTCTTTGGTGTACTAGCATAATGCGATCCATTTTCATTCTTTTTTATCACTACTTTGGGAACTGTTTTTTTAACTTTTTTACTCTTTTCTTTGAGCATTTTAAATTGAATTTCATCTATACTTTTTAAAACTTCTTCAAACTTTGGTTTATGTTTCTTTGGAATTTCTTTTTTTAAATTATTATTATGTTTATTTGTCTTTGGTTCTGTTTTCAAAATTTTTAATTGTCTTAGTTTCAATAAACTATGTTGTGGTAATGGTAGTTTTATTTTAAGATCTTGAAATGTTTCTTTTAAAGGGGGAATATATTTCTGGGCTGCTTTTGTAATTAAGGGCCGACTCGGAGGTACATTATAATTACCACTACTACAGTGAAGGGAGTCTTTAATGTGTTTTGGATTTATTTGTTTGTTATTAGTTTCAGATTCATCATCACTATATTGTGAACGTTTTGATACTTTTAAGGTAGTAATTTTTAACAGCATAGTTGAGCTCTTTTCTTCAGATGTAGTTGATGATACTTCTGGTGAACTAGAGGTGTTATATGTAGTGAAGTCCTCTTTTTTATTATAATTAAATACATTATCAATGCTGGATTCACAGGAATGTATAGTATCGTCTTGCATTTGTATATTCAATACATTTGACTGTATGATTCTCTCTGATTCGTCTTTAAAATCGTTATTGAATTCCACATTGTCAGTAATGACGCTAGCAGAACTGACGCTTTCTATATCACTTATGCTTTTAACATTAACGGACAAAGTGGTCAATAAATCGGGAGAGTTCAATTTATAGTCTTCTTGGTTTGATCCGGTGAGAATATTTTCCAAGGAATCATTATTAAAGCATTTTTCAAATTCTTCGATCATATGGCATTCTCTATTAATTAGTGTTTTATTGACGTCCATTTGAGGCGTTCGATATAAAGTTTCAACAAATTGAGCATCATCGTTGCACATCTTATCGCCATATATATATTTCACTTTGTCTCTATGTTGATTACCAATAAAAATTTCAGTATCTTCATCTTCTGAAGAATTAATTTGTCTTGGAGATGAAGTATTACTAACTGTTATATCTTCGACTACATCGTCACTTACTACTGTTTCCACGCAAGCTACATCCTCTACCCATGGTTCCTGTTCCTCAAAAGATTCATCGATATTTTCTACACACTCAGAAAGTCTATATTTATTATCTTCGGAATACACTTCTATTTTGGAGGGTGAACATGTGATTTCATAATCTTTATTAGTCATATCACCCGTGTCTTCTGATATTTCCGTAAGGCATAGTTTTTCTTCTTCATTTTCTTCTGTTATAATGCAATTATTATCAATCAGAATACAAATAGATACGTTCTCTTCATTATATATAGAAGATATAGAATTTCGTCTAATATTTTGAATACTGCAAAAATTATCGTCTAACAACGGTTGTTCAATTAAATTATGTAAATTGTTTTTTCTTCGTTTGCTTTGCCAATTCAATTTAAAGTCATCGTTACTATCGTCTTTAAACCTATCTAACGCAGAGTCTGAGAACGCTCTTTTAAGACATGTTTTTTCGGATGTACCTAAATTTTCGGATTCTACAGAATATTCTATAACGTTTACAAAATTTTTATCAACATTACCTCCATGTTCTTTATATAATTCCTTTGGTAGTACAGTAGTATTTTTTATAATATCTGTGCATGTACTATTCGTATGAACATAATCCTCAATATTAATAATGTTTTCTGTAGCAATTATACATGTTAATTTAGGACTTTCTATGGACTGTTCACATAATTCCGAATTTTGTTTTGAAACTGTGTTTGATAAAAGAGCAGTAGTTTCCAAATTTTTAAACTTATTACTACTGTCATTTACTTGCAGCACTGAAAACATTTCTTCGTTATTTGCAGAATTATTACCCTCCTCCTGATTATCAGTAACAATTTCTTTAATAATGGAAATGTCTTGAATGTTACTATTCGATACTATCTCAAAATTTTTATTCTCATACTCCATACTATTAGATGTAGTATTATTTGTGTCGAAATTGGTCTTAATAGTGAAACAGGTTTGAGAAGAAAGTGTATTATATACAATGTTTTCACACATCATTAATTTCTGAATCCATGGTGAAAATAGTTCTTTCCTAATACGATAAGGTATTTTTTTAATATCAGTAGTAGAAGATAGATCGAGTGATTTGGCCATGTCACTGTCTGTAATAGAATGACATAAAGAATTGTTTTCGACATTTCTATAATTTGTATTATCAGTTTTTTCATTGTGTATAAAAATATCTTCATTCGTTTCGATTAGTTTCGCTTCAGGTATTATATTTTTGTCATTAACTATAATTTTAACATTTGAATCTAATGAAAAGTTAGAGGTAGCAAAAGTCGTACTGTTTGAAGAACTAATTTCAGATACAAAACATTCTGATGAAATTTCGTTGGTAATTATATTAGGAATTTTTATTTGTGATTTTATACTATCTACATTCGTAGTATTAATTTTTGAACATGTATTATGATTATTTAACTTATTATGCACACTTGGACCATTGACTTCTGCTTCATCTTGATGGGGCGATAACAAAACGTCATATAAATTAGTTGGTTTCATTTCTAGTCTTTGATTTTGTAGCTCAGTCGTATCTACACATATTGTTTCTAATACTTTGTCTGTGGAGTCAGATTGATATTCATCGTTAGTATTTGTATTATTTAGTTCTATAACTGTGTCATTTCGTTTACAAAGTAGTTGTTTTGAAAGTACGTGCTGAATATTTTGATCTTGTGAATTATTTTTACTAGGGTCTGTTGATATTTCAACATTGTTTGAAATTAGTGAATACTTTTGATCGTTACAAATCAAATTCTTCAGGTCCACATCATGAATTTCTTTTTCATGCGTTGATGATATTATATTTGTAAAACTTGACGGGTTATCATTTGTCTGTAAAATTGGCACCATGTCTGTGTCATGTATATTTGTTTCATTTTTTGATTCAATTTCTTCTGTACATTTTATCATACAGAAATCTGCCGTTTTTGAAGTTATTGTATTAGAATCTATGTCTTCTGCGTTATCTTCAACAATAGAAATATGTGATTTGTTTATTGTTTTTTCGATTGCGACAATATCGCGGCAAGTTGAATTGTTAGTGTCTGTGTCTTTTGGGATGTCTTGAACAATAGAAGCATTGTGAGCAGTATTACTTGATTTTCCTTCTGTATTTGTTTTCAAGGAAATGTCAATAATTTCAGAAAGCATATTATTAGGGTCAACTTTCTCATTAACCATGAGAATACTGCTTTCTGAATTATCATCAGTGGTACGGTTTATCTGAATTCGATCAATATTAATTGATGTTTCACAAGCAATTTCAACGTCTAATTTGGAAATATCCACATTCAATTTTGAAATATTTTTTTTGGCATTGTCTGTTATTCCTTTTTGATCCTCAGTTGCTACTGTGTTTTGACGATATGCTGACATCAGTTCAGAAATATTTTGTTTATCTGATACCGACTTCACGTTCGAATCAGTACCTAAGACTGTTTCATTAATATTTAGTAAATCATCCACATTTAATTTCGTGTTTGATTTTGACTTATCTTCTAAATTTGTATAATTACTGGTTTGATTTGTACTAGTTCTTATATTTAAAGACTGTTTGTCATGCATATAGTCTTCTGTTACAACTTTTAATGCGCCAGATACATCCTCCGTTGAATTATGTTCACATACAAATTCATTTGGTAATGCAGGCAAATTTAAGTGATCATTTTCTGTTAAAGATGTGACTCTATTACTTCTATCTTTATTATCTTTATGACTGTCTTTGAGATAATTTTCTTGTTTAATGTCTACATTTTCAGATTGATCATTAGTGAAAGAATCTGTATCATATTGAGTACACAAATCAACAGGGTGTAATGAATTAACTGCTGGATTCATTAGCTTTTCAGTCATTAAATCTTTATCCGGTGGACTTGTGGATGTAGGGCATATATTTTTTGATTTACTTATACTGAAGTCAATCGCAATATCCTCCACTCCTAGACGTTCGTCAGAAATAGAATTAACTTTATTTAGTGGACTTCTACAGCTAGGCGATAAATTTACTGGGTAAATTTGAAGGTTTTCTGTTAATTTATTAACAGGACAGAGAGTGTCTTTATTATTGTCATTAATTTTAGAATTGTCAGGATTTTTAATAATCACACTATCCGTTCTTAATGTTTGTAAACATGGTTGCATATTATTCACATTAAGTTCAGAACCTTTCTTTATTTTTCTATATTTACTTAATTTGGAAAATTCTCGTTCTGATTCAATGCTAGGAGATTTGACAAATTGACAACTTATTTCCGATTCAGACTGAAAATTGTTTGTAGTATGTTTTAATATATTCTCAGAATTATTTGATATTGAAGTTAAGTCTTTGGTTGTAGTAATAACAGTTTCTACTTTATTTGCATTAATAAACTGTTGATTTACTTCAGTAAAATTTAATTCAATGTCATTGTCAAGTCTTGGTAATGACGCCAGACTAATACTAGAATTACTCTCTAAATCCTGCAAAGAGTAATTGTTTTTTCCTGATTCTACAATATCATTTGCAGCAAACTGTGTATTGGCCATTTTACAACTGGGAATTTTTAAATCTTCATTTGATGTTAAGTGACTAAGTGATTTTACTCCTTTGTGATTCAAATCAACATTTTTGTTAATGTCATCTACAGTGTGGATACGGTGTTGGGTCAAAATAAGTGGATTTGTTACTTTTTCTATGACTCTTTCTCCTAAAACAGTTTGAGCTGGTGTTGCTACTTCAACATTTAACATTTGTGGACTGCAAGGCTTTATCTCAAAATTGCATCCAACCTCTTTATGAATTACTGATTGACTAATTTTTGCTTCAACATCCAAGGGTGACACGGAACGTGTTGTTAATCCTGTTGTCTGATGTGATGCAGTCCCTTTTATAGGCATTGGGTAACGAATATCTCTCTGAGAGGGATGCTTCATGGTATAATTATTTTTCTTTGATGATTCAATTGCTTCCTCAAATTGATTAAGTAATTCAATACTATTATAACCTTTAATATTTTCAGGCAATTTTGAAACTTTTTGAATATGATCATATTTACTAAGATCTTCATTTGGAACATTTACTAATCCCAGTACATAAAGTTGATCTTGATTCTTTGCTAGATCCTTGTGAACAGTAATTTTGTTTGCGGCATTTGTATGTGATGGAACTGTAATTTCTTTACTACAGTTTTCATTATTTTCATCATCGCCTTCATTCCACATTTGCAAAAATTGTCGAACATCAATACCTTTTTTCTCTTTAGAACCTCCAGGAGCATTTAATTCTGGTTTAGACATCATAGTTGGTCTTGTTGTTGGTAAAAATCGTGGATCATATCGTCTATAAAAGTCACTTGACATCCTATTAATTCCTAAGTCCATGCTTCGTATGCTTGTTGTTGGAGATTGACTCACATAACCACAGTCTTCTTGAGAATTCAAATGTGTTTGCATTGTATCATTGCTAGTATTTGAATCAGATGGGGATATTGCTATAGTATGAGGTGAGATTTGAGACATATTTCTTGATAAAGACATTGATGAATCCATATTTCTATAATGTGTCATGTTATATTCATAATTTTTAAAAGTTGTGTTTTCTTTTCTATAATATGGATGTGGTAGTGCATGCATGTTTACTGTTGGATAATTAGGCATACATTGGTTTTTTGTATGATGTGGTTTTGATATTTCATTTACATAAAAGTTTTCAGGTGGTACAAATGGTTTTGATCTACTATTATCTACATAGTCCACATATACTTTACTATTATCATAAGATAATTTGTTTGCAGATATAGACTTAACAGAACTTTCTGGTGGTAATGGATATATTTTGTTTGGAACATAATTTCCTAACATTGGCCCATAAGTGGGATGTGTTACTTGGTTACGAATCGGAAAGTTATAGTTACCTTGTGGATTGGACCTTTGGTATCCATCTACAATAGGTTCAGATATTCTGCCATCAAAATATTTTAAAGGAATTTGTGGGTATGGATTATAAGGTGAGGGTAAAGATTTTTGCAAATCATATTTATTAGGTGGGAATGGTGGCATTGGATGGAATGGGTTTGAATAATTACCAATATATTCATACCTTGTTTGAGGATAACGTTCCTTGATTGCTGGATACGGTTGATAACGTTTATTACCATCACAGCCATACAGATCTGCATATACAAGCCCGGGATCTTCATGAGTTGTCCTATGTTGCCTATTTATCTGCACTGGTCTAGGACCAGCACAACTTGCATAATCAGGATACTGATACAGTTCTGGCCCACTATAAGGCTTCCCTGTCCTTACAATTGGTGGCCACCCATTGGGAGCAGTTTGTGCAAGCACTGGATTAACATTTGATGCACGTATTTCTGTGTTCCGAACACTGTTTTGGTCATTATTTAAGTTATTAATAGTATAAGGCACATCACAATATTTGGTTTCGGCAGGAATGTTTGATTTCATATTTTTCTGAATTAAACTGGGATCTTCATTTATTCTCCCAGTGTGATAGCTTGGTGGCACCATGATGCGTTGCATATTTTCCTGGAATGTTTGACGAGGTGATATATTTCTTAATGGAGTTTGGTAATTGGATGTTTTGTGAGGATAATCTGGTGGGTATTGGTATGGATTCTCTGCATACGACCATGATTCGTAGGCACCTTTTTTTAAATCATTTGAGATTAATGGCGGCAATACTCTGTCCGGCCCTATAACGGCGCAAGGCCGTGTCGGTACATCCATTTTACCCAACTGGTTTGAAGTGACATCTTGGTATGGCTTGTTTCTGTTGCATGATGGAACGCTGCTGTTTGCAGGGAACTTGATACCATCGTTGATTCGATCTCCAAGAGTAGACTCACTTCGCGAATCTTTAATATCCATGGTCGTTGCAAATTAAACAGACATCCTCCTTTAAAGCCACCATTTTTCACTAAAAACCTTTAATAGTTTCTCTTCAATACAGCGTTTAGACGTCACACAAAATGTTTTTCATCCTGCAACATAAACAAAATATTAGTAAATTCAACGAAATGACAAATGTCAAAAGACAATGCCACATAAACTTTTGTGCTTGAAGTCAAGGTTTTATTACAACTTTTGTAAAGAGTAATTATTTGCTTCAATACCTTAACTATTTCAGAAAAAACTTTCTAACATCAATATTATTTCCTTGGAGACACCGATTTAATATGTTCCCACAATTCCAAAACTATCGTCTATGGTATAGATTTATAATGACAGGGTCGTAGACAGTGGAGAAGAGCAATGTTGCCAAGCTAAAAAAGATAAATATTTGTAAAGGCCTATTACACACTGTACCATATTAATACATCAGCCACTGAGTAAATTATCACCATTAACATACAAACATACGCCTTATAACTTACAACAGTTATGTTCATTAAAATAATCATAGAAATCTGTTTCAAATAGCAAACTTGGATACATTTGGCGCACTTTGATTTATGGATTTATTATTGAGTTCGAAGAGATCGCATATATAAATGTCAGTTCATAGTTAGGAAGATAAGTTACGAAATTTCATTTTCTTCAATAATTACTAATGCAAGAAATTTTGGTAATAATATTGTTTTTGTCCTATTCCTATAAAAAATCATTCACCTCTTTATCTATAGAGAATGAGAACTTTGCATCCAAATGAAAGTTTAACTAAAGTTTCGTTTTTATTGATAAACTCAAAATTGTAATTGGATTAGTCAAAATGTAACAATAGAGTTTAATTGATTTTATTTTCCATTGTAATTTTGGTCTGTCTTCTCACTCCTATTATTGAACAGATTAATTTGTGTAAATAGCGTTTAGGTTTTGACAGTGATCGTTAGAATGACATTACTGACAGCGCACAGTTTCAGTATACAGTGCCGAATATTTATATTTGAAAATCAACAATAATATTTAATTAATTTTATTTAAGATGAAGTATATATCTGTTACTTTAATACTTTCTTTAGTTTTTGCTGTGTATATTATAAACACAATATGGACGCTTGCTGATATTTTTATACCACCAAAATGCATTCGTGGCGAAAGATGTTTTTCTTCATATTTGGTATCAAATCCCGTCTTGCACTTAGTTCTTTATACTTCTGTGAAACAAAATCCGTCTTTAGGTGGATCTTCAGCGGATGGTGTCACCAAAGTGCATACTTCTATGAAATTTGATTACCGAAATTCTGCAACTATGTAAGTTTGGTTATAAGTTTTTTGTATTGAGTATGTCTGTGCTTTCTATATGTTTGTATATGATCTTAATTTTCTTTCCAGTAACGTAATTTTGAAAGTACCTCGTAAAACTCGTAATAATGGAACTTTATTCATGCATGCAGTATTGTTGGATGATAGTCGTCTCTATAAGGATTTCGATGAAATTCGTCATACAGAATCAGTGCACACGCTTCCTCTTGTAACATATACCGAACCTCAGGCAGCTACTTTTAACCTGCTACAAAATAATGTAAGTACATACATTATGTGTCAAATATATTATTAATTTCATTTTCATTTTAGCTGTAGTTAAATAGATATAACTGTTTTTAACCAGAATGATGTGGGCATGAGTTACAACTGTAAAATATATTGAACACGACAAGCAATTCCTTTCTATGTTGAAGCCTAATTGCTACCATATCCTCTCAGCTGCATTAAGAAATCACTATCATAATATGTCAGCACAACATTATAGTGAGTTCTTAATGCAGCTAATAAGATATTCTAGCCATTAGGCTTCAACATAAAGAAAGAAAAATAATTAATAAAAGAAAAATAAATTAGGTCTGAAAGGGATAAATGGTTTACATTACCCTAGTGATCTCAATCCATTATGTTGTCAAATTTCATTAAGACCTGTTTAAGAGTATAGTCCTAAAATGGTTACTAGTAAACAGCCATACTTTGACATTTATAATATCAGTATTAGTGACTAAAACAGGCCTTTCTTGTGTTTTTCATTGCTTTAATTTTCTATTATTAAGTTGTTATAATATGTCTATATTTTATATTTTTAGAATGATGTAAAAAAACCTAAAGATGGTAATTATCATCCATTTGCACATATAGCAACAATAGTGCCACTCTCCATTTTAACAGACAATTTGAAACTTCCCGGCAATAAATTACCAGGAGAGTTGGTTCCTTTCATGAGGTAATATATTTTTTTACTCTTGCTATAGTAATATTATTTGTATTTTTAATGAAATATTTTATGTAACTAGAATGACAAACAACTTGTTGGGGCACCTGACACTGGTAACCTTTTCCTATACATATACATGACCACTACATACATCAAATTATTATGTTACAACTGTGATACCATAATGAATTTTTATCCAAACAATATATTGTACCCCTCATGAAAAAATAATTAATTAATATATTTCCAGAGTTAAAAATGGTAAATTTTTGCCAATAATTCAGCATAATGTTCTCAAAGCTCGGATGTCAACATTGCAGCTGTTAAATAGTAGTACATCAGAGGTTAATGTAACTGTAAATGTTGCACCAACAACATATGGCTCGTTTGGTTTGGCACTACATGTGCGACTAGCTTTGGAACAGCTGCGACAACTTGGGTTCAGTGAGAAAGATATAGATGATGTCAAAGGCATATTTGCAGATACAAACCTGTATCTTCTGTCGGCTACTGTCTTGATAGCCAGTTGTCATGTAAGTGTAAATTTAATCCTTTACTACTGCTAGAAATGCATTAATTACGTGAGCTGATTATGACGATTTTCCGACTCTACTCTCCTTGGTAAGATGTCGTGAAATAAGTCAATCATCCCTTCTCATTAAATTTCATGAGATATTTTTGCGATTAGTTACATGTAGTACTTCTCAATTGTTTAGCCACCACTAAATCATTGAGAGGCTACTGCAGATGTACTGTACTTAAGACGTCATTTTACGAAGTCTATTAAGAAAATAAAATAAACACAGTCTTTATAATTTCGGCGACTTTAGAAAAGTTTATTTTTTCAGTTATTGTTTGACTTCTTGGCTTTCAAGAATGACGTATCGTTCTGGCGAAGAAAGCGGTCGCTCGCGGGTTTGTCTGCTCGAACAGTGGTGTGGCGCGCGTTCTCTCAGTTCATCATCTTCTTTTATCTGCTAGATGAGCAGACTTCGTTACTAGTACTCGTACCGGCTGGTATTAGTGCTGTTATTGAGGTAATTTTTATTTACAACTCCACAAATACGAGATTTGGCCTTAAATTCCAGAACTTTTTCATCCTCATAAGTTTTGACCTACGAAAGCTAGTAAAAAATGCGATGATAAAGGTTAGGTAAGGCAAATTAAGCTTACGTACGAGATATTATCGGCTGTTTTTGCTGTTTTTTTTTTAAATAACTTATATATTAATTAATGATGATTTTATTTTATTCCAAGACATTCATGTTAGTACCACAATAAGAAATAAAAATATTTACCGCCAAACAAAATGGTCAAGGCTTCTCTTGTATAATAACACTACATACATTGAAAATATACAGAACATTCGCTTTATAAAAGGGCAAGCTAATCACTATTAATTACAGATAACATTATAGATATAGTATACTTATTTCACTATTTGAACAAACTTATTGCTAGGTGTGGAAGGTGACGAGGATATTCCACGTGCGAGTATCGTTTGCGGGATGGCGCGTGCGCGTGTGGCGAGACGTTGCGGACGCAGCTGAACGCAGCACAGCGCAGGCTGACGCGGAAGCCATGCGCTACCTGTCTATGCTTCTCTACCCACTCTGCATCGCCGGTGCAATATACTCACTAGTCTATGAGCCACATAAGAGGTCAATATAATTTTTATTTAATTGTTATTAATTTGAAATGTCAATATAATTTTTATTTAATACTTATTATGTACTTTGTATGACAAACAATCGTACGACCCACTGATGGCGGACTTAGTAATGCCTGATTGCTTTCTCTACCACTCAACCATCGCGCTGATCAGTCATGATTCGAAGACTTAGGGTAATAAACCAATGTACAGAAGAATTATTATACATAAAATATTAATATATTGTACATATATAATATATAAATAGAATGAGTTTTTCCATATAGACGAAAACAATGGGACAATTCATGTTTGTTATATGAGTGTAAATATAGGAATAGGTTATATCTGCCGCCAATGTGTCTTCCTTCTTCTTCCCAAGTAGTTTAGACAGGGTTTGAATGGAATGAAACAGCTGTGTTGATCCATGCATAACTATAATAATAGTAACTAAACTATTTCTCGATTGCAGTTGGTACTCATGGGCCCTACACAGCATCGTGAACGGCGTATACGCATTTGGATTTCTGTTTATGCTGCCTCAACTTTTTGTGAACTACCGTCTACGTTCAGTGGCTGCGTTGCCGTGGAGGGCGTTTATGTACAAGGCATTCAATACATTCATTGATGATGTGTTTGCTTTTATCATAACTATGCCCATCGCTCATAGAGTCGCATGCTTCAGAGATGACTTGGTCTTTCTCGTTTATTTGTACCAAAGATGGTAAGTGCAGTTACATTGTCAATGCTAAATTATGTAACAGACAACCTTTGTGGTCTTGCGGTTTAGCACATCGCCTAACTTCCGATATGTATATGCGGGTTCGATTCCTCACACGGTATAAATATATGTATTCATGTTTATATCAGTCTGTGTGTTTTATATATATATTGGGTATGCATTAACAAAATAATGTATTTATATCAGTTGTCTACCCCTGACACAAGCTCTACTTACCTTGGGACTAGATGACGGTGTGTGAATTGACCATATTATTATTATTATTATTTAACAATTATTATATCTAATTCCAGATATTGATGACTGATGTTTTCTAATTCCCACCCATAAATTTAAATTCAGGAGTGATTTTTATCTTATTTAATTTAAATACATTAAATTATTAATAATCACTCATTTCGTAATTAATTCAGTTTTGTTCCTACCGCCTGATTTATTCACAGTGGTTTCTTAATTCTGGACTTAATTAAATGCATTATTGTACGTCCATTTTTTAGGTTATATCCAGTAGACAAGTCGCGAACAGACACCGCGTCCAGTATGGACGAAAATCCAGAGGAATTGGAACCGCTGAAAGAGAAAGCAGAATAAAGTTAAACGGATTTTTTCTGTTTCTATTTTCATACTGTTAAACATTCATCCCCTTACTTATGGAGATAAAAACAGTATACGGTATGATACTTAATAAACACGATGCTTGCAGCATGATTATCTGCAGTTAATTTGCACCCCAAAAGTTTGTAGTTTGATTCCCAAATATATGAAAATAATAGAAAAATAAGCAAATTCTCTTGAGAAAGTACTCGGTATTCAAAATTTGATGCGGTACAACTTCCTATTGTAGTAAGTCCCTAAAACCCTCCGTTACACTGTTCGTCAAAATGCGCTATTTTTATACAGAGATTAAAATGCTAAAACATAATTTTAAAACAGTCCTTAATTCTGTTTTAGCATCTTAGTCGCTGTATAAAAATAATGCATTATAACAAATTAGTACACAAATGCTGTAGCATCGAGTCTGTGTAGATATCATGTAAATATTAGTGTGAAATCCATATAAAAAAGACAACAAATTAAATAAGGCAATCGCACAAATGTATTTTCTAATCGTCTACAAGTAAGGGGATGACTGATCAAATATATATTACAGTCGGTACTTTGTTGAAACGCATAGAGGCTGCGCGATATATTAACGCCAATGCTATTTTGATAAATGAATTAAATTATTTGTAAAAAGACACTATAAGACTATTATATAATAATATATACGAATCTTTGTTCAAGATGAATGTTTTTGTAATTATTATATATGTATATTGAGCGATTTTACAAATATTCATAGTTATTGAATTACATGAAATTAGCTGCCTTGGGCCGCCATCTGTTGCATTATCTACAACGAATTAGAACATAACTCAATATAGAATTATTGGAAAACTAATAAAATAGGTTGTGACTGAAATAATTACCAATCACGTTTAAATATATATATGTACTATATTTATATATGTGTCTATTTATATTACAACTTAGAAGCCTTTTAAATTTAGAAATTTATGTGAAATTGACGATTGACAAGAACAGAATTATAACTCAGAAAAATATTAATAAACTCTCACATCTTTTCAAGATGAAAAGTGTGATGCCGGAGTTATTTTATATGCGATTAATAATTTTGTAACATCACAGTAGATAAGTAGAAAAATACGCTAGTTTTAATATATATCTGGGACATAGCTTTCCTTATATAGTAGCCTCAGTAATGGTCAAATGAGTAATGGTAAGTATTTACTTACACGAATTAAATTTCGAGAACCGAAATTTAATTCGTGTATATACTTAGCACGATCACAATAATTTACACACACTATTTTACAATAGTAGATCACAATAATCATAATATTTTACAATAGTGTGATTATTGTGATCATGTTGTTATTGTATTATTATTTATAGTTACAATAATAAAAATGTACTGACTGAAATGTACTTGTTGTCTCTGTTAGCTATCGATGTCATACTGCTAGATTTATTTACGTTTTCCGTTACGTTTTATATTGGGACTCTTCCGGTTTAGTATTATGATATAAATCTATGTATTAATGAATGACGGACAGATGGCGGTTCTAAATTAAGATCTCCTATATACCATACGTGATATTACTGCTATATGTGCTAACTGGTAGTTCATAATGTTGTCATAGTTATTCACTAATATTCTAAAATTATATGAAAACGTAATACTTTAATTTGAAACGAATTATGCTTTTCATATTACCATACGAGATGCCAAAAAATTGTATGTTTTCTAGGTTAGGTAGTTTAAATTTACATTTTTTTCTGTATTCGTCAACTATGAACGGATTTTGTTGGTTGTTTTCTAACCGGAATTATTTAGTCTCCAAATCCGTCCGTCCTATACTAATTTTGTCAAGATTTTTGTTGACCCCTTTTTTTGTGTGGAATCCTTTAATTATACTAGGTAATATTTGCTCACTGGGCGTAGATAATTTATCTAAGACCACAAACTATATAGAGATATGCTTGAGACAAACCAGAACAATTAAGTGAAACTGAGAAAGTATCTTAAACATAAGAAATATGTTGTATGTTATTTTTATTCAAGGTGTCTTGCTTGTATTGTACTGGTGACATGTAGGAAATTATGATTAATATGTATATTAGATTGTACTGGAGAAATATGAAAATTTATTATAACCAACTATTATTTTTGTAGAGTATATGACATTGCCGGTTTTATATTTATGTGAAATAATAATTGTGTGTTATGTCAATAATGAATAGTTTTTTAATGTTATTTATTTTATTTTTAATTTTATGTTTGGGTGTTTAGGTTTCAATAATATAAAATACTTACAGTATAAAAATATATTTATATTCTGGAATCGAATTTATTTTGATAGCGCAAATAATTTGAATGAGATTAACATATATGAGTAATATATAAAATAATAATGTAAAATATTTTTTTATAAAATGAATGCAGTTTGTAGTCGGAAAATCGACAATTCTTCCTCACATTATTATTTTTCTGTCTATTATACTACTTGTTGTTTTAGGGTGGTTATTTGAAAATTATAATTGCATTTATTATTATGAATAAAACATTTTAAATAAATTTAAATATTTTATTTCAGCTCACTAAGTTATAATGTCTATTTAACTATAGAATAGAATAGAAAAATCCTTTATTCAAACGAACTTATTATTTTGAATCTACTACACATTCGGAATGTTCTCTTATTAAAAGAAGAACGAGCAATATTTATATATATATACTTTAGTTGTTTGATAAATTGAATTAAAATTGGTATGAGGCTCTATCTATATATGTAAAGTTGGTGTGTAGAAGACTACGAAATATTGAATATACTCAAATTGTCATAAATGTTTATTCTTGATTGGATAATAATAAAAAATATACTGATGTTTTCACGTTTTCCGTTATTTTATATTTGGAGTAGTTCTTATTGGGAATAGAATAGCACTGGTGCGTACTATGTAAACGTGAAGTACAATTCAGGCTGAGTTTTGAATGTACCCTGTACATAGAAAAAACGCCAAAGCCGAAATAAACCAAGTCAGCGGGATATGAAACATTCAGATTTTTTTTGTGTCTTTGTATGTCTGTACAGGATTATCTCCGATATCTCTTAAATGAAATTTTGCGTAGATAGTGGTAGGTACCTAACAACCCCAAGATTTCAGAAAATTGAAGAGTTCTCATGGGACAGTTCAAAATCTATAGTAACACATACAGCTTTGAGAATAACACGAAGTTTATTTATTTTGGTCCAGTATTCCCAGACATCATAAATACATACATACATACATCGATATTAATAAATGACTACAAATAACATAATATTACATACTAAGTAATACCAAATATATGTTTTGGTAATTGTTGAATGTCTGACTATCGTCATCGATCGTCAATTTTGACTGTTTAAACATTTTTCTCTAAGCACAATGAAATGTGCTGTATATATATATACATATATATATATATACAGCACATACGTTTATTAAGAAAATTATGTGCGAAAAACAGATTTTGTTGTATTTTTTGGCCATTTTAGACCAAAACAATTACGATTTCCCAGAACCTGAATAAATTCATCGATATATAATAATGACTCAGTAATTAACCCAGATTGTAAGAATTCTTTATCCAAGAGGTATAGGGGCTTGTATATAGAATAATCGTAATCGTAAATTTATCTGTCATTTCGTATGTTTCAGCGATTCATATATAAATATGATTGATTATAATGAAATTACAGGATAAGAGGCATGATGGCATGGCTTAATCCTCTAGAATGGCTTGAATTCTATTACGGGTGTCTGTTTCTATTCTATTCTATACGTATTATGAAATTTCGGATACGGATAGGTTTCGGATATAGGAATGATTGTTATACCGGATACGGATAGGGATGCGGATATGAAATTATTTCGGATCATCCGGATATATTTTCCTAAGGAATTTTAAAAGTAAAATACAAATAGCTAATAAATCTGTTTTATTTATATGTCAGCATTTGGTAGTAATTACAATCAGTCTCAATTAGGCTCCGCCGCTATCCGACATACGAAACTTATATTTCGGATTCTGTTACGGTTACCGGTTTATATCGGATATCCGACAGTTTCGGTTACGGTTACCGAGCTCCCTAACATCCCTGGTCCGAACCACCGTTATCATCAAGTTGGTCGTCGGCTTGTTTGTTATTCTAATTACATAAAAAATATATACAATAGAATAAGGTAAATGTACAGATATCACATAGTAGCAATTCACAGACGTAAGTAGAAAAATATGCATATTTAAACATAATGCGTGGACCAGAAGCACACATATAAAATAATGTAATAACATATCAGTTGAAAAAAATAAAAATTCTAAATGTCTCTTGGAAATAGTTGCAAGCCAGCGCAGCGGCTTGTCCAAGGAGTCAATATGAGTAATCGAAGTAATGTTACATATTTTCAGAGGCCAAATAAGGTCTTTTATACTATGTTCTCTTTTAGCGGTTTAGCTATTGGTATATGATCTAGTATTAGGAATTTAAAATAATTTATGGATTTTGAATGACTAGTTTTTATACATTATAATATTTGACGGTCTTGGTGGTCTAGCGGTTGGTTAAGAACACTGCGTTATTTCCGATGGTCGTGTGTTCGATTATTATTATTATACTGTTTTGTTGGTGAAAGTGGTGTATGACCACGGTTCACAACTTCTGGCGAGAATATATTTTCATATTTTAAGGTAAGTACATATTTCCATTTGTCTTGTTTTGCCTACTACCTACTTACTAGAACCGTTACATTTTCGACGGGAGGATCTTTTTGTATTTTCAAGGAATAAGGTTTTTAAAATTACTCCTATAGAATTGGGAATTACCTAAATTAGTACGAAACCACTATTAACAATATAATTAATTATACGAATTAACTACTTATCGGTTTTAGAGTAGGTATTTAAAAGAAATTATATATGTATAACATTACGTTAACGCAGGTGGCAACTACTAATCGCATATAATCTTACAGAAGGATTTGTACTTTTGTGCTTACACACTTTATTTACAATCTTTTTTTATGCTTGGTCATTTGTTGACAACCGACTGTTACGAAAACAACTTATGAATACGTTTATAAATCTATTTAGATACTTATTAGATAGAATAAAGCAATATAACTATTTTTATCTGCTTGTTTTTTTTAACTTAAGCACTTCTAAACCACGCAACAGAGTCATAAGTCTACTATCATTTCCAGAATGTCTTTGGAAGGATTTATATGCATATTAAGTTACGTATATGTATATAATTTTTTGATGTTATGTACTTAAATGACCTTCGTCACAAATATTGTAACGTGCGAAGGTGAGTCGTGTCATTAGTATCTACATACCTAATAAATAATTAGGAAATACCCGTCCGACTAGACAGTCATACTACTCTCGAATACAAATGTTTATATTATGAAGGATTAGAACTCACGACCATTGGTAGCTGAGACGGTGCGTTAACCCACTACACTACAAAGTCATCGAAGTAAATTTTTTAATACATGATAATGGAAAGATGCACCCGCCTAGCTATATAGGTATAGAATAAGAATGACTGAAGAAATTCAACCTAAATCAGGACACTCATCATGGCGTAATGAGCAATTAATCAAGGTGATTTCCGGAGTGATCGCGTGGGGGTCGACCTCATAGAGGCATTAGATCACTTACTAACAATGCCATTTCTGATCAATTTGAGTATAGGCACCTATCCTACACAAATATTTAAGTATACATACTTACATAGTTGCCGATATTTCAGTTGCTAAAAATATGCTAATAGATAATATTTGCTTATTACATTTTCAAGGTTCAAATTCTGTAAAATAAAAAACAAACTCAGAGAAAAACATTCAGTTTATGTTAGTTTTTTTTTTATTTTCTCACTAACCTAACTAAAATCATAGCTATACAGATTCTAATATATGTATGTATGTAATGTATGTGTGAATATGAATGGGACTAGAATTGACTAATAGCGGAAAGGGATCATTAGCTAAACCTCTGGCAATGTACCTATTGTATACAATTGAATTGAATTAATGTCAGGTCGATTTCACGTGGTTCTCTACATGGATTTGTTTTTTTCTAATTAATTCATTGTTCACCAGTATACCGAACAGTATAGCAATACGCAAGCAGGATTCGTCATCAGCTAAATTTCGAATCTTATATTGTTTTAACTAAACAATTATATGAAACGCCTTATCGTGGGTAGAGTATTTTGATATATAATGATGATAAAGTAATGTACTAATCGTTGATTACCAATGTGCCCGAGGTAATTACTTGGCTCTGATAAATCAAACAGTTTTGTCCGGTCGCCATTCTACGTTAGACGCGGGCTAATGCGCACTCTGTTGGGAATTTACGTTTGTGGACAAACATTTGTGTTATAAACTATCATAACTTCATTGCAGTGTTTTTACTAAGCATGGATGTTTACGATATACTCCTGCAAGCTGGGTTGACAACGTCGGTAGTGGTTGTGTATTTAATATTTTTTAGGAAACGGCAACCCGAAATTAAAGGAACGTACAACCAACCAGGTTTGTATTTTGTGTGTCATAAAAGATAATAACTTGATGATCTGTAGACATCATCTTTAATTAATTTGTCTATGTAGTTAATAAATATGACAGTAATATTTGTTTTTATTTATGTATGAAGACAGTTTAGGCAAAATAATATTATGGTAATATTAATTTGTGAGGCAAACAAGAGGGTTTTACGTAAAATTAAAATATATACAGAGATGTTAAAGCATGTATAATATTATATATATCTAATTTATATAAGATCTGTATAACAGTTTATTCATTTTAGGATGGAATTATCCTCTCAAATGGTGGTTATCGCGATGGTTTGCAATAGGCCGGTGGAAGGCGCAGTGTGTATCAGTACCTACAGATGAGCTGCCTCGTACTGATCTGAACGAGGGCTGGGACTCCGTGGACATACGTGCCACCAGTGCGGACGGGGCTACTGTACTTCTTGGTATACGAAAGTTGTGCGGGAGGCGGCCCACTGCAGAAGTCACAGTATACGTCAAGTTAGCAGATGGATCTAGTTATAGATTACCAAGTATGTGTATAAATATCTAATAATATGATAGTCTAGCTGTTTAGCACACCGCTTTACTTCCGATAATCTAAGTAGTATCTGCCCATAACACAAAATCAGCTTACTGTATATTTTGCCTAGATGGCGATGTGTGACTTGTTCAGGGACATTATCATTATAATAAAAAACGAACCTGCGTTACTTATTTGGATGTAATATTTGTATTTTGGTAGCGTTATATTTTTTAAGTTTATCTACGTATTATATACCTATATGATTTCTATGATGATTCCATACAAAGATGGACGAAGCTCGGTCACCCAGGTACTATCAGTTAATGAAATAGATATAACTAATTAATAAGTACGTATGTACTTATGATATCTGTACATTTTTTATGTAATTTACTTTTATCCAACTATCGCAGTATTCTTGTTATTATCTTATAAACATAAACACCTCTGACTAACCCTTCGACGATAAGTCGAGTGTATATTTTAGTTGCTATACAGACCTGATTATATTAATTTTAATCCGGCTCCGAAATGTAGACAGTTCACATTTTACATTTTTTATATACATCACGTATTTAATATCACATATTAGTCGATATCTTGGACTATTATGCACAATAATACCCATTTTTTTATAGAAAGCGTTTAATCATAATTAATTTTCATACCATAGAAGTCAGTTTTCTTAGGGGTCGGCCTACCTTTATTTAATTACTTTATAGTAGAATATAGCTACTCGCCCCGGCTTGGCCCGTGTGCATGTATTATGTATATATATAAACCTTCCTCTTGAATCACTCTATCAATTGAAAAAAAAACTGCTTTAAAATCCGTTGCGTAGTTTTAAAGATTTAAGGGATAGACAGCGACAGCGACTTTGTTTTATACTATGTAATGAATAGTAATTATGATAATTGATATTAAGACAGAAAAAATACTCGCCCTTTATATCTTCGGTATTAAATTATATAATTTAACTGATTTTTATACTACTATATATATATGTCGGCGAATAATCATCCGGCCCATCTGATGTTAAATGTTTGACGTAATCTACATGCATGAAGACACATGAAACATTAGCGGTGTCACGTGCGTATTATCGATTTTTAAGAAAACCCTAATATACCCTTTTTGAAAAATTCCCGCTGTAGTTTGTAGAGAAAATATCTGGACATTGTTCATTCAATTCACAATCTGGATGTTCCTATATTTAACAAATTGAGAGATATAATATCATTTTTTTTTATATAATATATTTCAGAACATCCAGACACTGCTACATGTGTTTTGGAGAACACTGAAGGTGCTTGGAGTGCGAGTGGACTGAAGATCCAGGTTCTAGAGTCAGAGACTCGATTAAGGATATTATATAATGGTCTACTGACTTCAGTAGATGACGGTGATATACAGCATGTTACCTTTAATTTTATGTATGTATTTAGTAGACTATACTGTAATAATAATAACGTATAAAGTTCTCTATGATTTTTTCGTTTAACTATAAGAGAGGTGTTCTAAGTTTAACGTATATCTCTGTGCGTGTTTGTAGCATAGACTACCTAAAGATTTTAATGGCAATTTTCTTAAAATGCTGACATGGTATGCAGTTTAGTTTCTAATATTTTTTTGTCTACAAGACAATATAGAAACCCGCCTGATTGCTACTTGGATATTATTAAAGAAAAAAAACATATTCGTATTGATGTACACACAATGCTCTAAATATGTTATTAATATCCTCATAAGACGGTCTCCGTAATGGGTACAAATGAGGTCATGGACACAGAATAAGAATATGTAACAATACTAGATATAGTACCATCTTGTATTCCAATTTTGTTTAAATATTTTAATTATTAGAGTTTGTTGTTTTGCCTTTGCTTCGTTCATATATTCGTAGTCTGTTAATTAATTAATTAATTCTGGCAATAAATAAAAAATAACTAATATTTTAGTTAAGCAACTAGATATTTTTTTATTATTTATTTTCACTACAACGCAAAGTTGAAGTGTTTATTGAAGTTTTTTATATTGAAATCATTCTACAATCGATATAGACGCATGCTTGAGGGGGCGACATTTAGTAATGAGGACTAGTAGTCCCATTGCTAGTAACATATATCTGAAAACCATAGTGAATTCGCTAGGTTGGCCTAACTGACTTCTTTCTATCATCCTCCTCTGGTGTCCCGTAGGGGGCGCCCTTATACATTTTTATCCATTAAAGAAAAACAGATGGAAGCTTGAGTTTTGTATTCTTTTCTAGGGGTTGTCTGTTAATAGGTCCATCATTGGTCCATATCCATATTCTGTAGAATGGTTCATATTTAAGGAATTAAAATACATGTGCTTTTCAAAAAAACACTGTTTCTTTTAGATGGAGATCTGCTACAAATCCATTGCGATACCCAGAGGATTGGAGTACAGATCTTGCAGCACAAGCTTTGGCCTTGGAGCAATGGCGAGACACCGACTGGCCTTATTTACTGTACGTATTTATTGTTATTATTTTTTGAAATTTCTTGTAGGTATATTTATAAAAATGGTGTTAAAAAGAGACTACTAAATGCCCACTTTAACGATTAGTAATAGAATTAAGCAGACAATGGGACTTAAACATAATTTATATGTTTTTAACAAATTTATATTAAACTAATAAGAAACAATAAGATGTGATTGGATTTTGATGCACAAATAAAATACACTATCTCAACAAAATTTGTAGGGAATAAAACAGAAATATTGTGCAACATAAATAAAAAACTAGCTAAATCGTAAACAAGCAATTCATTAGGACTTTAGTTTTTCTGATTTCGACTGGAGATGGTATTTCCTTACTGGTATTGTTGTAATAATGTTACAGAGGTAAATGGGAGGAGGGCGGGTGGATGCAATGTGGGGCTGTTCAAGGCCGATTCCAATCGTTTGATCAGCAAGGCGTCTTACAGAAGGATGAGTATTTACGTCTGCGAGGAATCAGAGAAAGGAGTTGGGCGCCTTACGGGTATAAGGGCAGGAGGCGCTCTGTTACCTTCACAGCGTCTTCCAAGGACGGTACCATGGTGCATCTTCGTGGACTGTCGTATAGAAATGTTTTGACGCAGTATGTATTAATTTATACATGATAGATTTATGTTTTATTGTCATTATTTAGGTACTTAAAAATTCTTGGTTTACTACATCACACCATAATAATCTTGGCATATTAGCAGCCTTATAAGTGGCTTGGTGCTCGATTTTATTTTGACTTTTTACTGACTTAATTAGATAGAGTTTGGTTCTACATTCATATGGTCTTATTTAAAAGCCTATTTATGAAGATGTCATTTTTATTCCTTCGGTTGTTACAAAACAATCGAAGGAACAAAATTTATATCACCATGTTATTTTTATTAATTTATCTTTCTAATCTGTGCTTACTTGCTTACTATAATTACAGGTGTATATCAGGACATGTCAGATTCCCCAACTATAGAGTCGAAAGCATAATTAACACAGATTTTGTTCTACAAGACTTCAGCGAAACTGTCAAAGGAATACCGAAGGTTCATACAATAAATGTGAGCAGTAAGTTAAAATGTTATTTATAAGTTGGTATATTCTTATAAACATAATGAGGGCTGCGGACATTTACTTTTCGTGTCAGGTACAAAAAATTGTCTCACAATCAGATAGATATATAGCTAGTTAATTGATTCTATTGATTGATATTTAGTATATAGGTACCTACCTACTAAAAACTTTCATTAAATTCCATTATTAAATTAGCTGGGGCGGGCTAAGCTGATTTATCCTGATGATTTCTAAGGGGAAACTCGTGGAGGTTAACCTGACATGGGGTCTATTGTCCAGATTACTAACAAGTACTGTTCCCCATATATTAAAGGTTTATCATATGTACCTAACATAATATTTTAAGCAGCAACTATATCTATAAATATAACATGTTTAATAATGTAGTATGGAGATTACCTACTATGTTAAATCTATATTGGAGTAGGTTTCTTATTGTAGTTTCAGACGCAATCTTATAAATTAAATAGTATAATGAACATAAACATAATAATTATCTCTCCTCAATAATTATCATTCCCTATCTCTAAGATATATATCCCTTATTGTTCTTAGATATATTTGCTTTAAGATATCAACACCTTAACGATAAAATACTGATGCTTAGTACAGTTCATATAGCTATGATGCGTTTAGCGTGCTACTGCGGCCGCGTTCCTAATCTGTGGCGCTTTTCGTTTGCGCGGGAAAATAATATATAATATATACTTTTTTTTCTAGAGATATTGGTTTTGTATTCTTCATTGTTAAATATTTTAATTATTATATCAACTTATCATATTATAGTATATATGTCTCAGTTATCATGATATGATCACTACAATAGTAGGATAACGTTGGTGGACTATTATTAAAGTTACTATGCGTTGATATAAAGTATGATATTAAAGTCTATTGCTTAAAGACTGTTAGATTAAAAATTGCAAATGCAATGAGTTATCATTGCATTTATGCTGATAAGTGGCTTATAGTTATCATTTATTTTCTGTGTATTTTCATATTGTCATTAAAAGTTTTAGAAGTCACACTTCCTGGCCCTTGTAATGAGTACATGCTTTTGAAGAAAACTTTCCTTAATTTCCTCCTGAATTAACCAACTACCAATCAATGAGGACGAGAATTAAGTCAGGTCAGTTAGCCTATGATGGAGAATTCTTTTGGAATTAACGATTAATTCAACCTGCTATATTAGTAATATAGTTACGTATGTAGTATTATTACATAAGTAACAATGTGACACTACAGTTCTTCCTCGTCATTTAGAAATAATAATAATAGTTTAGGTAGGTATTTATCTATAATTCTGTATATTTTTTACAGCTCGAAGCAGAAAAATTCGAATGGTGCTTCGGATCAATTCCGATGGTGGCAAACTTCTAAGCGGTATTCCATACCAGCAAGAATTGCAGTACCGTACAATGGTTGTTAGCCTCGATGAGTCAGCTGGCTCTGGAATATTAGAACTTGGCTACGAACCTACAGGTAATGGAGGCTATTACAAGGAAATCTTCATGACACCTGCGTAATGAAGTAGATGTTAATGAATGTCATACAAGGTGTGAATGGTGGTGAATCGTCATATAAGGATACTTTTATTATGAAATTCATAATATAGAAATCTATATCTAATAGAAATATATACACCAAGAAATCTATATAATATAGTAAAGATAAGAATTTTATAAAGGCTAAAATGGAGCATGATTAATTAAGTATGTATTAAGATATATGAAGAAATATTATTTTATATTATTACAGAAATATCAGATCCAACAGCGCGTCTGTCGCCACCTCGGACCCTCAAGTGGCTCAGTGCGAGTGAAGTTGATTCCGTGGGTTACTGCTTGCCATTCGAAGCCCGCGCGGCCGCTTGTACCGACTATGTAGGAGGCAAAGGTGCCTCTTTGGCTCTACTAGCTTCCGTACAGAATGTTGAGGTGGGTATATATACACCGCATTGCTGGAACAAATATTATATATTTGTAGACTACTAGTTATAGTTTCTGTTATAATATAATGTATATATATAATCTTTACATAGTATAAAACAAAGTCGCTGCCGCTATCTGTTTTCTTATATCTTTTAACTTACGTAACGGATTTAAATGCATTTTTCAGTAAGAGATAAGAGTGATTCGAGAGGTAAGTTTATAAGTATAATACAAGCTGAGAAATTCAAAGATTTGTAATGCATCCGTGCGAAGCCGGGATGGATCGCTAGTAATATCATAAATACGGAAGTGTGCCCTTCTGACTGTTACATTTTCACGACTAAAAGATTGAACGGATCGTAATGAAATTTTATGTGAAGATATATTATATCATAAGCATATTAATTATTGCTATTTAATAAAAATACTATATGTATCATGACTAGGACCCTCTATGTTGATGTAGCCTACTCATGTATAAACAAAATATCTCCTTTAGAAAGTATACACTCTATTCTGAGGAGATCATCCATCAGAAAACCATCGCTCCTAAGAATATCCTAGAAGGATTCTTGTCCCTCACGAGTCTAGGTTGAGAATTTTGAACAATGGCGAGCACAATAGATCAATGCAGGTCGCAGTGTCACAGGTCATAGCACCTAATATTAGCCTTAGATCTCCAATAAAAAAATATAGGCTATATGTTATCTATTAGATGTTGTTTTGATAATACATTTAATTTTCAGGACTACAAAGTACCACCAGGGTTTTGCTTAAGCATAAGAGCATTGGAGAAACATCTGGATGCTAATCCTAAAATAGTAGCAGCTATCCGGGAGATAGAGGCCGCTAATGAGGACTATGAAGAGACCAATTTCAAAGACAAATGCACAAAGTATGTTATTGATTGTAATGAATATAAAATACATATATACGAATATATTATAAAAATATAAATTATAACTAATATTATAAATGGTAAAGTCTTTGTAAACAAATGTTTGGTACAATTTCAAGCTAATGGCTTACCCAAACATAATTAAATTCCTATATGGAAATGGATCTAGGCAATTTTTTATCCCGGTTAATAACTACCATGCAGTAAGCAGAAGTTACTAGTTTATATATAATATGTATGATATCCAAAATTTATATTCATAATCCTAATATTGTAGATGGATGTTTAAATACCCATCGAGTAGAAATAGTAATTGAAATCTTATGTTTCAGGGCGGTAGAATTGTTTATCAACACTGAAATCGTTAGTGATGTAAGAGATGATATACTTGCCCACCTAAAAAACCTAAGAGATGCGACCACGAAACAGAATTTGGAGCAACGATTTGCAGTTCGATCTTCAGGTAGGTATTTTATTTATTGCACCAAATATCTTTGAAACACAAAAGGCAGTCTTATCACAAGGAAGGAATCTCTTCCAGACAACCTTAGTCTAGAGAAAAAATGATAAAATTGCATTACATTAATATCTAGCATAGTAAAATATACTATAAGTAAACTCCCACAATTTAAATACCTATTATTACCATATAGGCAATAATTAAAGTCAAAATATTAGAAATGAATGTTAGAAAATAACATACGTAGATACACATAAATATACAAAATAAGATAATGAAAGTACAAAATAAATGTGTCACTAGCAAACGAACGAGTCAAATAGCAAGATGGACAATAGAAGAATTATTTTTATTTATTTTATTAACGTGGAAATTTTTATATAAAAGTATTGTTAATAACAAAGATCAAAGAATATAAAAGTATTAAGCAGTAATAATTTATTTATAAATAATATTTATACAATAGCGGTGGGCGAAGACAGCGAGACGCTCTCGGCGGCCGGGCAGAACGAGACGATACTGGGCTGTACGAGCGACGAGCACGTACTGCGCGCCGTGCAGAAGTGCTGGGCCTCCATGTTTGCATTCACCAGCGCCTACTACCGCAGGTACTACTCGCACGGTATTACCGTCGTTGATAACGTCGATCGTTAGTGGTATTAATACTACTGCTGGTGTGGTGCGTGGTACAGACAGAACGGGCAGACGTGCGCGTGCGGCGGCGGCGTGGTGGTGCAGGCGCTGGTGGAGCCACGCGCAGCCGGCGTCATGTTCACGCGACACCCAGACCGGGGCGACGCATCACGGCTACTCATCACAGCCAACTACGGACTCGGTGAGGTAAGTCACTCTAATAACTTGTCTGTTCAGATTTTCAACAAAGAGGATAATATAAAGTTTATTTTGGTAGAGTATTACTATTTTGAGACTAACGAACGGTGTCTGTCAATGCCAATGCTGGTCAGCAACAAACTTCGATGTAACTGACTTATTTCTTAGTTTAATATTAATAAGCAGGCACAGTATTAAAATATGTTACAAATATGTATATTACTTACTTAATATTACTATATTACTTAATAAGTATTTCTTAATTTTTAGTACATATATATAATATGTATATAATAATTTTTATACAATGACAAACAGAATGGCCTTTGAACGCCATGAGAAGGAATGCAGAAAAAGGGAAGTCATAGAGTCCATTTACAATATTATAGAATACACAATGTACAGTTTATATGTCATTTAAAGGGTGGTTAACAAAATTAATTTCAACATATGGTGGTTCATTATGGTGTAACTACACCGAAAAAAAAATAGTTAAACGCGTATAGAGCAAATTGAACAGCTAATGAAAGTATATATCTCCTGCTGCTGATAATATTTAGGTATTTAATTTTTTAATTGCAGTTGTTGCTCCACTTTTATATACATATGAAATAGGCTCCAATTTGTGACCTCATTTTTAATAATGATGACCGGCGTTTATTAATTAATGAGCTCTTATATTCGTATTATGTGCTCCTTTTTTATACAAGCTGAAATAAAATGAAACGGTTGAATCTTTGATAACAAACGCAATGGTTCTGTAATCGAAAGTAATTTATTATTTGTTACAGACTGTAGTATCAGGTTCAGTAGAGCCGGATACAATTATAGTAAAACGAGGTGATAATAGTCATCTCTCGATCATGAAAGTCGAATTAGGTTCAAAGGCACAGCGAGTAATGAAAGCCAGTACCGGTGGAGTCACCACTGAGGATGTACCAGAAACAGAACGTGGCCTCCCGTGTTTATCTGAAGCAGACGCGTTGAAGTTAGCTCAGATTGGAGTGGCTCAAGAAAATCTATGGGGAGCTGGAAGAGACATCGAGTGGGCTATTACAAAGGTACTTTCAAGTTATGTGTGTGATACATGAACTATCAAATATCTATTTGTAATACTTACTATTTCATTGACAGGATGGTATATATCTATTACAAGCGCGCCCCATCACTTCCCTGGAGCGTTGGACGGAAGAGGAACTGCTGCACGAACTAGACACACCTATAATGTCCGACGACGAACTCACTACCTTTGCAAACACCGGTGAGGTGAGGTCCTATTTTTTTATCTCTAGACAATTCACACAGCACAATCTAGTCTCAAACTAAGCACAGCTTGTGTTATGGGTACTCATCAACTGTTATAAATAAATACATACATTTTTTTGTAAATACATACCTATATAGAAAACGATGCGATGAAACGAACCTTCCGATCAACGACTATCGGCGGTAAAGCGTTTAGCTAACCAGGGTTTCTTTTAGAATAGGGTCATAAAAGTGAAATTAAAATAAAACAATTGCATACAGGTATTACCAAAACCAGTGACGCCATTGACTGTTGATCTTGTCCTCTATCCTCTGATGATCACCATGAATGATATGGTCAGTTCTAATATGGAGCCGTGGGAAGATACCGTTATACTTACTCATAACAGAGTTGGAATAGCGCTTTACAGCGTAAGTATTATAGTAATATCTTGAGTTCATGTAATAATACAAATTATTGATCGCCCAGTTGTTGAAATTCGACGATAATATAATTAATTTAAATTACGGTTATGTTTCACATTCAGTAAGACTATAGACAAATAACTTTAAAGGCAAACAATGTTAATCTATTCTCAATTTGACATATGCGTGTGTGTGTATCAAATACATGATAGTGTGTGTAATGTTTTTTGTTATTGAAATATTGTGCGATGCACAGGGAACCATTAAAAAAATATTAGCATTCAGCACTCCTTCACTATATGAACAACAAGGGTGCGAAATTGTATACTCCTCAGTTCCCGCAATATTTGTAAAAATTGGGCAAAGATTTTACGTACATATACATATATTATGATTACTATTGTAGGTAACAAAGTTAGTTATTTTAAACATAGAAATAAACCAATGTTACAGACATCTTATCGCAAAGTCTCCAATGAAATTGACATGAACATTCGAATGCTCGAGATGGCCATCCATGGGAGAAAAGTTGCCGACCAAAACATTTTAAATGTAGCGAAACGTCGTCATCCGCCGCACTGGACTGACAAAATTGAATTAATGTCTACTCTTCTTTCGGTAATAGGTATTTCTTTAAATAGTAATGGGATGTTTATATTTTCTGAGCTCATATCTTATTTATCTCATTTTGTCGCATTTTAAATTAAACATTTTATGCAAAAACTACCATTGAATTAAGATATTCAATTTCAATCATATAAATTTTAGTGTTTACTTACTTCGAAGTGGAAAATGGACGAAAACATTAAGACATCGAAAGAAATGAATATAAAATATGACATTAATGAACCCTTGGAAATGTTCGAGATTCTGTTAAAGCAACTGGATAATATGAAACGCCTCTCAAGCAACCACAGTTACACTAGTGCCGCTAGTACATCTAGCCAATTTATAGCGATGTCTGTATTGTTAGAAGGTGCTATAGGTAATAAACGACGTATTTATATATTTTATATATTTCCGATGCCATTATTATTTTATTCTATTTTATTTTGTCATACATTATATGACAAAATAAAATAGAATAGTAATTTTAAAATAGGATTTATCATGCTGGGTATGATTAAAATTCTGAGGTACTTTTAAAGCAAATGCATCTTTCATTGTTGTGTGATTTGACTCTCATTTTATTCAGTAGTTTATTTTAGTATATGTAGGTTTTACATTTTCTCGTCTAACAATCAGACATGGGCCGATTTCAAACTAATAATCGGCCCATCTAAATGTAAGTGGTCTGTTGAATTTCATGACACTCAATGCGTTGCCGTTCCTGAAGACTAAGTTTCTATTATGTCGCTGTACATTATAATTTCTTTTTCTTCACTTTGATTCAAATCGGATATCAAATTGCAAAGCTGCTTCGCTGCAGAAACAAGTGAAACAGAGGTACTTATTATTAAATTATATAATATAATAATTATCAAATGACTGGATGTTAAGAAAATCGATTAAAATATGTTCGATAAAAAAAAATCACGTAGACTTAATATATTCTCACTTTTTATTGATAGATTTCACAACAGAACACTGTAACGAAATAAATACATTATTGAGCTCAGGGGATGTATTATCAGCTGAAGTGCCGCTAGGTCTTGCAAAATTAGCTCGTGAATTGGAAAGCTCGGGAAAACTGACGGAATTTAAAGGACAAGATCCGAAAAAAGCTATGGACTGGCTCATGGCTAACTTACCTCATATACATGCGAAAGTTTTAGAGTTCTTAGAAGAACATGGACACAGAGCTATTATGGAGGTAAATAATAGAATTAACATAAGTACTCAATCATACTTCTAGGTATTATTTTTAACATTTTACCAACGAGTAGACATTTAAGAAATAGTTTGATGAAAATTGTATAAGAAAAAGAAAATTTTAGAACATTAATATGTACCAAATTAGTAGTTGAGATTTGTTAATATTAAAACAAAAATAATAGAGGAATATTATAAAAATGTTGATCTTTTCATTGATTGTATTACAGTTTGATATGTCAACTAAACCATGGGCCTTGGTTCCGGAAGAGCTGATGAATATTCTTCAAAATATTAAAGTAACTGAAAAGGAAAATCCGAAGAGAGCATCCGATGACGAAATCATTGCTGCACTTACTACACCAAAGAAGTCATCTACAAGGTACCTTGTCCATTCAATAATAGAAAAGATATTTTTAATTGGGCTGTTTTTTTTTTTCGGACTACTCTAATGCTGTTGGCCGTAGCTGGCCTTTACAGCTTCACCGGACGTTATGGGGCGAGTGCAGATGGCACTCCAAACCCGCGGAAGGACTTATGGAGCGGCTGAAGGCCAACTCCTGCCCGACGGATACGACTTTAGTCTGAGGGCACCACTAGGGGTTCGAACCTCGGCTCAGGCCGTCGTAATTTCGAACCCCGTTTGAATTAGACGGGGGATCGATCGGAGGGGCGCCTGGGGGCGCCGGAGTGGAGCGCCCGGGCGCGCGCAGGTGCCCGGTTGAATGCGCGATATTGTGTGTTTGAGGTCGTCGTCTTCGCCGGCGAGGACGGTGTCGTGTGTATGTGTAAAAGTGTGGTCGGGGTGGAACGGGTGGGCCCGTGGGGAGGTTACCTGCCGTTATGGGGTCGTCGGGCTCAATGAGAACGTGCCTCGGGCGACGTCGTCGCGTATGTCGGATATTACTCCTCGGTGCTAATTGGACTGTATAAGAAAACAGAGTTTAAAAGGAGAGATAGAAAGACGGAGATAAAATGGTTAGAGAGTAGTCTCGGAAAACGAGTTTCTGACCTTGTAACATAGCCAAAAGATATTTAAAAAAGGAACTTGAATCCATTTTTAAATAGTTTTTTTTTATACACAGATTTTTTTTTTCAGCCAGTGTGGAATTTTACATTTTAAAGTGCATAACACTATCATATCACTTATAGGAAAGTATTATCGTGGGTGTTGCCACTGTGTCGTCGGACTGTACGTCACCGAGAGGGTACCAAGGCGCATTTAATTCTGGGCATCCACAAGTTACGTCTGGCGGCCATCGAGCTCGGCAAGCAGTTGGTTCGCCGATGGTACTTGCCGCATCATGACCTCATTTTCTTCTTCCGAGCAAAAGAGTTGACTGACTACATAACCAGTAGAGATCCAGCATTACTAAGAAAGTAAGTGTACTCATGACGAAATTAATAATTAGAGTGAAAGTGAACTCTAATGTAGAGTCGTATTTATTTTCTTCAAAATAATTATGTATTGGTTCGGTATTAAAGAGTAAATGGAAATTCTCGATGTCAAAAGAATAATGATGTAATCATTTAAAAGAAATTTACAGGTACCCATTACTGATATGCATGAATATAGAAAATATTCTCGGTGTGAATACTAGTAGGTATATGTCAGTTTATGTATTGGAATTTAAATTTTCTCTTACACCTGATTAGTTTTGGAACGTACGGCGTTATCATTAATGAGTCAACCAATATTTGTAGACGATTAATCACGTAGGATTTCAAATTTATTGGTTTTATCAAAAGTACAGATTAATGATAAACTTATTTTGCATCGGTGTAGTAGTACCGGTAGGTAGTAACTACCACAAATGTTCATAATTGACCGTGTTATGTTGATGGCCTCAGTGCTGTAGGGATTTAGTATATGTACTGCCGAAGCAAGTACAAGCGTATTACTTTAGTTTTGATGGTCGTGGGCTCTGTTCTTCTTACTATGCAAACGTTTATATTTATGAGTATGTTTATTTGTATTGTTTTGATTCTATGTACATTATGTATGTATTTTAAAAATGCACTTAAGTTTTTCTATCACTTATTTAGTATTCATAACACAAATTTTGTTTACCTTTGGACTAGATGGCGGTGTGTGAATTGTCCAGGGTTATTATTTTTATAAATAAATTACAGAGCGATTCAACGGCAACAATACTATCCAAAATGGTGTAAGCTTAAGTACTCTGAAATGAACACGGGATGGGTGCAGCCCCTGCCAGTGAAGGCTCCCACAGTAACGGCCGGTGATGTGAAGCTGGAAGCCACATCGGTCTGTGGGGGAGAGGTTATAGCTAGAGCTTGCGTCGTGAAGGATATTTCTGAGGTGAGATTTTGTTAAACACAAATGTCTTCATGCATAAGTTACATGTTAATTTAAACGTTGAAAGTTTATGACCTTATTGTAGCAAGTTATGAACAGTTCAGTCTATTGCAGGTCCACCAGTTGCAGCAAGGCGACGTGCTGATAACGCACGCCACCGACATCGGCTGGTCGCCGTACTTCCCGCTCCTCACGGGGATCGTCACGGAGCTAGGCGGGCTCATATCACACGGTTGGTACATTTTAAATTCTGCAGTGTTCGAAACTTCTCGTTTTTTAGATATAACTTTATTTTTGAGTGAAGAATTTATCCTTGAAGAAAAGGCCGCTCGCGTAATCCTGAGTGCGTAGCAGTGGCAAATCCTCGGAACGGTGAGGTCGCTCCGCGAAGCCTGTGGAGACACCAGAAACTTCTGCGCTTTTGGGAGGAGCTTGGCGGACTACTTTAGTAGTCTCGGCTCTACACCAATCTAAATTACATTATATCCTTGAGTGACGATATTACAATATATTTTTGTTACAGGCGCTGTCATAGCTCGGGAGTACGGTCTGCCTTGCATTGTTGGAGCCATGGATGCTACGGATATTTTCAAAACGGGAGATACTGTGAGACTCTCGGGCACCAAAGGACTGATCGAAAAAGTGCAAATTGCAGACAAATCTAAGGAACAACAAAGTTGATAAGGCATTGAAAGACTGAATGCTTATTATTTTATAAAAACTTATGCTAATATAAAATATGTTTACGTACTGTAACCATGTATATTTTGTATGATTTGTTAAGTATATTATTGTTGTTATAACGTATTTTAATTATTTATAATAAAGCATTTAAAAAATCAAATGATTATATTACTTAAAATATTTATATTATATTTTGCGTGTTATACATAATCATTGAGAAAATGAATATCTAGAATCCATATGTCAGAATGAGATGATATGTAGGAAACAAATATATCTACCCCAATCTCTTGGCAACAAACACTGGACACAGACAAAGAGAATAAAAATCATTGCAGTATTCTATGCCTGTGATTATGGTCTCACTCATGTAGTAACGAGTACCTAATTAATAAACAGAGGTAAGCTCCTGTTTTTATTTAAGATTAGGTACATATGCTTTATTTATTACGAGTATACATATAGTTAACGTAATGTCCATTATGCTGTTTATGTGTGGCGTTTAAGGCGACAGAGGTGGATGATCCACCTTGTTTTCTAATTACATAAAATATATCTTTTTCGAAGTTAGTTAGTGTTTCATAAAGTTAAACCTACATATTTTGTTTATCCTACATGTTATCTTTTGCACCTGAAGCACAGATAAGATAATATTATATAATTTGAATGGAAAAACTAAGTAGATGTATAATTTATTTACACATAAGTACTTTATAACGTAAGTGTCATTTAGAATCATTATAACTGACCTTTATTACATTGTGTTCTTACATAGATGGCTATCTATTGTACAAAATGATTAGTAATTGTTTAATCAGTCATATTAACAATTATGAAAATTAATTCTTAGATAAATGTAATCACAACTATAGACATCAACTCAGACTATACAATAAAACTGATAATTTTTGGATACCGGACGTGGGTATACCTACAATAAGCGGCATAAGTGGAAAAAACCTAAGATAATCGGGGATTTGTAAAGGTAAAATAATAATGATAATAAATATACGCATATTAAAATTATATTCCTATACCAACAAAAAATATATGTGTAGTAGGTACCAGTGACGAAGACGTAATGCAGTGAAAATACAATGTGCCAGTCTTACACAGGTAGACTTTATTCTTGTATTCGGAATCTCTGTCTCACCTATTTCAGCTAGCAAGTAGGTTCCTCTATGAGCTTTATACCTACTTTGCTTGAAGGCTGAGAATATGACAGTGAAATTTCAGGGGACACGACAACTTAGTTTTACCATGGGCGGCATATCACATATAATGTGCTTGCTATTTATATTTTTGTATATAGTTGCCATTCCAATACACAAAAAAGACTACATTTCGACTTCATTGTAAAAGGCTTTCAAAAAGAACTCCAAAGGGAGAAACGTACTTATGAACTTTTTAGACTTATTTGGAATAAAGTTATTCATGAATAGAATATCCAGATTATAGTTCTAAGTGATTATGATAAAACAACGAACAAACGCATTCGATGCCGAGTCGATGAACGTGTTATTATGTTAAAGTAATCCATATCTGTGATACATCAATATAATGCCATTATTATTGATTACCAAGCTATCCTAATTAATTACTTCGATTTTAAAACTAGAACGTTCACTTGTGTACGACTGTTGTTCGGGGTTCGACGTGGGCGGTTGTGAGCGACTTACGATTGTGTTGAATTTCATATTGATGTACAAACTAGTTCATTATTTTGAAATTAACTTTTACTATAGTTGTATTTATTTAACATGGTACTTTTGGATATTTTCTTTCAAGCTGGTTTGGCAACGTTCGTTTTGGTTGTGTACTTAATGCTTTTTAAAAAACGGAAAACAGAAAAGAAAGGGCCTTATAGCCAGCCAGGTTTGTTTATTATAAACTAACAATTAAAAAAAACTAACAAATTATACTTAACATTATTATACTACGACTTCCTTCCCTTTATTTAAATAACATAAAAATCCCTTTATATAAATAACTACTTAGCACAGAAGTATCAAATAGGTACCGATATAATAATATCTTAAATATGTAATACATATTACATATTTAATTTTTTTACAGAAATGACATGTCACATTATTTTAGCTCATCTCGTGGGCTACCGATCCCCTTACGATATCGATCCAATATAAAACTATTGACAATTTTTTAGGATGGAATTATCCTCTCAAATGTTGGTTATCGAGATGGTTTGCAATAGGCCGCTGGAAGGCGCAGTGTGTGTTAGTACCTACAGACGATTTACCTCGTACTGATCTGTACGAGGGCTGGGACTCCGTCGACGTACGCGCCACCTGCGCGGACGGGACTGCTGTACTTCTTGGTATACGAAAGTTGTGCGGAAGGCACCCCATTGCGGAAATCACAGTATACGTCAAGTTAGCAGATGGATCCAGTTATAGACTACCAAGTATGTTATTTATCAATTAATTTACTAAAGTTAGTAAAGTATATTGCGCTGACAGTATCTATAAGTTCTATAACACATTGTTTGTTCTTTTAATCCAAATATCCCGGTATTTTTGTTAACGTTTACGATTTATAAAAACACTTCTATACCTTCGAAGATAATAGTTGAGGCCTAATATATTATAAAGTGCTGAAAAATACACAATATTTCCACTTCGTCGCAAAAACTTAACGAAAAATGGACGGAAAATGACAATTATTCTATTAAAAAATACCTGGCCTATTTTATAGAGAAAATAAGTCCTTTGTTTTTCCTACGGTATATGGTACGGTGTATCGGTTGTGTTGTGTATCCAAGCATTTTGGGAATGCTGTTAGTTGAAAAAAATACAAAAGAATACTAATATTACGATCATCCGATCACGTATCGGTAAAAGAAAAACAATCGCTGTACTAGTGCATCTTTGTTACTAATGTGTAGTTGTCTTGGCAGGTACAACATTTGCCAAGACAACAAATACTTAATTGATACTATGCACTTGGACGACTTACAATCTTACGTCAAGACGTAACAAGACTTACGTCTACTTTCAATTCCTTATAATAATAGCCCTACTCATAAATACCAATGTTTCTTATTCTCAAGAATGAAATCCGCGACCAGATTTTGTATAAGTTCATACCACATATATGTGTACTTATACAGCTGTCGCAAAATAATTACACCAAGTGTCTACGTTTTGTCCCAGAACATCCAGATACTATAACATGCTACTGGGAGGATACTGAAGGTGCTTGGAGTGCAGGTGGGCTGAAGATCCAAGTCCTGGAGTCAAAGACTCGCCTGAGGATATTGTTTAATGGTCTGCTCACTTCAGTCGAAGATGGTGCTTTACAGCATGTTACTTTTAATTTTATGTATGTAATCTATTACTATAATATTAACAGACCAGTCGCCGCACCGACTGGAATAACTAGAAATTACTACTTATAGATATTCTATTATGTAAACTTAATAAAATATATACCTATATAACACCATGACCATTGCCACAATTGGAGACTAAACTATTGTGTAATTGGTTTTCTAGCTCCTCAGGTGAATGCAATAATGTACCTATTATACCCAAGTACTTTAAATTGACTACAGACTATCTCTTTCCTAAATATTTATAATCTACAGGTTCATTTGTAGAAGTCGTATAGAAGTAACGAAAACAAATAATTCTAGGGCGTAGTGTGCCCTAAAATTAATTAATAAGTTATTTCGGTAACTGACAACCCTATAATTTGAATGAATTAAGTGCCTATATTTATTGATGTGATTACATATATATTATGTAACCTTTGAAATGCCGTAAGAATTTTTTAAACAGGAGTAGCTGTATGGATAAGCAAGTTCAGAAAGTTACCAATCACATACATAAATACGAGAAATGTACTCGTTTTTATATAGTAAATAAACCTTTAATGTATTAAGTTTTTCTTTGTTTTAGATGGATATCTGCCTCAAATGCATTGCGATATCCTGAGGACTGGAGTGCAGAGCTCGCAGCACAAGCTTTGTCTTTGGAGCCATGGCGAGATAGCAACTGGCCTTATTTACTGTAAGTTTTTCAAAAATCACAACATTTATATTATTTTTGATAGTAGTGTAAAGAAACCTGAAGCACATTGTACACATTATATAAACGATGTCGGAAGCCCTTAAAGAATATTATCATTTATATAATTTTAAATAACCGTCAAAATCGTTCAAAACACTGAAGGACCGTCACATCTATTATCCTATGCATATTTGGGAATGTATATATATTTTTCATAATATTTAACGGATTTACAGAGGTAAATGGGAAGAGGGCGGATGGTTGCAATGTGGTGCTGTGCAAGGCCGTTTTCAATGTTTTGATCAACAAGGCGTTTTGGACAAGGATGAGTATTTACGTCTGCGAGGAGTGAGAGAAAGAAGTTGGGCGCCCCATGGGTATGAGGGTCGGAGACGCTCGGTTACTGTTACAGCATCTTCTAAGGATGGCACCGTGGTGCATCTTCGTGGACTTTCATATAGAAATATTTTGACGCAGTATGTATTCCTATTTTGTATATTCCGTAATATTATAATATAATTATGTTAATTTTTTTTTATAAGTTATTTTCTACTGATTAATTCTACTACTAGTTGTCATCTACTTTAACAATTATCTCTTTTATAAAAGAATACATTAAGTGCCTTTCAAGGGGTATAATTTGCGGTTGTTTTGAGTTTTCCATTTCTTGTCTTGATGTTATGAAAATTGTTTTCTTATTTTACCTTTTTTTTTTTATAACACAGGGGACAAACGAGCAAGCGGCTCACCTGATGGTAAGTGATTACCGCCGCCCATGAGCACCCGCAACACCAGGGGAATTGCAAGTACGTTGTCGGCCTTTTAAAAAGGAATAAGCTCTTTTCTTGAAGGTTTCAATATCGTATCGGTTCGGAAATACCATTGCTGGAAGGTGATTCCACAATGTGGTTGTGCGAGGCAAAAAGTTTCTAGAAAACCGTACTGTGGAAGACCGCCATTCATCCAGATGATCAGGATGGTATTTCAGTTTCTGGCGGGTGGTACGGTGGTGAAACTCAGCAGCTGGTATTAATCCGAACAATTCCTCAGAACACTCCCCGTGATATATGCGGTAGAAAATGCACAGAGATGCAATATCTCGTCGCAAAGCCAATGGGTCGAGTTTGTCATATAGACGTTGATTAACAATGATTCTGGCTGCTCGATTCTGAATGCGGTCAAATGGAAGTAGCTGGTATTGTGGTGCTCCGGCCCAGAGATGAGAACAGTATTCCATATGCGGCCGGATCTGCGCCTTGTATAATTGCAAGCGATGGGCCGCCGTGAAATACCGTCTCACTCTACTGAGCACACCAAGCTTCTTCGAGGCTATTTTAGCCTTGTCCTCCAAATGACCGCAAAACTGAACGTCACTGGATATATCAACGCCAAGGACCTCGAGATTTGGCTTCACATCAAGGAGAGTGTCTTGAAACTGAGGAGATACGATAAATGGATTCTTTTTAGCGGTAAACGCGCAAACTTGTGTCTTCTTGGGGTTGAATTGAACACAATTTTCCTGACCCCAGACCGAAACTTGATGGAGTGAAGTTTCGATTTCGGACACAAGTTTGTTCCGGTACTCTATAACTTTTGCCTGCAACATATTAGCATGGCCGCTGTACAAGGCATCTCCGGTACTGTCATCCGCATAGCAATGAATGTTGTTGATTTGTAACATGTCATTGATATGCAGAAGGAACAGAGTCGGAGATAGCACACAGCCTTGTGGAACACCAGCATTCACAGAGTGTGGGTCGGAGCAAGCACCATCGACAACGATCTTGATGCTCCGATCAGCGAGAAAGCTGGCGACCCATTTGCATAACTTCGCAGGCAACCCAAAGGATGGTAGCTTTGAAAGAAGAGCCTTGTGCCAAACCCGATCAAAGGCCTTCGCAATATCCAGATTAACAGATAGGGCCTCCCCCTTACTCTCAATAGCCTCTGCCCATCGATGTGTCAAATACGCTAGAAGATCACCAGCCGACCGACCCTGGCGAAAGCCATATTGACGATCAGAAATCAACTGGTTCACTTCTAGGTATCGTAGGAGTTGACGGTTGACTATCGACTCCATGATCTTTGAGAATAAGGAGGTGATGGCTATGGGCCTATAGTTAGCTGGATCTGAGCGTTCTCCCTTCTTAGGGATCGGATGAACCAAAGCCGTCTTCCAAAGTTTCGGGACTACACCTGTAGAGTAGCAGTACCGGAAAAGACGCGTTAGTACCGGAGCCAACTCAGGTGCACACGTCCTGAGCACAATAGCAGAAATACCGTCAGGCCCACTCGACTTTTGGATATCTAGGGAGAAAAGAGACTTACGTACCAGTTTTTGGGTAAATTTTACCTCTGGCATAGAAGTCTCACACCGCGAGATGACCGGCGGTGATTGCTCCCTATCGTCCAGTGTCGAGTTGCATGCAAAAAGAGACCCAAGGAGATCGGCCTTCTCTTTAGCATGTTGGGCCAACGAGTTATCCTCTCTGCGCAGTGGTGGAAAAGATGGCTGACAGAAATTTCCTTGAGCAGCCTTGGCAAGAGACCAAAAAGCCCGGGATCCAGATGGAAGACTGTTCAATCTCCTACCAATTCTGCTGATGTGCTCCGACTTTGCTGTGGCTATAACTCTTTTGAAGGACCTGGAAGCGGAGTTATACTTCCTTTTATGGGCACTAGTATCTGGATCACTCGACTTCACAGCTGCAATCCAGGCACGGAAGCATTCCTGCTTATGGCGAGACGCCGATCTACATGATCCGCCATACCAGGACTGAGATCTACCACCGACAGGTACCAGGGAATTTGGAATAAACATCTCCATTCCCTGAAGTACTACATCGGTGACAGATTCAGCTATTGCATCGGGATCGTCCAGTGCGAAGCAAACTCGCCCCCATGGGTAAGATGCAAAAAAACTTCGCATCTCATCCCAATCTGCCGACTTAAAATGCCAAACACGACGTCGACCAATAGATCGCGGCAAAGAAGGACGCGTGAGAGGCACTTCGCTCCGTATCAGACAATGATCAGAGGATCCCAGTGGGGCTTCCACAGAGATCTGATATTCGTCCGGATGAGAAGTCAGCTGAAGGTCCAACAGTGAAGGTATATGGTCAACAACATCAGGAATTCGCGTAAGCGAGGATACCAGTTGCGTCAAACCATATGCCAAAGCAAAGCCATGAACAGATCTCCCCGCATAATCGGTGGTACGTGAACCGAGCCATTCAGCGTGATGGGCGTTGAAGTCACCTAGAATCACGACCTCAGCGCAGGGAATCTGTTGGAGCAAAAAATCTGTAGCCATTTGGACGTGTTCAATGAGTCGGTCAGTTTCGGTGTTACCGCTATGGGACCTGTATAAGCATGCATAGATGCGGGGGTGGTCATCGCAATCTACACGCAACCATAAAATGGACAGGTCAACCTTCAAGTGTACCAAGACGGCGACAACAAATATCCTCTCTGACATAAGCGCACACACCGGCCCGTGGAATAAAATGGTGTTCCTATTTATATCCAGGGTAGGTCAGGTACGAAATTTCATCGGGACAGGATATTTTCGTCTCCGTAAGGAAGAGCAAAGCCGGCCTCGCCGTCTCTAGATGGTGGTGAACGGCGTTGAGATTGGAATGAATTCCCCTGATGTTGCAAAAACTGACTATGAGCAAGGGAAACGCCGATGGAGATTTGCTCGGTTTCCTTCTGGCCAAATTGAGCGGAGAATTGCCCACCCCAGAATACGCAGGGCAGCCTGAGTGTGATATCTCAGGGGTGGATTCTCCAGTAACATTGTTACTGGTACCACCCTGGGGTAAAAATCTCTTATAATCCGCTGCCATGGTATGTAAGAAAGGGGTGGGTAGGGGAAGGAAGTAGGAAAGGGATAGGGGGAGGGGGAGGGGCGTCCGGAACCTACAGCTCACCATGCGAAACGCGATATCGCTTAACGCCGGTTTTCTGCCGAGGTGTGGTATTTCCCGGTTCGAGCGGCCCAATCGTGCTGAACAACCACGTGTGGTCGTACAGTTTGCTCTACCACTTATATAATATCCTGGATATGGAAAGGAATTGCGACCCGAACCATCATGTATTCTTGCTCCATCACTACACAGAGAGCTAAATAACATTTTTTTAAAATTTTATATGTACTTAGTCAATCTGACTTGTATATCTAAGACTATTTTACCTATTAGGTTGTTATATGTTCATAATATTTATTTAACTATTAAAATTTGTTTGCAGATGCATCTCTGGACATGTCAGGTACCCTAACTATAAAGTTGAAAGTATAATTGATACAGATTTTGTTCTGGGAGATTTTTGTGAATCTATATCTGGGGTACCGAAGATTTACACGATAAATGTGAGCAGTAAGTTAAATGCATTTCATTAAAATGGCTAACATTATTATTCTAGTCGCATTGGTGATAAATATGTGGTATCAATATCACTTCTGTTCCAGTACAATTTTATTGGGGTTTTGACTTAATTGTCTTTCAATTTTTACGCACATAATATTCAGTTAATATACGGGAAAGTTTGTTAGTATGGATGGATGGATGGATGGATATTTGTTACTCTTTCCCACAATAACTACTGAATTGATTTTGCTGAAACTACATAGCTTATAAAGAATACCACACATAATTTAAAAAGATATTATGTAATTTTGGTGAAATATATTGATAAGTGTGCGCGGAACAGCTAGTGTTTATTTAATCTTTATTCTTATTCACTATATAAAAGTGGTATAAAATGCTAATTAAAATCTGTGGTTAACCTCTACCAGTCGATATTTATTATGTACTAGGCTTGTTCATTTTGGTTTGTCTGTTGTAGCTAAATATCGCAGTATTCGCTTGGTTCTACGTATTAATGACGATGGCGGTAATTTACTAAGTGGAATTCCATACCAACAAGAGTTGGAGTATCGTACCTTGGTGGTCAGCATTGATGATTCACCCGGCTCTGGTACACTAGAACTTGGCTATGAGCCTACAGGTAAGAAAAAAAAACAAAGTTATGGAGGTTATAGATGAGTATTAATGATTCTCTTTGATAATTATTGGCTTCTAATTGTAAAGTATTACAATAATACATTGCATTCTTTATGTTTACGAAATAACTGAACGCTTGTGTATCATAAAAAGAATCATAAGATGAACATTGAGACACATTACAACTTATACATATCTATATTAGTATTGGAATAAAAAAATTAATATATTACAGAAATATCAGATCCAACAGCGGGTCTGCCTCCACCGCGCACCCTCAAGTGGCTTAGTGTTAGTGAAGTTGGTTCCGTGGGCTACTGCTTGCCATTCGAAGCCCGCGCCGCGGCCTGTCCCGACTATGTCGGGGGTAAGGGCGCTTCTTTGGCTCTTCTTGTTTCCGTACAAGACAGTGAGGTGGATATCTTTTACCATTCATACGCATTCGTGAAGATCATATTGTCGAGACCTTTTGTTATAACAATAACAGTGCACCCGCCTGCATTAATGGTTTACATTGGCGGGGCACCAGTGGAAGGAGTCTAAGGTCAGGTCTGCTAGCCCATCGAGACGAATTTATCACTATGGTTTCAAGTCAACTTGACATGGTACATTTTCAATATTTATACTCTGCTTCGATCAATATAAATAATCGAATAATTATGGACCTCCTAAATAATATTTCAGGGTTACAAAGTGCCACCAGGATTTTGTTTGACAATACGAGCTTTGGAGAAACATCTCGGTGCTAATCCAAAAATATTGGCAGCTATCCGTGAAATAGAGGCTGCTAATGAAGACTATAATGAAATCAATTTCAAAGACAAGTGTACAAAGTACGTTTGGTATTTTCCCTACAATTACGTTGTAGCTGAAGTTTATCCATTAATTTATAATAGAAGATCTTCTTAAAAGATCGATTATCAGTAGGTATATACTAATACAACAACATACAACACAACATATACAACTAAGTAGATATTATATTATATTATATTCACCTAGTGCGGGGTCCAATGTATAATCAACAGTAGATATTCTTTTCATTTCATTAAACATATATAAGAAAGTCATGAACATATCAAAGTAAATAATAATTATAAATAATTTTTTTTCCTTGCCGATTTCAGAGATTAAGCTGGTTATCTTGTATTTCAGGGCTGTAGAATTATTTGTCAATACAGAAGTAACTGAAGATGTAAGAAAAGAGATACTAGTTCACCTAAAGGAATTAAGAAATGCGACTGTGAAACAGGATTTAGAACAACAATTTGCCGTCAGATCTTCAGGTAAGATTGAAAATAGTTGATGATGATTATAAGGTTGAGAAACAACAGGCTTTGATATAGTTTTTTTGGAAGTGTCTAAATATTATCAATTAACGATTTCGCAATCATCTAAAATGCAACAGCGGTGGGTGAAGATAGCGAGACGCTCTCGGCGGCCGGGCAGAACGAGACGATACTGGGCTGTACGAGCGACGAGCACGTACTGCGCGCCGTGCAGAAGTGCTGGGCCTCCATGTTTGCATTCACCAGCGCCTACTACCGCAGGTACTACTCGCACGGTATTACCGTCGTTGATAACGTCAATCGATAGTGGTATTAATACTACTGCTGGTGTGGTGCGTGGTACAGACAGAACGGGCAGCCGTGCGCGTGCGGCGGCGGCGTGGTGGTGCAGGCGCTGGTGGAGCCGCGCGCGGCCGGCGTCATGTTCACGCGACACCCAGACCGGGGCGACGCATCACGGCTACTCATCACAGCCAACTACGGACTTGGTGAGGTAAGTGCACAGCCACATATTCCTTGTAGAATTTTTCATCAACTCAAATATATATATATATTTTTTGACCTGCATAACTTTGTATCATACAAAATTATGCAGTTTTATAAAAATACCTCAACATAATTCTAGTTATGACAATTCGTTTCTCTATTTATGTTTTTTCAATGTTCTTCAATTGTCAACTAAAATTTACTAGTAGAAAAATATTGTATTTCTTGCAGACTGTTGTATCGGGTTCAGTAGATCCAGATACAATAATATTAAGACGAGGTGAAGATAGTAACCTTACCATAATGAAAGTCGATTTAGGTTCAAAGACTCAGCGAGTGATGAAAGCTAGTACTGGTGGAGTCACCACCGAGGATGTACCAGAAACAGAACGTAGCCTTCCGTGTTTATCTCAAACAGAAGCGTTGAAACTGGCTGAGATTGGAGTGGCTCAAGAAAATTTATGGGGAGCTGGAAGGGACATCGAGTGGGCTATTACAAAGGTACTTTAAAGTTATGTGCATGATATATTAATTATGAAATATTTATTTATAATATGATATAGGTAATAAATATCTTATTAATTATCAAATATCTATTTATAATATTCAATTTACAGGATGGCATATATCTATTACAAGCGCGTCCCATAACATCCTTGGAGCGTTGGACGGAGGAGGAACTGCTGCACGAAATGGACACACCTATCATGTCCGATGAAGATCTAACTACCTTCGCAAACACCGGTGAAGTGAGATACTATTTAACTTTCTAAATACGATTCTAAAATCTTACTAAATAAACGCGAAAGTTTGTGGGTCTTGATGGACCGATGGATAGATGGATATTTGGTACTCTTTCACGCAACAACTATTGAACGGATTTTGATGAAACCTTACAGTAATATAACTTATACATCAGAATAACGCATAAGCTATAAATTTCATGCAGGTGAAACCGCGGGCACAACTAGTAAAAAATAATAGTTGTAGTTCAATAGACATTTTATAAGCTTACAGTTGCTGCAACTATTTTGAAATCACACTATATTGTTGACATACGTGGGAAAAACATCTTGGCAAATCAGCTATAATAATATATATTATTATATTTTGCGAATTTTATATGCAGACTGTTGATGATGAATACGATATTGTTGGTAGAGACTATGTATATTATAGATGATAATAGACTGACAATATGTACATAAAAATATTGATCTTATATACTAAATGACAATAGGAAAATGTAAGGTGGGGTGACGCATTTTAGACACGGCAGTGCTTAGTAGACAATATTGAGTTTGTCTTACTAGCCATATTTAATTGCAATTATTATTTTGTAACTGTGTCCCATAGATATTTCCCCCTTGAGAGAAAAAAAATATTACACACACAAAAAATGAAGTTATAAAAATTAACTGTAAAAGATTAAGATATTATGCCCTTTAGTCACAATAAAAATTCATTCTACCCAAATAACGACGAAAATCTTTGACTGTCGTGGGTTTAGGGTACTCGTCGATTGCTTGCAATTCTTCTTGCGTCGGTTTCATCCCTTGGCTCGTTATATGATAACCATTTATAAAAAGGTGGAACACTAATGATGTAGGCAGCAAATTATAGAAGTTTGTCAAATTTCAACAGGTATTTCCGAAGCCAGTTACTCCATTGACAGCTGATTTCGTCGTCACTCCAATGGTGGCCGGATTGAATAAAATGGTCAGTTTTGACATGGAGCCTTGGGAAGACAGTCTTGTAATTACTCATAACAGAGTTGGAATATCACTGTACAATGTAAGTTTGTAGTACACTTTACAGTAAAAACGTAATGCTTATTTTGTACTACTACTAACAGAACCTTTTAAAATATAAATTTACATACCTGGATTTCAAGTTAAGGTTGCCTGAAAGACATGTCCTTTCGCGATATGGTTGCTGATTGTGGTGTTTTTTCTTCTATCCTCTAAATTATTTCTTCCGTTTAGTTTCTTGTAATTACGTCTTTTAATGTATCTAAATAATATTATTAACCATGGGTATTATTAAATTTTAATTTGTTAAAAATTACAACATTATCGTACCTTCATATTATACGTGCAGTTGAATAACTGAATTGTTTTTCAAAATTATACATCTACGTCTTTGGAATTAGTATCAATAAACAATGGAGTTGTTTTAAGAAACTTGTATTACATTAAATTATCTAATATTTACACACACGTTAAAAGAAAACGTTACGTTTCGTTACGTTAAATTTAGTCAATATTTCACAGTCAGTCTATCGCCGAGTACCTAAAGAACTGAATAGTGGCGTACGTATGAATGAGATATCTCTCCATGGAAGGAAGGTTGCTGACCAAAACCTATTTAACGTAGCGTTGCGTCGTCACCCGCCGCAGTGGACCCACTATATTGACCTACTGAAAACTATAATATTGGTAAATTTATGTCTGGAATATTTATTTTAGCATAGATAACTAGTTAGTATTTTCATATGCGACTGCATTTTCTTCTGGAGCATCACCATATCCTAATCACGTGAATAAATTTGAGAAAATAATTAAATAACAGTGGTAAAAGTATAAAATATTGTAATTACATAGTTTCAAATTAACTGATTAAGCACAATATGCAATATCAATCTCAGTATCAATATTATATACCTACTTTTTACTTCCTATTTAGTGGCTGCCTGTTAGTTATTCGCTTCATTTTCTTCTTTAATCTTTTCTTATAGAGTGCACTGACATTTACTTTATATTCCACTTATTTTAGTATCTAAGAAGTTCAAATCCGAAGATGAAAGATAGTATTACGACGGTCAAGAAAATGAATATAAGAATGGACAGTGAAGACCCGATGCAGATGTTGGAGACGTTGTTAAAGGAATTGGATGTAATGTATCGACTCTCCTTGAACCACGGTTTCACTACTGGGGCCAGCACAGCTAGTCAATACATTGCAATGATCATATTGTTAGAAGGCGCCACAGGTAAAAAACTGTAATATATTTTTTAATTTTAAGTTATTTTTATTAAAAAAAATATATGAGTTTGAACCCAGAAAAACTAAAAAGAAACACTGCTCTGTTTCAAATGAAATTGCATTTGCAGTGCTTAATTGCAATAATACAGTTAAATATTAAATTTAAAGTGAATACAGTGAGCATCAGTATGGGTTATTAAATTATTGAAACTAAACCAAACATTAAAGTAAGAATAGCATATAGTTTAATATTCTCAGTAATTTATATGAATAATTCGTGGTATGTACGAGTATCAACTTATCTTGCAAAGGTTAACTAGATTTATAGACATACTTGCGTCCCCAAGTATCGTTTAGAAAAAGTCATTAGGTCTTTTATGAGAATGATATAAAAATTTACAATAAGATACCAAAGGATATGATTGGAATTACCCTTAAATAAATTAAAAACATCTGTTAAATCATATTTACTGAGCAAAGCCTATTACTCTCTAAACGTTTAGTTGAATGACGAGCGTGCATGGCAATAGTTGTTCATGCACTGGATTTTCATTTAATGTTAAAAAATTCAGAATTCAAAATTCAAAATATCTTTATTTATGTAGGTCTATTACAGACTCTTATGATATGTCAAATCTACCGTCAGTTCGGAATGATATCGAGATGAGAAGAACTGACAAGAAACTCAGCTCGTATTTTTTTCAAATAACATGTTTATGATAAATACAGTTATTAAAATTCAAATTTGGGAGAATAGAGTGACCACCAGCTTATGCTATCGCAAAGAATAAAAAATTTAATCAGTGTTCACAACCTGAACAGACCAGTCCCCACAAGCAGCACCCGTTCACGAGTATGACGTATGAGCCAGCCATCATTGTACTCAGCCATATTTGAGGGAGCACATCGACCCGGCCCACCACGCCGCCACAAGTTTGAATTTTATAGCGAGCATGACTGTTTCAGGTTACTCCACTACGTCAATTATTAGTTAGACATAGACATCTATATAAATATACATTGTAAATAAACTGACTTTAAAAAAAAAAGTAATTCAATTGAGTTTGCCAGTTTTTCTCAATAGGATCTATATACCGAATTGAACGGTAGGGAAAAAATTAAAATTATAACGTAATATAATAATCATAACGTAAATAAAAATTTTACGTTCATAAGCAGCTAAAATGTCCTACATGAATAAATGATTTTTGAATTTGAATTATATTTATTACACTACATTGTTTTAGTGGGATAGACTGGTTATACTGATCCCGTATCTCTCTTGTGTTCCAAATATTCTTCATAAAAATATCTTGATAAGTATCCATAGACCTATCAAACAGCGCCATTTATTTTTTCACAGATTTCACAACGGATCTTTTCAACGAAATAAACACGTTACTTTACTCTGGGGAAGTGCTATCCGCTGAAGTGCCGTTAGTTCTAGCGAAACTGACACGTGAGTTGGAGGCTTCAGAAAAATATGACGAATTTAAGGCGCAGGAACCCAGGGACGCCTTAAACTGGCTGATGAGTAACTTGCCTAATACCTATACGAATGTGCAAGACTTTTTGAATGAGCATGGTCATAGAGCTATCATGGAGGTAAATTATATAAATATTAATTCTCGCAATTACGCAATCAAAACACACAGTTTAATAAATAATCGACTCAATGTCTTTATTACAGTATGATATGGCAACTAAACCATGGGCATTAGTTCCCGAAGAGCTCATGAAAATCCTTCAAAACATGAAAGTAAATGAAAAAGAAAACAAAGGAAATAAATCTGATGCTGAAATCATCGCTGCGCTCACAACCCCAAGAAAGCCACTTACTAGGTAACTTTTGATAAGTCACTTGTTAAGTACGACTGAAATAGTAAATAAGGTGAGAGTCAGTATCAGTGAACAAAGTCAGCTTTTTGTTGAGAATGCAGAAGGAAAGAACAGATTGTATTATGGTGCTAAAGTGTAACCCGGCCTTGGCACAGTTGCGAAATAACCTACAATACCACAGTCCTTGGAACGTCATAAATAACAACACATCTTAGTAGCAGGCATGAGGGTTACCACTGGCGTTATGTGATGTAGGGATGTTAGTGGTACAGTATGTTGAACCATCCAGGGTATCACTTAAAAATCTATTGGTCTTATTGCTTTTATGCCAGAGATTACATATTTTATCAACTTCATTGTTACAGAACATGTTATGTACCTAATATTTTTCTTACCTAGGAGACTGTTGTCGTGGCTGCTGCCTTTGTGTCGGTGGACAGTGCGTAATAGAGAAAGTACAAAAGCGAATCTAATTTTGGGCGTCCACAAGTTGCGTCTGGCTGCTATCGAACTCGGGAAGCAGTTGGTGCGCCGCTGGTACTTGCCGCACCATGATCTCGTGTTTTTCTTCCGAACGAAAGAGTTAACTGACTATATAACTAGTAGAGATCCAGCATTACTAAGAAAGTAAGGTATACTTACTTACAAATAAGGTTGTAGTACTTTTCTTCTCTGTATTAATATCAATCAATCAATGAAGTATCAATGTCATATTTTGCTTGAATGATTTTTATACACTACAATACTACAACAGCATTAGGGATTTTTTTTTATTAGTATTAAATATAAATCAAATTATTTAGTTCTCTGTAACGAACCATAATAATTATATAGAAATAGAATAGTAAAATATAATAATAATTTGTGACTGTAGAATTGCAAATTGTTTTTAAAAATCTATTAAAATTTTTGCGGTAATCTGAGGAAATGCCATGAGAAAGTTATTGTTACCTAATAAGATAATTTAATAGAAGTATAGAGATATGTATGTAGGTACTAATCTGTCTTAGTTAGTATACAATCAATCTGTCATCCAACAGTTTGCAAGTTGCTATTGAGTTCGAACAATTAACAATTTCATCTGGATGATAAGAAAAGTCGGAAAAAAGAATAAATAAACTTAACAATGAATTTGTATAGATCAGTACGATCGAATTGTAAATGCTCGTTAATAGTAATGAATAATAATTCTTACATAAATATATTATTACAGAGCAATTCAACGTCAACAATATTATTCGAAATGGAGTAAGCTCAAGTACGCTGAAATAAATACGGGATGGGTTCAGCCCCTGCCAGTGAAGGCTCCCGCAGTGACGGCCGGTGACGTGAAGCTGGAAGCCACATCGGTCTGTGGGGGAGAAGTTATAGCTAGAGCTTGCGTCGTGAAGGATATTTCAGAGGTGAGATTTGGATTGAGATGTCTTCATGCATTATTTACATGTTTATATAAACGTTGAACATGTATGCCTTTATTGTGGCAAATTATTAATGAGTTCGTTCTATTGCAGGTCCACCAATTGCAGCAAGGCGACGTGCTGATAACGCACGCCACCGACATCGGCTGGTCGCCGTACTTCCCGCTACTCACTGGGATCGTTACGGAATTAGGCGGGCTCATATCACACGGTTCGTTACTGATACATTTTTAAAATTTAGAATTGGGTTTTACTGAATTACGAGTAGCATAGACGTAGTAAACATACATAGAATTATAGTTACTCATTCTTAATTAATAAAATCTCTCTTTACAGCAATGTCATTACAAGGTAGAGAGTTTTAGATTTACTATTTTTACACAGATTAGTCTCTAGTTTTGAGATTATATATGAAATATTTGATAATTCTAATGTCACTATACAACTCGGTATTATATCTCCACATATCAAATTATTCGCACATAAATCCCTTTTCACGACTAATAAATGTTTATGTGGATCTTAATTACCTCAAAATTGAATTTGCGAGGGGTGAAATAGTGGATAAAAGTTTGTGCAGACTAAGTCGCAAGTAACAGTTACCAGCTGCATCTAAAGTTTTTGTTTTGTTTGGTTCTTACATAATTTCTCTTGTGCGACTGTGACAAAAATTCTAGCGATCGCCTGAAAAATTGTCTTAAGCTTTCGCTGGAATATTTTTTTGTGTCAAAGAATAAGTATGAAAATGGATTTCTTTTATTATTTTTGACGGCCTCGGTAGTCTTGCGGTTTGGAATACCGCCTTCAGGTCACGGTTTCGAGTGCTCGCATGACACAACCCTTTGTATTCATGAGTATGATTGTTTGTATCGGTCTGGGTGTTTTCTATGTATAATATGAATGTATTTACAAAAAATATATACCTATCTATATCTATGTATATTTATCAGTCATCTGGTACCCACACTAGCATAATTTGAGTCTAGATGGCGCTGTGTGAACTGTCCCGAGTTTATTTTTATATTTATTTTAGGTATTTGAATTATTAAAAAATGTCCACAATGTTTGGGCTGACCCCTAATGGATTTTTTAATTTTACAGGAGCGGTAATAGCCCGTGAGTATGGGGTGCCCTCTCTCGTTGGAGCTGTGGATGCTACGGACATTTTTAAAACTGGAGATATCGTGAGACTCTCCGGTACTAAAGGGATGATCGAAAAAGTACAAATATCTGAAAAATCCGAGCATCATAGTTGATTTGACATAAGATATAATACAAAAGACTGAAATACCTAGTTCTAAAACTGGTGGCAATAAAAGTATATTAAAGATTTTTTTAATATACTTTACGGTTATTCTACTTCAATATTAGAATCTGATAATCTTATTTGAATTTTGTGTTAATAAAAGTTGTTTTAATGTAAATAATGTTTAATTTTATGTTAAAATTTATGCGCTTTCACGTCTTTGACATATACGGATACATCTACAATTCTACTAATCTACAATTGTTCAATTGGTAAAATATTATTAAATAAAATTATTAATATAATAAATAAGAGTGGAAAACCGAGTGAAAATTGGACAATAGGTTGCTTAGTGACAAATGGACAGAGTACCTTACCTTTTGAATATTTGTTTTATTTTGGTATCTAATATTAGTCTTAGCAAAATATTTATTACAACATCGGTGGTTTTATTTTGTCTCGCCTTTGATCTCCCTCATTATACACCCAGTCCCATACAAATGCTAAGATAATATGATTTTTTATTTTGTTAATGTTGCTAATATTATTGTTAAATATTATTTTAGTGTTTTTTATAAACGAAAGGTAACGAAGGAACTAACTATACATAATCTGTTTGCCATACTGATTAAGACAAAACATTGATTGGTATCTGCGATACGTAAGCGTGTTTATCTCATGTATTGTAAATTACATAGAAATTATAATCTTTACTGTACATATGAAATCCTTGATTGATATGAGCCCGGATAACATATAAAATTAAAGATTATGATATCCTTAATCTATGCATTAATCGTTTTATCTGGATGTTCACGTGTTTTTTCTTTGATAGTTGTAATAATACATATATTTTGTTAAACATAAAATAGGAATGCTAACACAGAGTGTAATCCAAATATATCCTGTACGCAGCTATATAATATAATACCTATACATATCGCACACCTACTACAAACTGGCTTCACTCACCAAATTACAAAGATAACCCAAATTAATTTAGATGAATTAAAATAAAACTAAATATGAGCGATATATGGATGGTAGGGGTTTTTTTTAAAGATGATAATGGAATGGTGCACCCGCTTGCGCTAACGGTTTACGCTGGCGGGGCACCAGTGGAGGATGACAAGATGAACACGAGGTTATGTCGGTTAGGATGGTAGGGGTAGGATATTGATAGTGATGGTAAATAAAAAATGTCAGTTAGACTCTACTAGGTTCCTCTTTTTAACTGTATGTGTTTGCACCGGTACAAGATAATAGTGTGAATAATTAATAGGACAGCTTTCGTGGAGATCCTTTACTACCAACTTGTTACCTTTACCTTTGCCTTTGTCATTAAACAACAAACAACAGCTTTAACTAACTAGATAAAGAGTATGAGTCATGACAACTAGATTTATTAAAACACATGTTACAATTACATAAGTATACTTGCACTTACTTATTATTGATTCAAACTAGAATGTACCTAATTCAATTACGGAAATCTCATTATCATGATATTGATAAGCATGTAAACCTATGTAGATATGCAGTTTTATTTGTCCTGAAGAATTTAATGTACATAAGTCAGGATTAAAAAAATATATGCACGGTCACTACCCCCAATTGGTGATTTATACCTAGATAAAAATAGATTTGTTATTAATGATATTTACTAGTAGTGGACAGTTGGTCTGAATTTCAAATTGCAAAACAGCATACAAAACATTACTCCTATTGGCCAATATTGAAGTTTGCTGCAAACTATAATACTTTATTTTTAATGGCAGCTAGCACTCTAGAACCTGTTATAATTTAATGTAGGAGTAAAATATAAAAAGTATTACTTTCACGTATAAATTTTTGGTTTTTGGTTATACACGCACCTAGGCTTAAACATAATACCTATTTTTAGGATGATATAGGATTTGGAATTGTATAAGTTGGTATACGTTCTATGAGGCAAACTGAATGAAAGAATTATCTTAATGTAAGTCTCTTATTTCTATAACTCTTTAAGTGGAGCTTACTACATACATTACATTACTGAAAATGAGATCAAATACGCACAGAAAAACATTCTACCATTTGTTTTGCATTCATTAAATTGATTTTGTCCCTCAAAAATACATCTCTAAAATATTTTTTCCATGTACAGACAGTGACATGAATATTTTTATTATATGCATACTTATGCATATAATAAAAATCTACTTAGATTTTATACATATACCTACGGAACCTTCCTTCATGTCAGTTCGCCTCAAGCCCAAGCATGTATTATATTTTACGATCCTTTATCAGTTACATACATATTACAAAGCCAGTTATAATGTTAATCCAATTTTACTGATCATGATTTTAGTATTGTACATCTGTTATTCATATTCCGGGTGCTGTACAGTTCACCAGCAATTTACCGATATCCATATAATAAATAGTTGAAGTGTACAAAAATAATTTACATAAATTATAGTGTATTTATGAAGTATGGAACTATACGATATATTGCTGCAGGCTGGGTTGATGACGTCGGTGTTGGTTATGTATTTAATTTTTTTTTGCAAACGTCAGACGAAACATAAAGGACATTACTCACAACCAGGTTAGTACTAGTCTTTTTTTTTAATGCTTGAATATGAAATGTTGTACCCGCGTGCATGCTTGGTCTACGCTGACGGAACACTGGTCAAAGATGTTAAGATGACAATTAAAATCGTCTGTTAGCCCATAGAGACGAATTCAACACAAAGGAATTTATCAGGATAGTTTCCCCTTGTAGGTCCAGAGGACCGAGTGGAATTCGACTTCATATAGTAAATCGCTAACAATACGACGAATTATTTTCCATTTATAAAATATAGGCGCTAGAAATATGAAATTTGTTTAATTATTTCTTTAATTTTCGTAAGCAATATTTACATAGGGGAAGGTGAGGTAATACGATCCCTGGAGGTTAAATGATCCCCCGCTGTAAATCAGACACAATTAATGCCATCCATCCAAATTCGCATAAAATATGTTACCAACACCCCTGCCAGTTACCTATCCAAATATCATAGCGGTGAGACTGTTTGGCGCGATCTTATTATAAAATAATAAAAAATGCGACTTTTTACATGTCCGTGTTTATAGAAATGTAGTTTTATTTGCGGGTATTAATAGCAATTAACTAATGTTTAAGCATGTTCGATCACTGCACCCGGTACTTGAAGGTTAATATTTTGATCGATATCTTGGAATTTAATGTTTGGGGTGAAATGATGCCTTTCATGTGTTTAAAATAATCCCTGGAATCATTTTTCCTCAACAAATACTATTGTTGTTTTTACAGCTCATGCCGAGAATTTATATACGCAAAACGAGTGTATTAGGTGCTTTGTGTGTCTTCAATGGGGACATGGGGAAGCTTGTGCTGGAATAGATAGTGACGATGAAGGCGACTTTACTCGCGATATTTTCCTTTCAAGTAATCAATTTGATACTGTGAAAAAAGAATTAAGGCTTTCAGATCAGATTTCTTATCAGGAACTTAGAAATACATAGGTCTATTTCTAAATTCTTGATAGGAAATTATTATTTTTTTAATGAAGAGTTGATATTTGTATTGCATTTTGACATTGATAATGACTAAAAACATCTCTAATGAAACATGAAGACTGCAAAAGTTTTGTGTAACTTTCTTACATACTTAAATTGTTATGAACAATTCATATGATTAAAATAAAGCTGTTTAGTGATTTATTTTACAGCTATTTAGTAACTTATGTAAAATGATCCCTGGGTCATTTTATACATAGGTGTGTATAAAATGATCCTTTACTAAACTTTAACAAAAATCTCTAATACAAAAAAACTACATACATATCATGAAAAATAAGTATGCAGTTACAAACCCTTAAGGGGATCATTATACCTCACCTTCCACTAGATACGCTCTTTTGGTGTGACATAATATTCGCCTTTGACATCACTGTTCATTACACATAATTTTTTAATGATTTGAACTCACCACCTCTGTAATCTAAGTAGGGTTAATACACCACTAGATCGAGTATGAGTCAATTTTTATCTATTTATTTTTTAGGTTGGAATTACCCACTTAAACGTTGGCTATCACGGTTCTATGCAATAGGCCATTGGAAATCTCAAAGTGTGTCAGTACATATAAATGAGTTACCTCGTACTGATCTGTACGAGGGCTGGGACTCCGTGGACGTACGCGCCACCAGCGCGGACGGGGCTACTGTACTTCTCGGTATACGAAAGTTGTGCGGCAGGCAACCTATTGCAGAAGTCACATTATACGTCAAGTTATCAGATGGATCCAGTTATAGATTGCCAAGTAAGTGTCTTTTTAATAATAATTTACAAATTAAATTACGTTTAATTCCATACTTTGTTGATGTAAACCGTGATAAGAAAACAGCAGGATTTATATAATTTATGACTGCATTTGTTATGGAATTACATGATATATGGTTACAATATTGTCATTTGGAGAACGTTAACATAATTGAGTCTGTTTGATCTTTTTCCCTAAACATGATTGTACTCATGTTTACGACAAATGTCAAAATATCTACATACAGATTTAGGTATTTCTATTTTCACTCATACGTAATATCTATAATATACTATGTAGTTCCTCGGAAAAGTGTTTTCTTTCCATCTCTTAAAAGAATGAAAAGGCTAGATGCTTTTGATATTTACTTTATCAAATTGGCAGTTACGAGGGCCTATTATTACCTAATGATAATTTCATTTAATCTACCTCATTCCATATTACATAATTATTCATTTGTTCTATGAGATGTAATGCATTATTCGACGGTAATATGATTGTCTGAAAATTTTACAGATGTATGTATAATGTTCCAGGACATCCTGATACAATTACATGCTTATGGGACAATGTTGAGAACGCATGGAGTGCAGGTGGACTGAAAATCCAGGTCTTAGAACCGGAAATACGATTAAGAATTTTATTCAACGGACTCTTGACTTCAGTTGATGATGGCAGTACACAACATGTTGACTTTAAATTTATGTAAGGTTCTTTGCTATAAGGTTCCTTTCTTATAGTTGTTAAGCTTATTATTACAATTATAGTAGTGAGCACTATAAAATAACACACTATAAAAACTTGTTTGTTTTAGTTGGACGTCTGGCACAAAGGTGGTACGGCATCCTGAGGATTGGAGCCCAGAACTCGCGGCCCAAGCCTTGGCTATGGAGCAGTGGCGAGACAGCAAATGGCCTTTTTTACTGTACGTCTCCAAATTCTATATGCCCTTATTTAAAAACAAAATACCCATCCAAAATTGTCATGAATAATAACATTAATTGAGCTCATTTTTTATTGTCGTTTGTATAGAGGCACATGGGGGGAGGGTGGTTGGATGCAATGTGGTGTTGTTCAAGGTCGCTTCCAATCATTCGATCAGCAAGGTGTCATGCAGAAGGATGAATATCTACGTCTGCGAGGATTTAGAGAAAGAAGTTGGGCACCCAATGGTTATGAAGGTCGAAGGCGATCTGTTACCGTTACAGCGTCGTCTAAAGACGGTACCTTGGTGCATCTTCGTGGACTTTCATATAGAAACATCTTGACGCAGTATGTACTGAGTTAATTTCATAATAGATATTTTAAAAAAGTGTGAAATTACGTTAGACTAGATTAATAATTTATATGCTCGTTAATCATCTCTAATTCCATTACAAAATAATTCCTTCTACGTATGTTTTGTAGATGTATATCAGGACATGTTAGATATCCTAGCTACAAGGTGGAGAATATTATTGACACAGATTTCGTACTACAAAACTTCAGTGAAACTGTCGACGGTATTCCGAAGGTATACACAATAAATCTGAGAAGTAAGTTATATTTTATTTTAATCATTAACTTAGTATGTACTATTACATAATTAGAAATTTGTAATAATAATAATATATAAACAGATTTTATGTTATGGGTACTAGACAATTAATATAATATACATAGAAAACCCTTAGACTGATAGAAACAATCATATTCATGAATACAGATGTTTGTACAGTGCGGGGAATCGAACCCATTGGAAGTAAGGCAGAGACAATAAGGGCGTATCAAATAGATATATAGATTTTGTATTCTAACTCTACTTTGTGTAAAGTTCGCTAGATATATAAATTGATTCGATCTCCTCTTAAGCTTTTTAATTTTTTGTTTTTCTTTGATTTACAGCAAAAAGTCGAGAATTTAGTATGGTACTGCGCATTAATTCTGATGGCGGTAAACTGCTTAGTGGCATCCCTTACCAGCAAGAGTTGGAATATCGTACTTTGGCTGTCAGCATCGATGAGTCATCTGGCTCTGGCATCCTGGAACTTGGCTATGAGCCTGCAGGTATTTTTTTACATGGCAAAATTCATGACTACTAAATACCTAATGCCATTTGTAAGATCAATAAAGACAAATATTAGTGGTGTGATAGTTCATTTTAAGACCCGATGAGTGGCAAAAATAAAAAGGATAATTCAAAACGGCTTACTTTAAGTCTGACATATAATATGTCTACTTTTTTCTAAAATAAACTTAATGTCTACAGAAATATCAGACCCAACAGCGAGTTTGTCCCCACCGCGTACCCTAAAGTGGCTCAGTGAGAATGATGTGGGCTCGGTGGGCTACTGCTTGCCATTCGAAGCCCGCGCCGCGGCCTGTCCTGATTATGTAGGGGGTAAGGGCGCCTCTTTAGCTCTTCTTGCTTCCGTGCAAGATATTGAGGTGGGTTTTCTACCGCTGAATACCGCTGATAAGGAAGAATCCTTATCAGCGGTTTCTATTCTTAAGATTTAATTCTACTACTGTATTTAATTCTACTGCTGTTATATTACAGGGCTATAAAGTTCCGCCAGGATTTTGCCTGACTATACGAGCGTTGGAGAAACATCTGGATGCTAATCCCGAATTATTGGCAGCTATCCGTGAGATAGAGGCTGCTAATGAAAACTATGATGAAGCTAATTTCAAAGACAAATGCATAAAGTACGTTGGCTTTTAACAAATAGTGTAATTTAAATTATTATATTATTGGGCTTCCTAAAATATGGTCGAGCGCAGTGATGGCTAGCTCATCCGTTATACTCGTGAATGGGTGCTGCTTGTAGGGACTGGTCTGCTCTAATCACTATGACTGATTTCCTCTTATTAATTTTTTAACCAGTTGGTTATATATTCAATATTTTTTCTATTTGAGTATTTAATTGAATTAGTGCTAATTGGTGGTTTGTATTTACACACTTAAACTTAAAAATGTATGAAATTAGTAAAATTATTTAAAAGATCAACACGCAAGTTTCTTGCTCGTTCTTCTTGTGATAAGACAGCTTTCCAAATGAGCGGTAGATTAAAAAATATAATAACTATTCAAAAGTGCTTCAATGTAAGTTTATTTGATTAAATGATTTTCTAAACTATTATTGCAAGAGTTATAAGCTGACATACATTAGATGTCGGAATATCAGAAGCAACTGTTGCTTATAGGTATTCAAATACTTAACGGCATATACTATACTAGCCGTGCTAGCCGCATATATTGCGGCCACTTTTCCAGTACAGTTGTCCACACGGATTACAACTCTCAAACAATTTCATTACTAATAAATTGGCTATTCCATGTTTTTTTCAGACTTCACACAGCGCCGTCTAGCCCCAAGTAAAGTATAACTAATTTGTGGGGAATTAGATAATTGATGTAATTAAAATACACAAATATAAAATGTTGTCATTTTTTCATTAAAAGGAGTCATTGCTTGCTACGCATTGTCTTGTAATAGTTCTTAAATAAAATTATATGTTTCAGGACAACAGAATTATTCATTAACACAGAAATAACAGAGGACGTAAGAAATGAAATACTCGCCCATTTACAAGAGTTAAGAAAATCTACTACAAAACAAAATTTGGAACAACGGTTTGCGGTCAGATCTTCAGGTATTTTGTATTACTAACAAGATTGAGAATATGTAGACAAATGTCAGAATCTTTGTAAATCAAATACTATATGCACACTTTGTATGGACTGATGATTGGTTCTACAATGATTTCAATCATAGATAATGTGTAATAAATTATACTCATAAAATATTACAAAAAAACAGGTGTAAAATTCAACTGCAAAATTAATAATTGTAATCAATATCAGGTAAACCTAAAAGATATATACCAATATTTTCAATAGTCAATTTAATTTTTTGCAAGCGGTGGGCGAGGATAGCGAGACGCTCTCAGCGGCCGGGCAGAACGAAACGATACTGGGCTGCACGAGTGACGAGCACGTACTGCGCGCCGTGCAGAAGTGCTGGGCCTCTATGTTCGCGTTCACCAGCGCCTACTACCGCAGGTACTACTCGCATGGTACTACCGTCGTTGATAACGTCGACCGTTAGTGGTACGTACTAGCTGCTGATTTGGTGCGTGTTACAGACAGAACGGGCAGCCGTGCGCGTGCGGCGGTGGCGTGGTGGTGCAGGCGCTGGTGGAACCGCACGCGGCCGGCGTCATGTTCACGCGACACCCCGATCGGGGCGACGCCTCGCGGCTCCTCATCACTGCCAACTACGGTCTTGGTGAAGTATGTAGATATTTTTCCATTAATATTGCTTAAGGAAAATTATTTTAGGGACTTTTTTCGTAATAACAACTTAATGCAATTATTCATTTCATTCAATGCAATTAGATTTGATGTTGGATTAATAAGATATCTTTTAGAGGATATGTACATGGTTAGCAAAAATTAAGTGGGAATTTTTGAAACGTTTTTCAAATTATAAAATAACGCTACATAACGGTTGTTCGTAATTACGAGAAAAATCGCTTCCTTAGATAATATGATGTTTACGAAACTTTCCGATATTTTTTCAGACTGTAGTATCTGGTTCCGTAGAACCTGATACTATAATAGTGAAGCGCAGCGAGGGAAATCCTCTTAGTATCATAAAAATCGAATTGGGATCGAAAACTCAACGAGTAACGACAGCTAGCGATGGAGTCACCACTGAGGATGTACCAGAGGCAGAGCGAGCAATTCCTTGTTTATCTGAAATAGAAGCTCTAAAGTTGGCTCAGCTTGGCGTGGCTCAAGAGGAGCTATGGGGAGCAGGAAGGGATATCGAGTGGGCTATTACTAAGGTATGGATCGCTTCTACATGTAATATAATTAAAGCAAACTTTATTGTGAAACTCCTTGAAATCCCACTAAGCATTCGTTGATTTGGATTTGTGGTGGAATGAAACGATTATATAAAACTTAAAGTATGTAGGACTGTCAAACCATTGTTTAAGGTAAAATATAAGAAATTAAATTAGATGAATCATTTCTACCCATAGACACAGGGCCCTAGGACCCCTACCGAAGCTATAGTTTAACGGACCTACAGTACCTATCTCAGTTTGTATTGCTTGGAAGAAATGAAATAAATATTAATAAAAACGTGTTTAATTATCCACAGAACGGTATGTATCTATTACAAGCGCGTCCCATCACGTCCCTGGAGCGCTGGACGGAGGAGGAACTTCTGCACGAACTAGACACACCTATCTTGTCTGACGAGGATCTTACCACCTTCGCTAACACTGGTGAGGTGTGTAGAATATTATTATCAAACATTTATTGTAGCCATCAACGTAGTTGACTACCTGTTTAATCAGGAGGTAAATATTAAAATGTATATATATATATATATATACTCGTAATAATACTTTTGAGTTCTTACACCCACAGGTGTTACCAAAACCTTTGACTCCATTGACCGTCGACCTTGTGATGCGTCCTTTGATTTCGGGTATGACGGACATAATCAGTACTAATATGGAGCCATTTGAAGATGGTGTTGTATTCACTCACAACAGAACCGGATTAGCACTGTACAATGTAAGTATTTTTTTCAAATTATTACAACGAGAACTGTGTCAACAATCCACAGGATTTATACTTCTGATTTCCTTTTTATTACGTTACTATTTTTAAATTGGAACTTAGTAAGTCCCGAGCAGAAGAAGTAAGTCCATTTATTTCAAAGTGCAATTCACTAAACTACATATTAACCAAAATTAATAATTTTGTGGAAATAATCATTCATATTCATTCAACAGACAACATACCGCAATATGCCTAAAAAAATTAATATAAATATACGTATGAGTGAGATGGCCGTTCATGGAAGAAAGGTGGCCGACCAGAACATTGTCGATACAGCTCTACGTCGTAGGACCCCTGACTGGACTTACACCGTTCAAATTATTAAAACACTATTAAAGGTAAGATAATTGTAACTTTCTTTCTAATGTTCAACTGGAACAGAAATTGTTCTTAATGTGACTTACATTTTTAGTGTCTACCATAAGGGCTGACTTGCTAAACTTCTATTCATGGACACGATAAATATTTCGGTAGGTATGAGAGTCTTCTTTCGATCTTATGTTTTATTCTGAGAGCAATATGACGTACATATTTTAGTATACGCGACAACTTAAATATGTATTTTATTTTGTTGATTTTAGTGTCTATTTACTTCAAAGCGCAAAATGGAAGATAACATTAAACTTGCTAGTGCAATGAATATACAAATGGATAGTAATGACCCGCTGCAAATGTTCAAGATCCTACTAAACCAACAAGATATAATGAGTCGTCTTTCTTGGAATCATACTGTCACTAGTACTGCTAGTACTTCCAGTCAATTCATTGCCATGTCTGTATTATTAGAAGGCGCATCAGGTAAGTATTTATTTCAGCCCTTAGTAAAGGCTGAGATTATGGCGAATCAATCAATTTATATATTCAAATATCCTATATGTTCATAAAAATCTTGACTTATTTCCAAAAAACAGCAATATTCATAATATTAATACTAGATGTAAAGACAAACTTGCTGTCCCCAAGTATCGTTTAGAAAAAGTCAATAGGTCTTTTATGGGAATAGGTATAAAATTTTACAATAAGATACCAAAGGATATATTGGAATTACCCTTAAATAAATTCAAAACATCTGTTTCATCATATTTACTGAGCAAGGCCTATTACTCACTAAACGATTAGTTGAATGACGAGCGTGGATGGCAATAGTTTTCATGTTCGGGATTTTCATTTAATGTTAGACGTAGACACCTATATAAATACCTATGCATTGTAAATAAACTGGATTTAAAAAAAAAGTAATTTAATTGAGTTTCTTGCCAGTTCTTCTCAATGTAAAAACTTGACGTTCATAAGCGGCTAAAATATCCTACATGAATAAATGATTTTTTGAATTTGAATTTGAATTTGAATATTGTCTGCATTAAATACATAATTTGATTAAAGAAATATTTTTTTATTATTAAATTGTCTTTTATGACATGCAAACTTATAATATTATATTTTTTCTAACACAAAGTTATCTCTTTTTGTACAGATTTTACAGCAGAACACTGTACTGAAATAAGCAAATTGCTCAGTTCGGGGGATGTACTTTCCGCAGAAGTGCCTTTAGGTCTAGCTAAATTGGCGCGACAACTAGAACACTCAGGGAAACTTGACCAATTTAAAGCACTTGATCCAAAAGAAGCAATACGTTGGCTTATGACTAACTTGCCAAATGTACATTTGGAAGTACTAGAATTTTTGAAAGTGCATGGTCATAGAGCAATTATGGAGGTAAGTAAATAGTAGAACCATTACTTTAAAAACCCAATGTTTTATGAAATCGAACATGAATTGTCTCATCACTTATACATAACAATTTTAAGAAATAAATTTGAAATTATTACAGTTCGATATGGTGACGAAACCATGGGTTTTAGTTCCCGAAGAGCTCATGACGATACTTCAAAATATGAAAGTAACGGAAAAGGACAATCAAGAAAAGAAATCTGATGCTGAAGTTATCGCTTCACTGACTACTCCAAAAAAGGCAAGAACCAGGTAATTTGATTTGACTGTTATCTAAATAATGAAAATATTTGTTAGCAATTCAGCTAGTCGAAAAAAATTTATTGATCGTGTTAACATCTAATAGGTACATTTCATAAACTAACTCATAAAAATCTTTCTTAGGGCGTATGAACAAACAATGTAACTTATTTAGGTATAAATATTGATATAACTTGTAGGAAAGTATTGTCATGGGTGCTTCCACTATGTCGCCGGACAGTGCGTCACAGAGAAGCTACAAAGGCGAATCTAATTTTGGGCATCCACAAGTTGCGCCTGGCGGCCATTGAACTCGGCAAGCAGATGGTGCGCCTCTGGTACTTGCCGCACCATGATCTCGTGTTCTTCTTCCAAGCACAGGAGTTGGTTAACTATATAACTAATAGGGATCCAGCATTATTAAGGAAGTAAGTCAAAACTTTGAGAGCACATTTAGATTACATTTACTACTTACATACCTTTCGTAATAATAATTATATGTGATAATAAATTACAGGGCGATGCAACGACAACAATACTATCCTAAATGGTGTAAACTAAAATTTGCCGAAATCAATACGGGCTGGGTGCACCCTCTGCCGGCAAGGGAACCCTCAGTTACTGCTGGAGACGTCAAGTTGGAAGCTACATCGGTTTTCGGTGGAGAGGTGATAGCCAGAGCTTGCGTTGTTAAGGATCTTTCAGAGGTTAGAATAATATTTATTTTCTGTTTTCTTAATATAAAGCAAAGCATACTACCTTGTTTGCCTGACAGACAGTACCATCGTTTTTCACAAAATATCTATACGTTGTCATGTTGTTACCTCCTATACGTTGCCATGACTAAGGAGGAAAGTGTCATGCCTCCGTACCTGTAATCCCCCTACCATATGGCTGAAAAGCCATGCCATAGCCATAACATATAACTCCATTAAAACTGGAAATTTCTGGCAACAGAATTACTTAGATAGAGATAACTAAGCAGACTATTCTATTTCTTATATTATTCTCCTGCCTTTCTTCCTTCCTTAGAATTCAGGAACAATTCGTTTCTATTTGCAGGTCCACCAGTTGCAGCAAGGCGATGTGCTGATAACGCACGCCACAGACATCGGCTGGTCGCCGTACTTCCCGCTCCTCACGGGGATCGTCACGGAGTTAGGCGGGCTCATATCACATGGTCGGTACATTTTAAATTCTATTTACATACGTACTTTAATTTCTAAATTGTACACCAACAGTTGACATTGAATGTGTCATTGGGTAGTTTAGGGGGAAGGATTTGAGATTATAATATTGAGTTAATAATAATCATATTTTTTTCTTACATAGGCGCTGTCATAGCTCGGGAGTACGGCCTGCCTTGTATTGTGGGCGCTATGGATGCTACGGACATTTTCAAAACGGGAGATATTGTAAGACTCTCTGGTACAAAGGGTCTGATCGAAAAAGTACAAATGTCGGAGCAACCTGTCGAGAGTTGAGGACCTAAATGTTTCTACTATCAATCAATCAATTACATGTCTGTAGGTATATATAAAATGTATGAGAAATTCAATTCGAGTAATTAAAGAGATCTTTAATTCACGTCATAATGTAATTTTTATTCTGGTGAAATATATATATTTATTAAGTGGTTATGAGCTATATGGATGATTATTTTCAAAATTATGATATTGTTATATCATAATTTATCATTTTTCATTTTAATAAGGACATTGAAAGACTGTATTAAAATTATTTAGTTTTAATAGGCGATTAAATGCATAATTTGTTAATAGAATAAAAAAAATATCTTGTTTAAATTAAAAACACTGCATTTTTATTAAACATAAGTAATACAAAAAATGAATAGGTCACCAAAAATAATAAAATGTGTTAAATTAAATAATAAATATATTACTAACAAAACTGAATGTCTCAAATGAGATATGGGATGATACCGTAACATATTCCATAATTAGAATTTAGAACAATGATGTCTATAATATACGAGCTTTAAATAAAATTTTAAAACGTATAATATTACATCGAAGTTTGGACATACATCTACAAATACAAAGACCAAATATCGCGACACACATTGTAACCATTTGCATATATAAAGTAATATCCCGGCTAAGTCCAAAAGACGTGACCGTCACAAGGGGTCGTCGAGCGCGGTGAGCACGAGCAGCTCGTAGCAGCTGAAGGCGAAGGGTCGGCCGAAGATGACGACGTGGCAGCGGTAGTGGGGCGCGAGCACGGCGCCGAGCAGGTGCGAGTGGCGGTAGAGCACGCGGCCCACGTGCACGCCCGCCGCCACGCGCACTGCACGCGCACCTGCTTCTCCCGCCCGCCACGCCACCCACCGCACGTGCGCGTTGCACATCACCTCACGCATGTGGTAACGGTATATGTGAGTTATGATAGTTATAACACAAGAGGTGGAATTTCAGGCCGAGCCGAGGGCGAGGGTGTAATAGAGCCGAGTTTGTTAAATGTTAAAGTTAAAATGGTATGTATTTAACGCCGTTTTTGGTATGTATTTAAATCAAACCTTTCAGTTTTTGTCGCAAGTAACACCATAAATTAATTAATTAACAATCCATTTTAGGACACTGGAAAAATGTGCCACAGGCGAAGTTGCGCGGTTCAGGTAGTGGATTATAAATAAAATTATACTCACTTGATACTTAGTGTAATGGTGCACAGCTCCATCAGCGTACACTAAACAGCAATGTTTGGAGGGGTGCAGTGCGGCTGGCAACACGTTGCATCTGATCGTTAATCAAAACAACATTTGACATCAACACTGTCATAGAAATGGTCATGGGGTACATAGAAACGTAGCGATACTCATTATAAAACATGTTCTTAGATTAACAAAGCCATGGACATTTAAAATAGGTACAAATCAACTTTTTGCCATTTATACCTGCAAATAATACACGTTAGTTGACTAAGAAGCAGATTTACAGGATTTACAGGATGTCAATACTCGACATCTTAGTCCTCCGAAATATCAACGTATACAGGGTAGTTTATGAATAAAGGTACCACAGACCGTCAGGTGTGCCGTGATTATGATTACCATTCCAATTTAGCTAAAATGGTTTAGTGCACCGCTTAAACAAGTTCTGCTTAACTTGGGACTAGATGGTGTTATGTAAATTATCCAGGATTATTATTATCAATAAAATAAAAAAAAACTAACTTGTGCGTGGTGCGAGCCACCCATGTGATCTCTCCTTCGAAGACGCCGGCTGCCACAGCTCCACTAGGCACCGCGCCGCAAGCGCTCACAACCCACACCGGGCCCGGCTTTGACCAAGCTGGTAGCCAGTCTGTTATTGTAATGATTACTTTAGTCAGTGTCAATATTTTTTTTATTTTAAAAATATTCGTAAAGTAAACTCCTTGATAGGTTTTTATACTATTTTTGAATTTTATAATCATATTTTTTCTGTCATATTCTTTTTGTTACATTCTATTATATATCGCGGTTATATTAGTCGCATTTTATTTTATCTCTATTAAAACCCTCAGTGCCTCTCACTCGTCAGACACATTATCGCTTCAGTCTCCTAGATGGATATTTATAAAAAATAAATAAATAATAAAAATGTATTATAGTGTACGTAATATATATTTAGTAAAAAAGATACCTGTTATAATATTTTTGTATTTATGTTCCCAACACGCTTTTAAATGCACATTATATTTGTTCCAATCATCAGAATACTTTATCACTTTACTCTTGAAATAGTTCCAATAGCTAAAAATATATTATAATTTATACATATTTATATATAGAAAGACACATAGTAATATAGAAAACTTACTATTCGTTTAGAGAAATGTCTGATCCCGAAATTTGTAAAGAATCGGTTTCATTTAGCTATAACAACAAAGGTTAACATTACAATTAGGTATTTAAAAAATGTGACGTATGTACATATATAGTTGAAGGAATGAAGTTACCACAACAGTGAGCCAGTGCGTCCATTTATTGAACATGTCAATTATTTCCAACATCTCCTTCTGGCATTCTATGTAGATCTCAGTTTTAACTGTCGCTCGTGTTGGGGAAATGATCTGTATGGACATTTAAACGTAAGACAGCTATATGTGTATATCATATTATTAGCAGATGTCAATAAAGTGCGCCACATGAATTATTTTTTTACACTTTCCCCGTTCATGTCGTAGCTGGTCACATGTGTGATACTCCCTTTGACGTCACACATTTTAAAAAATGTGTATTTTAGTTGTTTATGCTTTTACTTAAAAGTTCAAGTTTCGTATTTTTCGAATTTTCGCTTCGGTGGTCGCAGATTTAATTTCTCGCAAAATACAAACATTTGTATTTATGAGTATGATTGTGTTAGTCTGTTAATATTTGTCAGAGTATTTATATCAATTGTCTTATAGCCATAACACGTAGCATCAGGTGTGCTAAATCGCTAGATCATTGAAGCCGAATAATTTTATATCTTCTTATTCGGTTATTCAAAATACTATCAATATTTTTTACAACTTCTATGCTATGGACTAAATTCGGCTTTATGTAATGGCTATACCTGTTTGTCCCTGTATCGCAAAGCAAGACGTACAGTAAGTTGTCGACTAAACGTATTATACTGGTGCCACTGCAGTGCTTCAGTGGCTACTCTTCTTTGGAAAGTAGTCCAATTTTCTTCAGCGTGCACTGTAAAGGAACATTATGTACCTATTTATATACCACCTAATTATATGACTAAGACCCTAATAAACGTAACTAACGTAATTAATTATATATAATATAAAAATATAATAAAAAGGAAACTATTGAAACGATGATTACATATACAAATAATTTCTGTCTTTTTAGCTAATCTACCACTTGTAATTTAGCAGCTTTTGAGCCGAGTGTGTAAGGTACCTTAAATACATATATGTTTCGGTGGAAGTGGCTAATGTAAAACCCAACAGAGGTAAGTAATAAAATTTACGTAGCTACAACCCGAACTAAGCATTTGTCGGTGGCTCAGTGATCTAACGGTTTAGCACACCGCACAACTTCCGATGATTGCGGGTTCGATATCTCGAACTGTACTAACATTTGTATACATGATTATAATTGTTTGTATCAGTCTAGTCGTTTTCTATGTGTCTATATATTATATGTGCATACTACCCATAACACAAGCTCTGTTTATTTTGTGACTAGTTGGCGCTGTGTAAAATGTCTAGGGTTATTTTGATTATTATAAAATATTTTTTACCTACCGGCAAGATTAGAGTCGTGTTGTTTGTAAGTTAATGCCCGGTCTATATTCTCTTGTAACCAGTCCCTCCACGCCTGTACATTCCACATTAGGCTGACCACCATCGCGTGCCAATCTGCCATTTGATCCGTGGATATTATAGGTGTTCCTATTTAATTAAATAATTGTAAGTAAATTCAGGGTTACATTTATCAAAATTCTATTCAATTACAATTAGTCATCTGAGCCACGCAACTTCGAGTGCGTCAGTTTGCCAGTTATAGCAACATTTTTTAATTGCATTTTTTAATCAACTATTATTGGTCAAAGCGTGTTGTAATATAAATGGGCTTTCCAATACTAAAAGGATGGACCAGTAATATTGAATATTACCTCCAATATACAAAACTCACAAATTTTGCCTTTTTATAATTTATTTATTTATTTATCTAGATTTTTTTATTACCTATAGAGTATATATGCCTACATATATGCAGTACTTATAAATGCGTTTTTAAAAAGTAAATATATATTTGTATAAAAGTTTATGATATTTAACGTTCAACAACTTTGATGGAACTCGAGCCTGTATAGTTGACATAGAACATAGAATAAAACTTTTTTACTGGACATATGTCACATACATTACATATGTCACATATCCAGATATATGAGACTATATTTTTTTAAAAAAAGGATGCCTACTTAAATTGGCATATTGTATTAATATTTATTTATACAAAAATTAAGCGTTAAACACACGAACTACGTATACCCTTTAAAAAATTAGTTTGCTTACTGGAATGGAACGCAGGTTTAGTCCGACTTGTTTTTCTTGGCGTTGGACTACATTCTTGTGTTGCAAAAGTTGAAGCTGGTTGAGCTTGTACATTCATGTTTGTATGTATTTTAGCAAACATAGTTGTAGGGGCATGCCAAAATGGAGCTTTAGAGTCTCCTGATGTTTCTGAAGTGTTCGTAGTTAGAGGTGTATAAGAAGAATCTGGCGAGGAATCATCCGTTACCGCTAGATTCCCAGCATCAGGGGAGCCTTGCAGTTGTTGTAAATTTCGTTCGAACATTGTTTGTAGCGGTATTATATCTCGGGATATTACTTTTTGTGATGAATTATGATTAGGCGTCTGAGCAAGTCTTGTAGGGTTACCATGACACGATAATGCTTCTTTGGTAGTTGTGTAAAGAAGATACGACGTAGTGGCTTTTTGTTCACATCCGCTTGTTGGTTTCCTTGCAGGACAAAATGTTTTATCTCCACGTGTGGAATTTTTGTTGAGTTTGGAAGGACATTGTGTGAGTGAGATTTCAAGTCCAGGAGCAAATGCTCGGGATGTTCCAGGATTTATATGTATATGTTGCGATGGTGCTATGTCGGCTAACGCTTGAGTGGAAAAATGCCTGGAACATGTGCAGCATGGCCGAGCGACGCGGCACCATAACTCGCATTGTACAAAAACATTCTTCATGCATTTGCACACTCGGATAATTTCTATAATGAGTGAAAAAATTCGCGATTATATCTGATACATTTATAACGATACTTGCTGAACTGGCTACATGTTATTAAACGAAAACTTTGCTATTGTTGTAAAAACAGTACATTTGAGTAAGTCAGTCTCACCTTTTAACCGCCGAGCAGCTTGCTATACTCTTATGTATATGCTGTTTCGGTTGTAGGGTAAGATTAGTGTTGCGATTACAGGGTAAGATGCACGATATCTTAGTCCTCCGGAATAGCAACGAGTGTGTCGTATAAGGGACCGTTATTATTTATTATTTGCAATTACATGTTTATTATATTACATATATATATATATATATATATATATATATATATATATATATATATTATTTACTGTGCCTCAGCAATTGCAATACAGAGGGCAATAAAATTATTAAATACTATTAATGTAACATAGGTAACAGTTATCCTTTACCATCAGGTTCACCGCCTTGTTTGCCATTCATATTACATAAAAAGTTGTTTTGTAGTTTATTCCAGGTAAACATTTTCATATCATGCATATGTAGGTATATAAGAATAAGAATATCTACTCACGTGGCTGCAAGAAATGAACAGCTAAATACATTGTAGCGTCTTCTATGACATCTGTAAATATCACATCATATTTATAGTAATTATATATAACTTTGACAATATAATACATTAAGTTCACTACATATTTCTTACCATCAATTACAGACTGATATTTTTCTGGTGTATTTCCATACATGACATTGTTTAACTTTATTTGTATTTTTCTCGATACTACTGGATCTGTGTTGGATACATCGAGTTGATCTGAATTCTTTCGTCGTAACCTAGACAAAATATAATAACCGTACATAGTAAGATGTTTTTAAATATGTAATTACCTACCTAAATCGTGTATGTAAACTACATCTCTCTAATTACAGCACTTGACTACAAAAAACATTTTCCAAATATTTACAACATAAATTTAATAAAGAAGATATGCTACTTCAGCAAAACTATGGGCAAATGCTAGTCAGAAGAAGAATATAAAGTTGCGTAAAATATAAAATAAATAGAAAATGGAATACATTTCAGCGCCTTCCGCATAAGATTTGCGCATGCTACCATGTCTCAAGAGAACAGTTTTCCCGGCTCTGTCCATCTGTTCGATTAATATCTTGAGTGCTTCAGTTTTCTCACCTGAATTAATAACTCAGAATAAAAATGTTAAATTACTTAGGCACTAAGGAATTTATAGTACAATATTCCTAAATATTCCCATAGGAATGAGAATATTGGGAACAAATTATATTGGAATTCTATAACGACATAATACATAATGCATAGAGACACATATATAGAATAATAATAGCATATTTATGTTGTTTTACCAAATAAATAACAACGGGGAGTTTTTTCGCTTTTTTTTCATTTATTCCTAATTTTCATTACAAATGAGCGACAGAATATAAAAATTACTATTAAGAACTGTTTATATAAAGATTATTTATATTTACCTTGAAGCATAACGTAGGATACTAACAAACGGGTGGATTCCGTTATTACTCCTGCAACATAATATTGTTTCATTACATGGCATTTTGGTTAGTGGCACTTAACAAATTAAAAAATATATCATATATATTTATTAAAATCGGGTATTACACGATTAACATATTACGTTTATTAGTATAGCAGTTTAAATAATGTTGTTACGAGTACAAAATACCGTAGATATTTAAATATTAATTAATAATGTAATCTTAGCGAGTAGGTATATGGCAGCAAATTCTCTTAATATTACTCCTGTAAAACCCATACTAATATTACAAATACAAAAGTATATCTGTCTGTTTGTTGTCATCGAACGACTAAACTGCCGAACGGAAAAGTAAATTTAAGATGAAAAAGTTTATATGACTACATGAGATGACAAGCTAATTTCTATCTAAAAAAAATAGTTACGGGTAAAGGAAAGGTTTCACGCCAGGATTCTTATAAGATAAGCTACTACTACTACTACTATACTACTATATATTTCAAAATACGGTGATTTTAAATTCTTACCGTTCAGTATTGATTGAGTATAACCAGTGTTAGTTACATTGGACATAATATGCTTTAGCTTTGTTACTGTTGACGATTGTAAATTATTATTCGGTCGATTGATTTTATCATCGAATGACGTCAGCTGCCGGAGACTGAAAATAATAAACTTCTCACTCCGGAAAATCCTGACAATAACAGGCATTTTATGTGTAGGTGAACAGATCAGACTACTTATATACACGTATAGTGAGAAAGTATTATAATTAAGATTTAGAGAATGCTTCTTTCAATAATAATAATGTTCAATTTACACAGCGCCATCTAGGCTCAAGCTAAGCTGAAGTTCTGTTATGAGTACTAACAAATTATAGTAATATTTAAATATATTATAATCCCAGACCAATATAAATACAATGTTTGCATAGTGCGAGAATTTGAACCTGTGATCATTGGAAGTAAGGAGACTAGACGACCGAGACAATCAATCATAAAGTCTGCGTATATATGTAATGTATTAAATAGCTAAAATTTAGAAAAGTTGAAATACTAACTAGACGGCGGTGTCTTTATAAGATTTCGGTATATCTCCTTCAATAAGAAGTGCATCACCCGCAGCTTCCATTTCTCCCAGTAGTGATACATAAGCTTCAATTTTTTCGTCTATAATGTTTTTAAATGTCTTAACATTTTATTTAGAAATATATATAAAACAACATTTATATATCTACATGAAGAATGTAAAAAGTTGACTATAGGTGTCTCAAAAAGTAATAAATATAGTGTGAATTACTTGGCTTTGTCACTAGTTCCGACAAATAATTTGCTGCATCTTTGATATGGTCTGTAAAACAAATATAATAATAAAATACAAGTTAGTATACCTAATTAATTATGTAGTTAAAGAATTGCACAGAAAACAGAAAACTATATTTTATTTTTATTACTATATATATTATTATAATTATACTATTAGTATTAGAACTATGTTTATACGATTAGGAATAAAGTTGGTTACGGAGAATAATAATTAATTTTACTTCACAATTGCAAATATGACACAACAAACTTAAAAAAATACAGTCGACTTCATAGTTTATTCTTTTTTTAACCAAATAACTATGATTGCATGTAAAACTAATGCAATAACTAAGAATATTTAATGTTTATAACCTTTCATTGTTGCTATTAATTTGCGTGCAATAGCGCGACATCGGATCATATAGTTCAATTTTTTATTAAGATAATACGCCACTTGATCACACGGCTCTTTGGCTTCCAATATCTTTGCCATCTTTAACCTTCGTGAAATAATCATTAAGTTAAAATTAATGAGAGTGAAGAAAATTGGTTCAAACTGGTTAGATATATACATATATTAAACCTTTGCAGTAACAAACAAAAAGAATAAAGAATTCTAAAAAACAGTATATTTACACTATGCTTTGTCAAAACGATTGTAGAAGTATGATAGCTGTAGAAGTAATTTTAAAAATAATGATTACCTTTGTGCAGCGTAGAAGTATGTTTCAGTAGCGCTGTTTACTTCAATAACAATTTCGTTGCATCGCTTTTGCATTTCTGATATTAGAGCTTCGCGTACAAGAGCTTTATAATCTGATAAAATGATCCAAGTCAGAAGTCATAAGAATTAAAAAAAATATGAAATAATCATGGAAAATTTGTATGCCACCTCAACATTATTTGTATTGATAACGAAATGCTATCCACCTATTACAATTGTAAAACACAACAGTGGATAATACATACAGAAGTCTTACATTAAGCAAGCGAAATAATTAAAAATAATGAAATACTTACTGCCAGAAACAAAGTACTCTGAAAGTTGTCTGGAAGACTCAATTATGACATCTGCAATAAATGTTTTCATAATAAGTTCTATATTATAGTTTGTTCTGTCCGTTACAGTGTTTAATACTCTAAGATAAATATATTATATAGATGTGCATAAATTTTTAATGAAATTCATTAATGCTTAATACTGACAGACTATCCATGTCTGTGTTATCAATGTATTAAACAATCCGGTATTACGCTACTACTATGACACATAAAAAAAATACCTTGCATTGCATCATACATTTGTGGTGGCGTATGCTTGCTGACTAATGTACTTAATTTCCTTTCAAACTTCCTGTGGAGTCGTGTTGTATCGCTTGACTCCTTCACTGTTTTGTCCACCTTCAGTGGTGGTTCTGATAACCTAAGTATAAAGATAGGTAATATGTTAAACATATCTGAATGTTTCCTTGTAAATTTGGCTGTTCTGAAAAAATGGGATCGATCAATCTTATTAATGAGATTTGGATCATATTACTGGATATGTTTTTTAGTATTGAAATGAATGACAATGATTTCTACTGAAAACTAATTTAGTTTTAATAGTGAGATTGAAGCAAAACCTATAGATAAAAAAATAGAAATCAGTTTAGAATTGGATGAGGATACTGTTGTATCCTCATCAATTTTCCATTATGCTGTGTTACAGCATAATGGACAATTTTCTACTTTTGAAGTCACCTAAAAAATGAAGTCTGATTTACCATTCCGAGGCCTGCGCATGTGACAATGATTGATGAGGTTGTTTGTAAAACACTTCACCCCCTTTAGCACAAAGTTGTTGGCGTAATATTTTCGTCGTCGCTTCATGCTCCGGATCAATTTCTATTAAAATATTCATAATCTTACTTAAATTATGAACGCGAGTTTGTGAGTTTGGATGGATAGATGAATGGATGGGTGTTTATAACTCTTTCACGCGGACATAGCCCGTATTTAAGATGTGATCTATCTGTCTATCTAATCTCATCCAATTTTATCCATCTATTTTCACAAACTTGCATTTTTTATAATATTAGTCAGAAATATAATAGGATGTAGTAAATGTTTCTAATTTCCCAATGTAGCGTACTGATCTATCTTCATAAGAGTAGACTACCTTACCATCACCACGACAATATGGTCAAGCAACTTGAGATCAAGAACTAACATTTGAAATTACCTTCTCTTGATAAAAAGAACGGTGACAAACTTGTATGTATTCATAGTAAAACATTTTAATTTAACTGCAACAATGCTATTTGTGTAACCAGGTTTAATATTCTTCGCTTACGATCAAGAGCAGGAAGTATCCGTTTGTTGGCTTCGACTGATTGCTTTTTTTCTTCTTCATCTCTTCTGCGGCGAACTTCTTCTTCGTCTCTTGTCCGTGCTTTGTCTTCATCTCTTCTCTGGGAAGCTCCGTTTTTATCTCTTTTACGATGAGTTTCGTCTTCGCCTAATGTGCTCTTGCCATTAATTTTAGACAAAAATGAGGGAAGAGATGCCTTACCGGCACCAGATATAGCTATTGATGAACAAGTTCCTGGTACAGCTTTAGTACTTCTGTTGAGTTAATAATAAAGATACTATTGTAAATTTCAATTGATTTGATGCAAACTGTAATATTTAATAATGTTCGTACAGATGACGGTTACCGCTGTATATCAGGCTACTAGCAATTACATAAAAAAGTGGTTATTGAATTTTATACTAACCCATATATGCTACATTACTAGTAATGGAAACATTAGTCCACATTACTATTTACTAACAATCTCCTCCTCCCGGAACGATTAGTTCAGGAGTGTCTGTTTTATTTGTACTACATGATAATTTTAGTATATAAATAATAAAGTTCATCAACAGGTTAGAATGTATAAATATTATTACAGTTGGATACTTGAGTATATATCTGAATATCACATATCACACCTCGGAGCACCATCACTATAACTTTGATGATAGTCTTGAAGTTGACCAAGTGGTGCTTCTCCTTCCTCTTTCATGGTTTTACCCAAATGATCTAAAGCTTCAGCTAGAACATTAGAAAGTTCATCATTTTCATACAAAATATGTTCATAATACTATAGTCCTCTCAAAAGTGCGAGACATACCATTTTCTGTTCCCACTTTTGCCAAAAGTTTTGCAGCGTCTACCATAGTCGCTAAAATAGCAATATAAATGTAGTTAATTAATAGGCATTGCCTGCATTACGCATTATATTCTATTATAATGAATTACGTAAAAGATGATATGGTAAGAAAGAGAGTGAACAACAAGATGACAGCAAACAGGGATGAATAAAAGTATCCATTATTTAGAGATATATTGATTTAGGCAAAAAAATAAACATCATGTATCACCTACGGGTTTTAAATTCTAAAAACGAAATATAATTTTATTGCAAATATAAAATTTAATAAACCATAAAATCAAATCTTACAATCTAAACCATGAATAACGGTTGGAGATAGTCTAGAGGGTAGTCCTCTCTGCATCTCTGAAGAAATTTCGTGTTGTAACTGTTCAGACTTGCGGTCAGATTCTAGGGGACCAGCATATTTCAATCTAAGAAAATAGTGATAATTTAGTGAAAATAAAAATAATATATATTAAAAAAAACATTACAATTATTTCATTCTAATCAAATTTTTAAGAATATTTTATTTAATAGAACTATAAACAAACGTTCAATTATGCGAGAAGACAGATACATTATACATAACGAGTAATGTCAATATTACTCGTTATGCATGCGGTGATTTGTTTAAAAATCTTGTCTCATCATAATTCCGATTACGATCAGACGAAATTATAAATTAATTAAAAAAATTAATTACTGGTAATTATCTCGTATCTGGATACGAGATAACAATCTTTTTAACTAAACTAATTTTAAAACTAAATTATTCTTACACATCTGCTGCATCCGCGCAAGTCTGACCATACGCTTTATACTTAAATAGAGGACGTGATCCTAGCGATTTCTTGACGGCCGACAACAAATTTAAATTATACCGTTCACCAGCAATGCCACCTAAGTGAAGTAAAAGCGTTATTAGTTGTTATAAAAAAGTGTTTATTACTAAATAGCGATCGATTTATTGACTTAGTATCTTCATATCTATAATTCTACAAAATCAGGAAGTATAAGGAACGGAAGAGTGAGTGTTATTAGAAATATTATATCAAAAATAAATATTTATTATATAATAGCGTCTTTACAGCTCCACTAAACTGTGTTCAATCATTATAAGTGACCACTATTGATATAATTAGGTCCTGCTTATTCTGTTATATTCTCCATCATTATAATAGTATACAATCTAGTAATCTGTTAGAATAATAAATAAGTATATTGTAAATAAATATAACCTTACTTCTCATTGCAATGGCTTGAGATAGATGTCTGCTCACATCTTGTACAAGTGCTGTAAAGAACAAAATAACTATATATATACAATGCCTTTTAGATAGCACATTTGTGTCGAACAAGTATATACGGCCCACAGTTGCCGTAGTCTTTAGATGCCTTAAATATCCTGGTGCATATTACATGTATATTGCTGACTGAATATACATAAAACTTCAGATAATTTACTTAATATTTACATTTCATAGACATTTTCAGTTCGCTAGGTGTCGAATTTTCCATATCTTTCGATAGTTTACCCTTCACCTCATCAGCAATGTCTTTTACAGGTAAAAACGGCACTATAGTAGGAGCCGTTTCAGTTCTGCAAATGAAAATTGTAAATTAAATGACAGCTAATACTCTAACTCCCGCACTATGAGCAGGTTTATTAAAACGATTTAATATGTTTTAATATTTGTCAGCATTCAATGCGAGATGCTCTGTACAGTAATAATTATAATTTAAGATGTATTTTTAAATGTAGAGAAGGCTAATAAGCAAGAAGATCAGCTGCTTTTGTCATCGCGGGAAAATGGTTGGAGTTAATTAGGAGGTGTAGATATATGTATAGTCTGACCACAGTTATTTAGAGAGGCCTTTGTACATTTCAGGATACTGAGTAAGGATTTTCAACAATAACCAAGTATTCAAATTTCCTAAGATCCAAATCTGTATAATGTAACAATCAAATAAATAAACTACTATTATTACTCGATTGCTGCAACACCGTAGGTCATCGCGTAGTCACTCCTTTTTGCCAGTTCTTTGCTCCCCTTGGCTTTCATCATCTTTAATAACAATTCTAGTGATTTGCCTGTAACAGATTACTAGTAATTTATAAACATAAGATTATAGATATTTTAACAAATTGAACAAATTGTCATTCAATTCACTGACCTCTGTCCCTTATAAATGATGACAAATATTTAGCACTTCTATCTATAACCTCTGAAAAGGAATTAAGGAAATGAACGTAACAAGAACTTCGATTTTTTCCGCCTATTGTATGTTTACACAAAATGTGTGCGGAAAATAACACTGATAATCTTACGGAGAAAATTCGAAGCGAGTATATTATAGTGCATGCAACGCCTTATTCAATATTATAATTGAGTAAATAAATGCTATGCGGTGTAAAGCAGAAATATTCATACATTTAACATTAAAAACTTGACATAAACTGGCAGGTATGATTTATAGATGGTTGAATAACTTTATGATGTTGCTGACGGTAAGTTCTAACGGTAGTTTGTAGGACAATAAAATTACTACTAACTCTTTAGATTAGTTAAAACAGTATACCGTTCATGTCATTCTTGAGGTTTTCAGGAGTAGCGGCATCAACGGCTTTATGTAATGCGGTCACAAATACAGGAGACGTATTGGGATCCGGTTTTTCGACTGTTAAACCAGGTGCAGATTTCAACCTAATAACCAGTATTTAACTTATTTTAATAATATAATTTGTAATCCGTTCATCTACACTGTAAAAGTCAAATTACATACATAGATATAATCCGACGGACAATAAGATGGAAAAAAGCAATTGTAGCCTATTTATCAACTCAAAACTCACGTCTTGTGTTATCCAAATATGTGTCGCCTAACTCCTTATACGTTACCATTCCAGCGAACTGAAGTTTTTGTTCATGCCTCCATATTTTATTATTCATTTGTTGTTTGTATTTAAGAGTAATCTCAAGAATTACTTCCGTAATTCCCTAAACCGCCGCGCGGATCGCCCTATTAACAGTATACTAACGAGTATGCTGCAGCGAATTTATTTTCTAGACCTTGAAATTCAGGCGTAAAATACTCTGCGCCATCTTTTTCCAATTCTTTTATTAGAATATCAAAAACAGGTCCTCTTTCAACTGAAAATAATTTAAGATTCTACTAAGCAGAAATAGGTATATTTTGCGTCATAATAAAGTTGATTTTCATGACAGCACACTAAATTGACAAGAAACTACATGAAAGTAAAGTATAGACAATAAATTGAGCATTGGGGAAGATATAATTTATTCAAAACGGGTTACATTAAAAAAACAAAATTATACATCACGATTTGCTTATTTCTACTAAAACAATACAGTAGTAACAAGAAGTCTTCTTCTACTCTTTCGTACTTACGTTCATCAATAGCACTCTGGGAGAGATATTTAGAACTTAAATCCAATGTCTCTGAAAAAGACAGAGTGTGCGAAGAGTAAGTATTAAATAGTGCACTTTGCATTTATAAAATGATATTCTTATCCTTACTAATATTATAAATGCGAAAGTAACTCTGTCTGTCTGTCTGTCTCACTTTCACGCCAAAACTACTGAACTGATTTAAATGAAATTTGGTACACATATAGTCTAGAATCTGAGAAAGGACATAGGCTACTTTTTAATCCGAAAAAAGGGTTGTAAAGGGTTGAAAGGTTATGTGGAAATATCGACAATTTACGTGGACGAAGTCGTGGGCACATCTAGTAGTTTATAATATATAAACACATGGCACCTGTCATGTCAGCTTTTAATTCATCTGGAGTTTGGCCTTGTATTAATTTTGAAAGAGACGAATGTATCTCCTGTGATAAGTTTGGCTCATCGTGGTCCGTTTCTAATCCTTTAGCTTTCTCGAGTCTATGTATATACGTATCACAATTATATATAGAGTCTATGTAATATATCATAATTATACTGTTTATCTCTAACAATTATTTAAAATTATTAAAAATGTATCAATGTCAATGTATTTGTCAACTAACGCAGTTGCAGCTTCGCCATACGTCTTTTTCATTTCATCCTTTTGATATAGTAGTTCATTAGATTTCGTGCGCATAGATTTTACTAATAATCTAAATGCAAGGCCTTTATCCTCTGCAAGTTATAATAGCAAATTAATTAAATCTACTAGACAGTCACTTACATCCTCAGGCTATAGAAAAAATCGAGAAAATATGAAAAAAGTTTCATTTTTATTTTAGAAAGAAATAATATTTTGTTTGATATTCCATTGACTAGTACACAAGTAATATGTTCACGAAAGAATTGTTATTAATGTGGAGTAATGTCTCCATTAATAGCAATGTAGTCCCAGTCGGTCAAATCATTTTGTTTAATTCCTGATGAGTGCCACGATGAGCTGACCTGATTCCAACCTCATTCTATCCTCTAGCACTAGTAACATAGCGCATTGGCGTAGGCAGGTGCACCACTGCAAACTGATCTAGTAAAAAAGCTATCGCCACGTGATAATATTATTGTAGGATTTCTGCCCATTGAATTGATTAAATCATATCAAAACCGCGCTAATATAATGTTTTATGAAATGCCATTCCACAACAGAGACGATATTTCTTTTATTATACTTTAATCCCACAATCTAGCCACACCTTGTTTGTAGGTTGTCACGATGTCACTATTGAGAACTAAACTAATATTATTCATATTGTGTATTATTACTTACTATTATATTCTGCAGACTGTGCCAAATAATTTGAACATATGTTTATGACATCTGTAAAGACAATAAACCTTCTGAGACATCATACTTTAGATAGGTATATACATAAATATTAGTTACAAATAGTATACCTTTCATATATGATGCAAGTTTGCTTGGTGTACTAGGACTTGCGGTTTTGGTTAGATTTTGATTTAGTTGATTGGCCAGTATCGTGTTAAATTCAGTAGCGTCTAAGTCGGTAGACTGTTTTAATCTGAAACAAAATTATAGTTATTATCGCTATGGTAATCATTGTGTAAATTTATATGTCAATATGTAATGGTGACTAAACCCATGATGGAAATACTAGGGTAGGGGTTACTTACCTATTGGATTGAGGCAAAAATGGGGCATCTCAAGTAATGCGTTCACTACAACATTGACAGTTGACAATGTTTGATTATGTCATTTGTAGCATAACAGATGTAACGGGAGTAAAATTAGTTACCTTGTGCTGAAGAATAGCTTTATGCGCACATAGGGCCGTCTATTATAAACAAACTTATAACAATAAATACTAATAATATCTCAGGACATTCATATTCATACAATGCGATATCTATGAGAGCTTGTATTATGGATACTAGGCACTTTTTTTTAATATATACATAATGTATATTTATATAAGTAACACCCAGACCGGTACAAACATCATTATAAGTTAATCGGTGACTAAAGTGCTACACCATCGAGGTCGTCTATTATTATTACTTATTTTAAATAACATATATTCAAAAGAGCAACACATAAGTTTTGTAGCTCATTCTTCATAGGATGAGTCTGCGTTCCAAATGACTGGTAGAATCAAAAAATATGAATATTCAAAAGTGCTTGTATTGCGTTTATTTGAATAAAGATTATTTCTATTGTTACATTAATTATTGTTTTCTAAAGTATTAAATTTAATTCATAGACAACACTAACTCGTCTGCTCCCTCCATATATGTTTGTGAGAACTTTCCATACGAAAATAATTGTCCATCTCCTTTTTTATACATCGAATCAGTCAAAATAATGAATGCTTCCAGCATTTTTCCTGCGCAAAACAATGTATTAATATATGACAACAATTTATTTTATGTTTATAATATCGTTCCTCTTGGAGTCAAGCATTTACGACTTGGAATTTATTATAGTTAAATGGTATACAGGTGGTATCGGACTGTGAACCGTCATATACACGTATGTATATTTCTAGACCACCTGGGGTTCGCAGGATGAGTAACGCTGCTTTAGACTTATTGAGCATACGAGTCATTAATTAGACGATTAATGACAGTACTAAGGATGGAGTATCCTCATATTATACACTTTCATAGTCAGTACTATATTAAGCGGCAGAGCTGGCATAATCCTATTGCCTTCCTAATCCAAATTTCAGAAGCCGTGAGCACAGAATGATTCTAACTTTTATAACATAATTTAAGTATAGTAACATCACTGACTATGCGAAACGTTAACTTACCAGTGAATTTCAAGTAAGCGGGTTGAGCTGAAATATGTAAATAAAAATCAGTACCTTAATTTGTGATAGTTTTTGAAATAAATGGCATGATTTTATTTATTATCCCAATACAATACTTACGACCTCTTAAAGGACCATCCTGAAAATAAGACAATGTAATTTTAAATTTTTTATGGTTTGTAAAAGTTTTTTTTCTTTAAATCATTCTTCATTCTCCAATGCAAATGAACACGATTATCAAGGCACCAAAGTAATAAGAAACACAATAACAGGTACTAAAAACTGGAAAATGAAGAGAGATTTAAATGAAATATATTAAACAAAGCAAAATTAATTACCTTATAAAGACGTGTTCACTTGTAAAAGAGGAAAGTACAAATAACAAAGACTCTTTTAAAAACAATATTACTATATTTTTTCAACTGTTCTTTAAATAAAATTCTAATAATGAATTATATGATAATCATAATTTAAGTAGATCTTCTTCTGCCATGTCAATCAGATTTAAATGTTTAGATTCTAACTTTTCAATTTATCAAGTCACCGCAGAAGAATTAGATTTAATTTTATAACTTTTTAGGACTGTTTCTAAAGTGAGATAACTGTTCTGTGTACTGTTTTTCACGACAATCAAGATCTTGCAATTTCCACCAACCTAAAGAAATCCCGTTAATAAATTGTACCCCCTATATTCATATGACTATATGTCACGATAATCATGTAGATTATTATTTCGTAATAATCTACGTGAATACAATAATTAAGTTTAACTTTGATTCCATAATTTAGTGGATAAAGTTATTAATTCTCTTAGAGTAAAAAACAAGATACTTAATTACAAGGCAAGAAGGCATATTTTATTAACAGTTGGCCGGTATGGCAATGTATGGGAATACCATGGACGTCATATGGTGATGAGATGTTCGTGGTGATATTCATGTACATAGATGATGGTTGCCCCTTACTTACCATAATTTTGATCGTAAGCTTCTTTATCATAGTAGTAGTAAATTAAAAAAAACTAGTTGAGTTTATTTGCTATATATACTTACACCGCCCATCATATTCAGAAAGTCGTCAGCAAATCCAGTATCACCTGCATCATTACCACCCATAACGTCTGCAAATAAAGAACAGTACATATGATTAGACAACTAATCTTCTATTTAATTCATAAAAGTGAGGCTACCTACAGTATCTATGTTTTGGGATGCATAATGGAATATTGTACCAGTTTCATTATCGCTTATTGGACATATCTGTAGTTCGTAAAAAATAATTAAAAAAATATATATTGAGAAAAATATTGTTCCCATCTAACGGCGATATAAAGAAGTTGCAAAGAAATACAATAAAAAGATTTAAGCTAACGGACACATATGTACAAAATTAAATATGTCACCAGATCCTTTACGTAGTGGGTATTTTTTTTTATGGATGACCCCCGCCTGCGCTAACTTTACGCTGGCGGGGATGAGCATGAAGACAAGTCAGTTGGCCCATCATGACAAATTCACTAGAATTTATCACGATGGTTTCCATTCACTATATGTTATAATGGGGTCATGAGTCCACATTACTAACAATCCCCTTCCCCCCTACGTAGTGGGTAGAGACCCACTAGGTAAAGGATCTGGTGTGAAAATGACACACTATATATTCCCAGTACATATTCACTAATGTTATAAGGGGAGAGCGGCTATTAGCCGGTTATTATAAGGGACTAAATATCGGAACCATTGTATCTATTGAAGAGTTCGTTTCACTGATTGAAAGGTACATTAATTCACAATGTAATAGGCACAGATTATATGAATATAAACAAAACTGACATACTTAGGCTTGCGGGTAATAACTTGAAGATAAGGGCTGAAGATCGTGCCCAGTAGTTTGTTTGGAAGTGGCCCAAGTCCTGCAGTGAACGACAGTGAGCTGATGATGATGATGATGATACAAAACTCACAAACTTATCAACACTCCAAGAAAGCGGAGCGTATCTCTAGTCTGCTGTAAACTGAATATATTTATTTACCTTTAAGTCATGGACGAGCACAGACTAATTTAGATTTATAGAGAAAATATTTAATGGATATTTTAATTTCGATACTCACATTATTATAGATTACTTTTGGAAGTCCTCGGAGTATGCTTTGGACTTTCACTGGGAGTGGCAGGCGCACTCGTAGTTGGAGTGGCAATAGGGGTTTCGGCAGGAGTCATTGAATTTTCAGTTCCAGAACCAGATGTGGCCTCTTTCGGCGTTGCCTCGGCTCCAAGTTCTGGCTTTAGAGCATCAGCATTGCTCTGTTCTACTTCTTCTCAATAAAAGGAAATTATTATTTAAGCGTACCTCATAGGCTCGAATGTTTCTTCTTCAGAGAAAAGTGGGGTGACCGTGAGTATGTAGATTGACTTTGATGACAATTGTTCACCGCAATGCAATACAACTTACCGATTCATAATTTCGATTATTTTAATTTTATTTTGTAACCCCATTTTTCTCATATTTTATCATTAAAATGAAAACGCTATACCTACTTGATACAATATGAACAATAGTCACAATTTCAAACTGAGCTCTTACCTTTTTAATATTTGCACGATATTTATAACAATACTACGATTGTCCTTCAGTTACAAAATTTCTCAAATGCAAAAACTTATTCTTACCATAATCTTCATCAAAGTCCATCATTAACATACGGTCATCGGATTCCGCTAATATTTCATCAATCCAAACAGAGATCTGAATTTAAATTTTAAAATTTCTTACATACGAATTATATATTCCATATAAATAACGATGTAATACAAATAATAAATGTTACCTTATCGGCCATTTCCATCATAAAACGTGATTTGGGATGCGTACAACGTCTGGAAGGTGTTTTCATATGTACGAGGTGACCGCAAATCTCATCCAGGATAATATTGGATAGCCGTAGCATTCTGTTAAAAAAGAACGTAGATAGGTATTTATTCTATATCTATCTATACATCTCGATTATCATCTCTCGACTGAGTGGATTCTATGCGCTTTTTAATGCTCGACATACATGGATAATTCGTTAATGTTTGATCAAAATTAATTGTAATAGCGGGACTCTAATGATCTAAGCTCGGATTCATTAGACAAATAACAAGAGTTATAATAGATACTTTGACTTGTCATAATGTGTCTTGCATGTGCACCTCTGTCGTACCAACAAACAGCCGGCATGGCCATGAAGCTGGTCACTTATATAGGCTATGGTAGCCTTTTTCCAAGTAGGCCGTTCTAGTTATCTACATAAAAATGTGCAATTACCTGTCAGCGAGAGCGTAGCGTCCAGGCCTTGACAATCTTTGTTGGATACCCTTGGCGAAAGCTACAGTTGCGTTACGTGCCCATATAAATCTCTTATCAGCACATACAGCTAACACGTCCTTCTTTATTTGGTTGACTCGCATTCTTAAATTATTTTAAATTACAAATAAGATATATAGTAAAAAGGGTGCAAATATATTATTATAATTTTCGGGCGCCTTGCGATTATTCCCATGTTCTATTCTAACTAGGCTAACGGTATCTAACCAAGAATAAATTTCAGGGAAAAGTTGACCTTCAGCTGCTACATAAACGTCATTTATCTAGCAGCGTTATAATAGTTTGAACATGTTTTCTTTTAAGTATTTTTCTTTTGGATTGGATTTAATCTTGTAGGAAGGTAGATTCATAGGTTTATAGTTTCTTATATATTAAAATTAACAATATATCAACTACTTGTTAGGCATATAAATAATTATGAAGTGTTCTACCGAAAATACTCAAAAAATAATTTACGTGGTAGCCTTCTTTTTGGTTTTGCGAAAATTAACGAAGTATTCGTATGCTTGATCAGGTTTGAAGGGTTCGTCAGCGTCCAACATAGCTCGTAGACGGGCAATCTGCATCGTAATATACAATATCCAAAAAGGAATCATATAAATTAATTGATCAACTTTGAACTCAGAATATCGAGACTTAAATTAGAGTAGTACATATCTACCTAATAATAATTTCGGATATGGAAGCGATTTCATGTCACATAATACTACACTCAGTATAGCATAAGTATCATACTTAGGTATAACAGTGACTTCAGAAGCAAAACTTTCGTACTAAATGTACTAATGAGAACAAATAGGTGTCATCAGGAAAAATATTACTGTTTTAGAGACAAGTAAGATGATCGCGGGCGGTTGAACGAGAAATCTTTGTTATTCAAGCACGCTGCCTGGACATCGAGACAGTACATGATTGTAATTCGAGTGTTTTAGTAATTGGAAGCAGTCGGCAAGTTATGATTATCAGAGGCAGACTGTAAATAATCGTCTACGTGAGTACGTCTGTCTCTCCTGTTTCATGCGCCATACAGCTTGTATAAGCTATGTATCGGTCATAGTGTGGGATTAGGCAGTGAAATTATAGGATAGAGGTATGACATGTGAATCCTCCGGAATGGCAACACAAGAGTGATGTGTCACATCATAATATGTCTATGAATGTTCTGTTTATGTGTACAGATTACCGCGTACCATCAGGTGGCCATCAGCAGGTTTCAATTACAAAAAAAAGGTATAAAGTAAACAAACCGTTTCAGGTGGTAGAATATCTGCATGTTCCCGCCAGAGATATATGATAGCCCTACGCCGAGGTTTGGATATCCGCTCTAGACGGTCGGTGAGAACGGCTCCATGCCTCCGCAAACAAAGTGCATGTGCTCGCGCCGCCCGCTTTGACAATTTCACATCAGTGGCTTTCGGGCCTCTGTGAATATGTGAGCTTGTAGGGAGTAGGTAATATCTGGATCTACTGAATCGATTTTGATTTCTTTTAGTGAATAGCCAATTATTCGAGGAAGGTATATAGATAATATTATGCTACGACAGATAGCAGCGGAATTGTTATGAAAATGTAGGAAATCAGGGGAAATTTGACGAATACTCGAATACAAATATTTGTATTGTGCAGGTAGTTATTGAAATCATCATCATCAAAAAACAACTGATTGGGGATATTCTATTATTTAACCGCCTCTTATAACTGACGTGTAGAATTCGAACAGACACTATACATTCCGTATGTTTCACTTGTCCCCATTAGTATCTACCTATATTACGGTTTTTTTAATGGATGATAATGGAATGGTGACCCATCGGCTTAATGGTTTACCAATGAAGGATGATAAAATGAGTATGGGGTCAGGTCAGATTGCCCATCGTGATTAAATAACCAGAAATTAACCACGATAGTTTCCAGGGGGAACCGTTCAAATTCAAATTCAATTATAAAAGGGCTCATTCCAAGTTGTCAAAAGTAAGACCTGGGTCTGGCTGGCTTCGGCGGTGGTCGAACAGATCTCCGTGGAATAGATTTATGCTGCACCCTCAGATCCCGTCCGGCGACGATTGTGTCGGCGACCGAAGGCGGCGCAGGCTCTGTCGCGTATGGTGGGTACGGCGGAAATGACAGCGGCGCTGGGGTAGTTGTATAAAGTATTTTTTTATGTAGCTAACTCGGTGATTTAGCGGTCTAACACGCCTTACTTATGATGGTCGTGGGTTCGATTCTTGCATTATATATAGACATTTGTATCCATGATATATGATTGTAATTGTCTGTGTGTTTGTTATGTATCTAATTACTACAGAAAAATTGAAAAAAAATATTTTTAGGATAATCGCTATAACTGTGAAGGCTAACAAATGTACCTACCTAAGTATTGAAAGTATTATTACATAAAGTATTAGTCGAGGTGCCTTATACATGTTTACAGAAATAATGTATTTAGGTATTTTTCTTATAGTTATAAGAACGTGCTCTGCTAGCTGAGTATTAGACGTGTGAAATATCCAGGGTTATGTAAACAAATACAGTCATACTCATGAATACAAATGTATGTAAACCGCTAGACGACGGAGGCCGTCATGGTTTATTACTACTCTCCTAATATTTGTTACTTACAATCTATACATGTAAGTATAAGATGAGTACATTACATAATGCTGTGATAATAAATACCTACGCATCTAGCTAGTAAAATAAAGCTAATAGGTACATTTATAGGGAAGTACCTACATTTCTAAGTAGACATGACATTTTAGCAGCACACTTTCTTTCACTCGTGATCAGAAGCGCGCGGATTTAGCGCAGGATATTCAGTGATATATCCCATTTTATTATATTTTGTACCTATTCACTCCTTCTCGCGTTGTAGCGTATATTCATGACATAACTATATTTCATAAAGTTATTCAGCAGATTTTATTTTTCAATTGTACGTTTTTTTGGCTCTTCCTTTGGCTCCGGCAATTGTATGTTTAAGATTTATAAATTAACAATAAGCCTATATTGTCTTTGCTCCATAGTCAGATATCCGCCATTTTGCAATGATAATAATTATTTCTAAAAGGCAAAAACATGCACGACTGGATAGGACGCTGCAAGGCGCGATCGTTCTGGTTTTTTTTTGTCTACATTACCAGTCTATACAAATACGATATTTCATTCGTGCACACTCTTTGCGAATAAATACACATTGTTTCCTGCAATTCGGCTTTCACGCAGGAAAAAATGTGCATCAGTTGATTCTCGCCTGACATAGCGTAGATATTTACGAGTATGATGATGATGATGATGATATATAAAGGCAGTTATTATCACAGTTTATGGTAGTGTTTCGTTTAGCCACAGATAACGTAATATTACAGTTTAGCTGAAAATATGGTATCTATGTACTTACACATGTATTTATGCTGGATTATTCTAATGCTCTACCAGATTACCTTCTACAGCTTCAGAAAGCGGCATCTCGCTCGGTGCAGACTCGGACACTGTGCCAGAAGGGGCCACTGAATCAGCCATCTTGTATGTTGTATATATATATTAACTTTTGAAACAGTCCCTTATTATGTTTAAATACATTCGCAGTTAAAGGAGAGTAGTTTTCATGTTTAAGATAATGACAGAATGTTTTATCGTCGGTATACGATCAGAAATATTAGCGGCCAGTCTTTTTTTATTAAGACTACACTTATCGCCGTCGAGTAATGTATCCTTTAACCTTAGATAGATAGTATTACCAGTATTCTTAATCAGATAGGTATTTTCGACTAACTTTTCCGATAGTATGTACATAGGTAGGTATTAACCCTTTTAATATTTTTATGCCATACATATTTTTTTACTAGCGAGAGCATCGTGTCGGCGCTCCTTAATACTAAATGGGTTCATAATAACATGGTCCCATGTGTCTATAATGTAAAATAAAAATAATTGCTTTCCTTATTCATAAAACCTCCGATAGATCTATTTTCATTATTTGAGTGTTTTGTCTGTTTTTTTCAAATTAATAAAATAGCTTTAGAGAATAACTATAAAATTAGTTCATTTCTTTTTCTTGCTGGTTTTGCTAAAAACAGTATACATCAAGCCTCCTAATCAAAAAATTGAGTCCTAGACGGCATTTTTATAGGAAGAGCTGCAGAGAGCATAAAAAGTCGAAATAGTTTTAAGTTAGTCCTTCCCTTTGAAGTTTGTATTAAGTATGATTATTCGAATTGTTGAGAAAACTGGGTTAAAGGAAAAGGGCAGGTTCTCAAATACATTTTAAGGAAAAAAAAATGTGATAATAAAAACAATAGAGAGAAATAAAATTAATAAAAGAAAAACATATTAAGGTACCCATAAATGGCAGTCATAAATTATCTGGATGTTGATCTCTTGTAATGAGTTGCTAAGGTTTATTGCTGTCGCACACCTAATTTATACATTACGTACTTTTAACTATTAATATGCAGTAATTGTACAATTACAATATATGTATGTATAGTCAATGTATAGTACTAAAACAGAAATAATCTTTATTCAAGGAAATTTAATATAAACACATTTAAATAGTATTTTTTTTAATCGACCACTCTTTCAGAATGTGTAAAATTACATGTTATATGTATAAATAATAACATTCTTTGTTTATAACATAATTAGAAAAAAAACTTTATTCGGCATGTTATTTATTACATGCCTACTTTTTGAATACTGTACTTAATACACAATTATCACAGAAATATATTTATCGTACCTAAATATAAAGTTTAGAAAAAAATATTTTTAAGCAAGAAATACATAGTACATACAATTAGGATCCTAATATACTTTATTACCTTATTTTTATACATATAAAAATACACAAAGATATTATAGATTTGAATATATGGCGCACGCTTTATCATAAACTGAATTTCCTTGAAAATTTGAAATTTACTTAATTTTCAGAAGTTGGTTTTCTTGGTTTATACAGTTTGTTTTATGTTTATGATGTCGCAAGCCATAACAAAATATAAATCCTTCCTTCCCCTATAATATGTAGATACAAAAATGTCATAAGAAATAATATCAGGTACATGCTTTAATTTTAAAATATTAGTGACTTTGTGAAGGGACAATCGTAACAGAAAACCTATTATGGATTTATACGAGTATTTTATTTAATCTATACTAATATTACTAAGGTTACCGGAGATTATCCCGAACATCAGTGACAATGATCAGAATTTAAAAATTATTTAACAGTTGGATAGCCTATACATCAAGGAAGGATATAGACTACATTAATTTCCGCTACGACCAATAGCAGCGGTTGTTGAAGCAAACGGGCAAAATGTGAAAAAGTCGTCCCTTTCGTCTTATAGTTATGTGGGTCTGCTACTTATATATAAAAATACAGTGAATGAATAAATTAAAAACCTCATTTCTGTGAAATTACCTTAAAATATTTATATATCGGAAGATTTTTGTTCACCATGGAGAAAATATATAACATATCCAAGCAAATCGGGTGATACTATTTAATTTTATTCAAAGAAAATTATATTTCTTTGAATAAAATAAAATAGTATAAAAATGAATCAATTTGATCACACATCAATGATGTTACTTGAAATTAAATTTTATTAGTGTAAAGGGGGCTAGGCTTTTAAACATTCGGATGCCAATTAAAGTGTATATTTGCCTAAAAGGGTCTTTTAATTATGACAAAAATTAATGAAAACGGCTGCTTTTAAAATATGTCGATATATAGTGTCATTTGCAGAGCTATTTTCCATTGTCATGGATTATTTAATTATTTACTGTAGATAATTACAATGGCACTAGTTCCTCCAAAAAATCATCGTATATAGACGGTGTGTCAATATCCATATGACACTTGTAAGTACGGTTAGCTGAACGTGCATTTACGTCGGGACCAACCAATATCTCATATCTTTTATGACCTACCTCACTACCATCGTACGCTATATAACATACAGAGTGAGATGGCTGCACCTTTCCAGGTATAAGGTGTTCATTTTGGTAAGCGCGACCTATGTAGAGTTTCTCTCTAGAGATCTCTGAATAGCCGCCTACAATTGCACCCACTGGGATATTAGATTCATGTGTTTGCACCCATGTGCAATTGTAGCCAACTAATACCTGTCAAGAAATAAAAAAATCAGTAAGTAATAAATAAATCACCTAACGTGTAGCAATATATTATTGGACTGCCTTGGTGGTCTAGTGGTTTAGCACATTTTACTTTGGTTGTGGGTTCGATTCCTTGGACATTTGTATTTTGTACAAACATTTATAGTAATCAGTATGATTGTTTGTTTTGGTCTTGATGTTTTCTATGTATATTAAAATATATATCTAAGTATTTATTTTATATCAGTTGTTGTGTTAAATCGCTAGACCTAGGCTGTCTTCTATATATTAAATTATCAAAAATGTATTTAAATGGGACGAAATTTACTAAATACATAATAAATTTCTTATTCTTTCAATGAATAAAAATAAATTTTTATGTTTACAAATTATTACATTTGGTTTTGATTTGTTGATGTTTAATTGAATGATACAATTATTACATAAATGGAAATTATTTTAATCATACCTACCTAGGTAATAAAATATTTACCTCGAAATCATGTTTTTCCTGAGCTACACCACCCCATGAAATATAACCAACTCCTTCAGAAGATACAAATTTGCCAGGAGTCAATGACCCATTATGTTCAGATCTTATAATATATAGGGCGTCATTTTCATAACCTCCAATAACTGCACCATCTGGTAACTGATTATCAGCTCGTACCCACTGAACTTCACCACCAGTAATAGGCAACATGTCTGGTTTTGTTATCACAGGTGGCACTGTAACCATTGGGAAATCCAATGAAAATATAATTTATATTCATGTAGCTATATAATATAATATAATACTTATAATAAGTCATATCTGCAGTAGTATGGAATGTAATTTGAACTAGGAATAAGTGACAATAAATTCTATTCTCTTCTCAATAGAGATTGAACATAATTACAAAAGTATATTAAGAAGCAATAGATTAAAAATGCAATGTTTAATAAAAAATAAACTTACATTCAAACCTCCAGTGAACAACATAATCACGATCAGAACCGTTTACTGCAAATGTGACATATCTCAGGGTCTTTAAGTTGGTATCTTGAAATGTGACAATAGGTTCACTTTCACCTTCTCTACCAAATTTTATAGACAAACCATGCCATGATACCCAGAAACTTTTGTATTCATTTGCATTTAAGATATTAGGAGTTTGGACAATTAGGCCGGGAGGGCCATTGTCTTTTTTGATCCAGGTTCGTCGATTTTGTCCAATTATAACCTGGAAATAAAAATATTTGAAGAACTATTGTGTACTTACTGTACTTACTACTGTGTACTTATAGGTATGTGAGAAAAACATTGAAATTTAAATACATTACAATATATAAAAATCTTTGTGAATATGGTAGAGAATGCTATTAGCATTAAGCCCGCCTATTGTATAAAAATTTCAATATAGTTTAAATAAATAAATAAAAATGCCAAAATATAGTATTTTACATCTTTCATATCTATTTTATATCTGTCGATCACTCAAAAATATTAGCTTGCATTAATTTAGAACTAGATGTTGCTGTGATATGTGTAAAAGGATTTTATACTAGTTGTTAAGAATATATTATTTAAGCTATACAATAAATAGGAGGAAATAGAAAGATTGCATCATTAATATTGATTTTTACCCAATATTCACAGTCATCTTCAAGTTTCTTAGACAGTCCAATGGCAGCACTTCCAAAATTTGCCTTTATATCAACTTTGAAACCACCAAAAGGAACATTGTAGAATAAACTCTGCTCCTCTGGATACGTCGTTATCTCTGAAAATAAGTAATGTAAAATTAAATACCAAAATGTCTCAATGTTAAACTAATAACATTGAGTAACAGATTAGTCACAAATCTAAATATAATCAAAATGTAATATCTTATATTATATTGACATTATATATCTATACATTTTATATACATTCTTTATATAAATAAATTGCTTAAAGTTAAACTTTATTTCATACCTATTTGATCACCCATTATTTGTTAAATATCTAAGTATATGCAAGGAATATCTATTGATTTTAAAACGTTATAATTAATATAATAATCTCAATACACATTAAGTAAGATTCAATTATAAACAGTTATATTGTATTAAAATATTAAAACAATTTTTTAACATAGTTATTGTATTTTGTAAACTTTATTTTTTGCTCATGATTCATATATGAACTGTGAAATGTGTCATTTATTGGATGACATTTAAAATGATTAGTTGACATCTTGAAAGTATTAATATCATGACTAAACGAAGTGATTATTTGCTTTTTTAAGTAATTGGAATTTGTTAGTTCTGTTTCAGTAATAGTGATCACTATTACCGCTGGTAATTAGTACGTTGCACATATATATACCGCAATAGTATCTCTTATATCATCTGATAGTAAAAGCAGTTAGTAATGGACCATGTCAGGTTGACCTCCACGCGGTAGCCCCAGAAAACCATCATAATAAATTCCTGGTGAATTTGTCATGTTAGGCTAACTGACCTGACCTTATGTTCAATTTATCATCTTCCACTGGTCCCCGCTAGTGGAAACCAGCGCAGCGGGTGTATAATTCCATTATCAAACTTAAAATATATATTTTATTACGCCACAGTGATGGTAATCAAGCATTTGGTCTATCTGATGGTAAACGGATACCGTCCTTAGCTTATGGACATATGCAACACCAGAGGTGTCACGTGTGCGTTGTGGATCCTTAAGAAAGCTTAATATATCCTTCTGGACAAACCCTACGCTGTATTCTCATATTAATTTATTCATCAATCTGAGTGTGAGCAGGAGAAAACTCCTATAAAACTGCGCTGTTCGCAACTGCTTAGATTTTAAGGTATGAGGATAAATACGCTATCGATCGCCACTGATAGGGAATTTTCTCTCGTTGGCGAACGATGCGATGGTGAAAACAAATTAATATACCTAAATGTGATTTATATTTGCCATTCTATCCATAATCTTGACAGCGGATTGCTATCTACACACCAGATCTCTTACGGAAGCAGAGAAAAAAGTGGATACCATTAGCTTCTATCTTTAAATGTAGCTACAATTCTCGCTAACATTATTTTTGTAAGACGTTTCAGGCATAAACATATTAATCATTATGTCTTATTGAATGAAAGTATGATGAAAGCTACAACCTTAGCCTACAAACATGAATAGCAGCACCGGACATAATTAAATATCTCTTATTTAATTTAGTGAAACCACGGGAATCAGACTATGATTCCCGTGGTTTCACTAAATATTACGTTTCCATAGCTTGTTTGTAGTGTCATTGCCACAAAGACCACACCGTTAGTGGTAATAGTAATGTGCGCTCGTAGCATCTTGAATAGGACTCGAGTCACGGTGTAATGGAGTACGGACAGAGCTAGCGAGCGCTAGCGATCGATCGCCAACATGTAAAATTACCGGGGTGTATGAGTGCGGGCGCGGTGCCTGAATTGTTTATCACAGCATCCTTAAGAGTAGGATACATATTAGGATATCATCTATTAATTAAATTGTAGCCATAATACTATTAAAATAATTTAATAAACGTACTTTAAATTAACAATTCTTTATAAATACACGAAACAATAAAAATAATTGCATGGTGCGTAATAATCGCATGGCACCTACTAATTATCGTAGGCACAGCGTGACGTCCTTATAGGTAAATATTTATTTTGTTGGTTAACCCTAATGTGTAGCAATATTTTATTATCCACATTGCAATTTATACGAACGACTCTACACAATAAGCAGTCTCCGTCCATAATGATTAACAATAGATTGGAGACCTAATATCAAAATTATAATGTCATGTTTTATATGCTTAGGCCATAAGAATTTCATAATCAGGGAAGCCGAGTTCTTGTCCTCCGAAAGAGATGTAACAGACTCCATGGGACTGCTGCACTTTTCCGGTTGTGACGCTGCCTTCGTGACGTACACGGCCGACGAATAGAGTTTCGCCATCTTCGCTTTGTCCACCTGGGAATGCACCAGGTGGTATGTTGGAGCCATTTGTGGGCACCCAGTTGTTGGGACCACCGATTAAAACCTGTAAATTTTGATATAATACCACATAAATGTCAGTGTACATTTTAATAACTTTATTTCTCTTATTTGTATATCATCACTTTAGAGATCGACATTGATGGTTTTCTAAATTTTTTACTTAATTTTATAAGTAGATATAGATTATTGCTAATATTATTCAATCACATAAACATCTTTTTAATAGGATAATATATGTGCGCATGTAAATATCATTGTTAGGGTTTTGTGTTCAAAATAGTCATTTCTAAGAGTATGTCTGGCTAATTAAATTATAATAAACGCTTTCCTACCAAGCAACTACTCGTTAGATACTTGTGCCGTTTGTGTGATTTTTAACATACAACTGTGGTTCTGGAATTGGCAAAATAATTTTATAAAAGTATTAAGTACTTATTAAATGACATATAAATTAAAAACCGAACCTCATAAGTAGGCTTGCCGAGTTCTTGTCCTCCCCATGGGACATACGCGCATCCGTGTGATGCTACTAGTTTTCCTGGCAAAATAGCGCCTTCGTGTTGGGCTCTAGCGACGTAGAGGGGTTCTCCATTTGCGTCCTGGCCCCCTAGGACAGCTTCAGGTGGTACTTGACCTCCCGATGCTTCGGCCCACGCACCAGCACCTCCGATTGGTCCCGGGCCGCCTGGATATCCAGGGGGAGTGCTGTAGAGAGCTGCAGCTTGTGGTGCCGAAGGTTGAACTGAAATATTTTATAACAATTAATTATTTCTAGAAGGAAATATGGCTTTCATTGAAATTATATATTTATGTTAATGATACATTTCAAGTTAATTTTATGTGCATAAGTCGTACTCGTATATACTAAAAACAGATGTGATGTGCTGCATATTAAATTTATGAATTATAAGCGGCAAAATTAAAAAAACTGTATCAATTTCATATTCGTGCAAAATTATATTATGATGACTCTACACAAAAACGAACATGCCATATTTTCGGTATATAGATTAATACGTAATAAAAAAAGTGTGTAATGTGTGTGAAATAATAGTTTAGAATTTGCACCAGTAATAAATTTTAAAACTATATAAAATACATAAAAACGAAATTATCCAGTAACATGCGTACTTATGCGACAAATTCCTTTCCAAGTCAGTTGAAAATAGTTATGTATAAAATGCATTAACAAATAGAAATATAAGTAAGCATGTTAAAAAAACATAATAGATTAGAAAAGTATTACAAAATGTACCCAACATACCACAAAATACCAATTCGTCATCCTGATGCAGAGATCGAGATTAAAATCAACGCAAACATTCAAAACTTCGCAAAACCTTTAAAACATTGTATATTTGGTTAGGTTCTAAGTGCAGGTATGTAATTTAACTATACAATGGATAATTAGGCATAAATTATTAGACTACCTATAATTTGATTTAGATAGCATTGCTAATTTGAAACTAAAACGGAATGCGTAATTATTATAGTTACATAAATTAGCAATTAACACCAAAGCGTCTCGATAAAAGATAATGATGGGAATAGGGAATGCAATCCCGACTGGAAATTGCAAATTCGGGATCCCGCGGGATTAGAAATATCAATCCCGCGGGATCCCGGAATTTTCGGGATCCCGTCTAAATTAAAAAAAAATGTTGAATTCAGATGACTGCAAAAGCTAATAACTGCTTGTTTGTGATAGTGAGGTTAACTAAAATAACATATTACTCGAAAGAAAATAAAAACCTTTATTCTTTAATCTTACCAACTAAATAATAATCAGGTTGTAAGGAAATTAACGTAGGTAAATTAGGTAATCAAAACAATAAGCTTATTTCAAGGGAATTAGTAAAAAGAGTGATTTTGATAATGACTCCTTAAAAAACAAAGGGTATTAATAGTTTCATCTGCTAAACGGCATCTAATGTCCGTTGCAATGTACCCCGCTGCTGAGAATGCCCTCTCCGACTCAACGCTGGTTGGCAACAGCGTGGCGAAGCAATTATATGCAAACTGCAAAAATCGCCCCCTTGTTCCTCCACACTCAAACAAATCCATTTCTTTTTTAATGGTAGATTCTAATTTGTCTAAGCTCGTGGACGTGGATATACAGTGCAAAAGGACTTTTAGAAGCTCGCAGAGTTTCTTCTAATTCCTCTTGAAACGATTTATTAGTTTGTGCAGCACGTAAATTCAAATCTTCTGCAATCATTGAAAGAGGCAAGTCATCTTCGATTAGTACTGCCGTATTAATATCTGCTTCGTTTGGTTCTTTACGATATAATCGTGTGATTATATTTTTTATTTCTTTTCTTATAAGATACTTGCTTGGTAATTGAAAAATCCCGTTGCCTCTCCTTTGCTCCAAGTCCTCTTGATAATTATTCGGATTTTTCAAATATATCAGCACTGCAGTTGCTTTTGTGCGACGCTCGGAGATACGATTATTCATCGAAGAGACTAACTTTTCTGAGAGAGGAGTTTTTAGGTCTTCTAGCTTTCGAACCATGAAACGCAACGTATGTTCTGCACTTACTAAATCTGTATCTCGACGCCACAATACCTCAACAGCCAATTTCACTGGCTCAAATGTATTTTCCAAATCGATAAGGACCACTGCCGCCCAATCCCGTCAATCTCGAACGGGATCTCGTCATATGATGCGTCGGGATTGATCCCGAAAAATTACACGAGATCTCGCGAGATCGGGATCCCGCGGGATCGGGATTGCATTCCCTAGATGGGAAACTCAACGATTTTGTGCGCCGGGGCCAAAATGAGCTATACGCCACTGTCCGCGGGCGCCGTACCCAGTACGGATGCCGAAGTGTGTTATGGGGAATGGAGCAGTGTCCACCCACTCCATAAGTAGTGCACCACTGGAACCGTCGCGTACAATGAGACGACCGCATTTCCATTCAATTAGGAATTTCCTAAATTCATTGGGATTCATAATTCCGGGTGTCGGGAGCGTTACCTATGAACATTATTCTTTATAAGAATTCTTATGATACTTAGACAATGATAACGACATTTATAACGGACACTGATTCACTCGTGCACCCTACCTACCTTGTCAGGCCTCTGTCTGTTGTATCTAATAACAGACTGGCTGTTTTCCCAGCCACCGAGGATTATTTCATATATAGGGTCAACTTCTGCGGCAGCGCTGGTCAAACAAATATGGCAGTTGTGTGGACCACGATATTCAAGTTCCAATAATCCAGTAGCAACAGGTCCAAATTTGTACTCAAGTTTGTCTGGAGTATCGAACTCGGCTCCCTCTGCACCATAAGGATAATTTTGGATAATATAATAAATTTCTGCGTTGGGTACATTTTGCGACGAGTGTTTAAAGACTCACCTTCGATTTTCCATGTACCAGACGCACCCCAGCCGGTGCAAACACCTACAAATCCAACAGGGAAAGGTTCAGGATCTGTCCAAGATAGAAATGGAACCACTTCTCCTTCTCGGCCTGCTGAGATAACGCCACCATCCCAGCGAACCCAAAAGCCACGGAATTCTCCCCCATTCAAAATTCCGGGTGTGTCAACTTCGACTTTATCGGGTTTGGTTCTGTTCCTTCTTATTACACTCTTTGAGTTCCCCCATCCTCCAATGAAAACCTAAGATATCGTATATTATTAAAATAAATATATTAAAAAATATAGTAGGTACACACTTTATTTTTCTTCTTTGGAAACTACATACCTCATAAATAGGTTCGGCCTCCTGGGGGCCAACAGTAAGAGCAATATGGGCATCATTTGGTGCTCGTACTTTGAATGTTACAGATCCATTTGATACAGGGAAGAACTGATATTGAAGGTTGTCCTCCGTGGCTACATCTGAAATATTTTAAGTAAATCGTTAAGTAAACTTATATATTCTCTAATTTACACAAAAAATTGAGAGGAGAGCTTCTGCGTAGATATGTAGGTACTCATAGAATTTGTACTGTATTAGAAGAAATTTTAAATTCTTTTTTCATATTTGCATTCTGCGGTAATAATTTCTTCCACTATAATGGGATTGTTATCATCATTAACTTGTCATGTTTACTTAGGTCGATCATTACGATATGATATTAAGATTTCGTATGAAATTCCGTACTAATATATAGGTACTCTAGATTGTTACAATAAAACCGTACATCTCTAAATTTAACTTGTATTTGAATTTATTTCCGGATATGAGTAGTATTATTTGAATAAACATCATAAGAAGTTTGATATTTAAATAAAAAAATATATTTACGGTATATTTTAATAACAAAGGAAATCTAATAACATGTTTATCTAAGTACCAACTTAATACTGCTCATATCCGGAAAATAATCTATTTCATAAAGTAACAAATATATTATAGTAAATATTATAAATATTTATAACCCTGAATATACGTATTATGTCTTATTTTAATGTATTCATATTTAATTATTTATTAGTGTTTATATTATCGAAGATTCAAAACGTGTTAATATATTTGTACTATTTAATATAGTCAGTATAAGTACTAACAGCAACTTATGTTGTATTGTAAAAATGTAATGTAACTAGGTCGAGTCATCGTATATACGTCATGTATATTACAGTAAATATTTATCTTTATAAACATTTCTATAATTAAATATGCTGCTATAATAACAATTTTTTAAATTGTCAATGGCTCTAAAACCTGTGGGCTAATTATCTAACTTTGTTCGCAACGATTTTCGTATGTAACGTAGTGAAAATGACGTCATCTGTCAATAATGCGATTATATTGACTGGACTATTTTGATCTGTATCATTGTATCACACTAGCAAATCACATAAATAAAACCATGGAATGGAATCTGAAATATTTTTTATAAATGTGAAAACCAATCTGTCTGTAGATTTATACTAACGGTTAGCAGATGTATATACTTTTATTTAATAAATGTATAATAATAATAAAATAATATATAAAATAAAATAATACCCGACTGCGCTAATGGTATAATGGGCATAAGTGGAGGATGATGCGATGAGGACGAAATCAGAGAAGCTTATCATGGCGAATTTACCATAGAGATCTTTCCAATTCATCTCAACAGAGGTATTCAGCAAAGTATTAAAAAATGTGATTTATTACGTAAGTAGCTAAATATATACTATGAATAAAATAAATGCTTTTGACTTTGACTTTGGGCGTACAAGTAATTATTGAAAGGCAGCTGTGTCGCTTCATGAATAATTCAAAGTATGAGTCTGAGTTTTATATTCTGCGGCCGTTAGACTGAACTTTCGACGATACTTATTTAGCAGTTCGGTCGTCGCCTTCCATATGGAGATAGTCTCTTCACAGCAAGTCTAAATATAGGCTACTAACGTTGGTATGCGGTATGTAGGCAGCTCCGCACCCACAACACTATTCTATCGCGCAATTTTGTAAGTTACCTAATCCATTGCTGCATACATAAGAGCGATTTCAACTCCTAGTAGATACACTAAGACGACGAGTAATATAAAATCGTTTCGGTAGTTAACTAGGCGTCGCGAATGGTCAGGTCGAATGATGTCATTCTATTAAATCAATGCTGCTGGCGACCTCCAACCGCCACTATACTAAGGGAGTACGTAGTTACGTAGTCTGGGGACTGAATAAACTTTAGTGTTTTTGATAACATCGTTCGTATATATACAGGTACCAAATAACTACAAAAGGCCACAAACCAAAGTCTGCCTAAATAAAGTAGTTAAAATTATGTAGTATATATAAATCATATTTTTGGAAGTTATTAAATATTTCTTTTAATTAACCAAGGCTGTCTATAAAGTAACGTCCAGGGTTAGATATTAGGAAAGGAATCGTTTTTGCGAACATTAATAATTAGCATCAACATATAAATTCCCCAATTGTACAGATGATGAAGTATTTCGTCCATTCTGCTATTAATTTGAATTTATTTTATAATTAGCTCGTCTTTTTTAATATTTCATAGGTAACTTTTTGCGCCATGTTTGCATTATATGCTCTGGAGTTCACAAGGAATTAAAGCAGGTAAATTTCTACTTTTGGCATGTAGGTATGTATTAAATACTGTTGAAAACAATCGGCATCCAATAATAACGGTTTGTTGAGAAAACTCTTTGATGTATTGTTTTAGTACAATCTGAGAAACTACTTAAATATAATTCATTTTCTTCCCACTTCTCTGCTGAAAATAGCTGACGTATGTTGTCTGCTTTGATTCACCAGTGAATGACGAATTGCAAATTTCTCTTTTATTTATTCGTATATTCAAATATCTATCACAGCGTAAGTACATGTTCCAGTTTGAATTGTATTGAGTATGAATGTAATTTTGAAAAAAAAATTTAATGAAAAGTATCTCTATTAGCATTTCCATTTTAATATTCTTCTTAAATTCTTTTTCAACCGTAACGGTTAAAAAGGATAATAAAGGACCTTTTGCATTATGGATACAGATAATATGTTGTGTTTTCTTTATATACCACTTACTTTGTAAGTATTCTTCGCAAATATTCAGTGATTTTCATCAATAATTTTTCCTCTGTAACGATTAGTCTGTCTGTAGCTCCTTGACTCGGAAATTGAACATAGAATCATAGTAATTTCTCAAAGTATAAAGGAATCCTGTTTAATGTTCTTTAAGGATAAAAATTTGGCAACCGGTAACGGCTAAACAGGTAAAGATCCAGTTTCTAATAAAAGCAAAACATTTCGCTTTAATAACTTGTTCTGGCAATTTTAGTAATATGTTCGTATTTAGTATCTCAGTTTCATGATATGAAATATATACAATTTTATAATTATTTCTTCTATTTATTAATTAGTTATTCTTATTTAAGTCAACAATAATTTTATATATGGCAATTCTGTCTTTTTTTCGTCAGCCATTTGGACCATAAGTGTTGTCATGTGTGCTTACAAAATAAAGTCTGTAAATAAATTGAAAACATATTTTTTTGCAGTCACACAGTTTGCTTTGTGACCAATATTTTGGTATGAAGTTTGAGAGAGGGCAGTGAAGTTTTTTATCGGTGGGTAGTTTTATATAAAAAGAAGTATGTGAAATCGTTAAGGTATTTCTACCAATAAGTGGTTTGTTTCCTTGGTGGTATGGAAGATGATGCAAAAGTATAATTAGTGAATAGATTTTGTGACACAAGCCATTATTCTCACAGGGATATGCACCGTATGCACGTATCTTGCCTGGTATAAATTATATTATAGGAAGGTATGTATTATTTTTACTTTAATAATGGACTAGTGACATTTGAGAACAAGCTCTCAAATTATGATAATCCTATTATAAACCCAAAGTTTGTGAGTATGGATGGATGTGTTACTCTTTCACACAAAAACTACTAATAAAGTAATAGGAAGAAAACTTATTTTAGTTTTATTGCATACAAAACATGTTTTTTTTTAAATAAATGGAACGGCGAACTAGCTGGTATGTGGTAACCGTAGAATATGTGCAAAAAAAAACACTACGGAAAAAAGTCTTAATGAGCACCCATTGTATGTTGTCAGTCCAAAAAAGTAATATATTAAACTAATATACCCTATAATGCTACTGACACATCTCGAGTTCGTCCTTCAACCGAAATACTGCTTATAAATACGAACTTATACATAAAATCGTCAATTAGTCTGTTATCTTACTTGGCACTTTTAGTATTACAAAATATATTTTTACAATATTGGAAGTGCCAAAGTATTTATTCTATTTTAGCGATTACCACACGTATGTGATAACGAGAGCTTAAGACTAATTAGACACAATTTATCATTTGACCTTATCCAAGACCTGTCCACTTTAGTTGTTTTTTGTTTAACAATATTTTATTTACCTCAAAATTGTAAATTGTTAATTAATAAATTGTCCGAATTATTAATTTAATATTAAAGTTGATTATGAAGTGTTACATACGCTTCATATGAAAATATTAAATATATGAGAATATTGTATAGTTACCTAGACATAATACTTATACTCTATTTGTCAGACATTTAGTTTCGATAACCACATTCAATACAATTAATCAGGTAGGTATATAGTTATGTACCACGGTGATAGACATGCATAAAACTAGTTAGTATTGCCAGCAATAGTCCGACTCTATTATTACCTACAAATTTTTCATTAAGAAGTCCTCACATTAGGTTGAGATACCGGCTAATGCGTCATTAGCTAAATAAAGTGAAATATAATCCAAGACACGTCCGTAGAGATATACTCGTACTTAACAGAGTAAAATTGAAATGTTCTCTGTAATCGGTATTCTTTTCGATAAAATTAATGACCTACCTACACATAAATTCTGATTGGTACGTCCTTGTCGGGGTCAAAATCGATAGTTACAATATAAAGTTGTGTCAAGCTATACCTACTTAAGATCACGACTGCACTGATCAGATGATGTCACTCGTAGCCTCATTCAGAGATGTCCCACATTGTTTATTAAGACACGAATGTAATGGAGTTATTTTCATGCGAATTCATGAAATAGTTTAGGTAGTTGGGATGCGATATTCTTAATGCATACATAAGAATTCGCAAAATGTCAATGTAATGTATTGATTCTAACGAATTTTCTATGACGCGTTACCGCGCCTGCTTCTGGCCTTGTGCCAGTAAAAACACCGGTCATTGCATGGTATTATAGCGCCTGCCGGCTTGTCAAAATATTTAAAAGACCTAAGAATATACATAATAATTAATTAAGTAAATAGGTATTTAAAAAAGCAAACGCAAATAGAAAAGTATCATCCAATATAAAACTATTTATAAGTTAATCTATAATGTTATATTTATCGTACTTATTTATTTAGTTGTAGACATTTTTTTATAACAAGTTAGGTTTATCAACATTTTAATTAATATATTATACTTAAAATATGTTACTCACCCAAGAAGTTAGCCATGTTTTGAAATATTTTTCACAGTTAGATACACCACTTAGACGCGTGAGTACAGCCACAGAGCTGTTACAAAACTGGGAGTGGGAACTCGAACTTCGGCTTCGTGGTACGCTGCATCTCATGGCCTCGCGGATCGCGCCGACTCGTCCGAGGCGACACGTAACGTGATGATGTCATGTTACGCTTTAAAAATATTATTGTTTAGAACATTGCAAGTACAGTTTTCACTTTGTTACATACAATTGTCTACTACGTTAAGTAGGAGGAAGTGGATTGTCAATAATGAGACTATTGGCTCCATTCATACGAAATAGAATGTATAATGTAACTCGGTCTCCTATGAAAATCATCGTAATAATTTCTGGAGAATTCGCTATGATGGAATACGTACCCTAATTCTATCCAGTCGGTGTACTCTAGAAATGAAATTCGAACCAATAACATTAATTTCAGCTGTTTTGTACTATTTTATACTATAATATGTAGGTAATTCCATATTGCGTGTTCCATTTATTCGGTATAGTCTCGATTACGTTTCAGAACACTCCAGAACTAAATAGAATTGGATGGAAATCGATATTCAAATTACAGAGTAGGTCTTTATCTAAGTAGGTAATTGGTGTGCTGCAAAAGTTTGTTACATCCAGATGGGATTGGTAGGGACACCATATAGTAACGGTGTTAATTACTATGATATGATTTGCACCTGCTTGCGATTATAATTTGGTCTAGTATAAGATACACATACGCAGTAAATTCACCTAACTAATACAGGTAGTTAAGTATTGTGGAGGATTGAAGATTACAAATTAGTAGCTAAATCTGATTTATAATTTTCCATGGCCATGGTCAAGGTCGGAATAACTTAGATTCACTCCTTGATTGGTATGAATAAACTAAAGCAACCGTTGTCGGACATAAGAATATATTGCCAGCTCATTAATTTTGTAACATTTTGACGGTCTCGGTGGTATTGCGGTTTAGCACACCGCCTTACTTCCAATGGACGCGGGTTCGATTCCTCGCACGGCAGAAACATTTGTCTTCATGAGTATGATTGTTTGTATCGCTCTGCTCTTCTATGTATGTATTTACACAGATATCCAGTAGTAACACTAGCTATGGCTAGCTTAACTTAGGTCTATATGGTGCTGTGTAAATTGTCTAGGGTTATTTATAATATATTTATTATTTATTAAATTCAAGAATCTCAAAATTGATCGTCCCTGAAAATGTTAACAACATTTATTCATACAAGTAACCTGTCACATGGTTAGACATATTTTTCTAGTAATAAATATAGCCTCAGGGAATGTAGAGTTATAATATTGAAATTGTTTTTGAATCAGTAGTCATTTAGAAGTTTATCAATACAGACACTAATATACACATATATACAAAACTACATATCATTCTTGATCCACTTTATATTTGTGAATGTATACGTATATTTTTTAAGCTTTAGGAAAAGTTATTTAGACTCCTTGTCCTCGCTATTTAATACGGGTGACGAGACATTCCTGAAAGAATTTGTTAATATTGTCAGTAGTAATAATATAAATAGCTACAGTAGAAGAAAAGAAGGCTCGGACGATGACTGCAAAGGTAACGCAAAGAATTGGTCTTACGCCGAATGTACAAGTACATGTATAATTTATTACCATAATAGTCAAATTTTTGAATTTTAGTGCAATTACAAGGCTAGATTATCAACACGAAAATTATTATAACCATCATTCCTTACACTGCGGGGATCTAAATTAGACTTCTAATGCAATGTACTTTTGTTTATCTTACAAATTGATATCAAATAGATTTTTTTAAGATATATTTCTACGACACAGAATTATCTACCTATCAAGATGTTAGTGAAACAAAGTCGTTGACGTCGACCTACGTCAGTTTGTTTGTATTTTTCTATCTACCTTTAGTAATCTGTAATCACATGTGTATACTGTTTGTGGATCACTACCACTATTTTTAATAATAATAATATGTATAACCTATTATAGTAGTAGAATCCAATGTATAAGTCTGTCCGTAAACAAAATATATTTTTGATATTTACTTATTTATCATGAATCCATTAGGGTTGTAATTAGTATAAACGCAACCGACAGATAATTCTTGGAGTTTATCAAAATAGATCATTAATGTGTCTAATCTAAAACCCTAAAACACATAGTTTAAACTAGTGTTTCTCTAACCAGGGCTAATCAAAAATAAATGCTTTCTTAGTTTGGTATAACTAAGTTTGTGAATGTATAATTTATTTCATCATTTACATCAATTCTATAAATTTTGTTACTAGTTGGAAAGGAGAACATCTTGAGTGGTAAAATGCAGTAGGTATAGTCATAGGTATTAGTTATAACATGCGTTACTCAGGCGTTGCCATTTTAATTTAGGGACGAAAATTTCTTCGCTTGTGATTTACACATTGTTATCCCCTTCTTAACACTATATTATTTTAATTCCATTATGAAGTTAAACTTACTTATTATACCTACTTATATTATAGAAACCCTAAATATAGATGTCGCTTTGTAAACTGGGTAGGTATTTTATGAAAATATCAAATTACCTTTAAACCTTACAGTATTATTTATGTAATATCATGTATTTACTTACAGTTCAAAGTGATATAAAAATTTGATAGTATATTGTAATTATTTATCTACTATTGAGTTCAAGTGAGCAGGGGTGAAAAGGCAGTCAGGCGGACAGCGCAAGCAGTTTGATAATTTTGTAAATATAGGTATTTAAGTCAAGTGTGTAATATTAACTGATTAGAGCAGACCAGTCCACACAAGCAGCACCTGTTCACGAGTATGACGGATGAGCCAGCCATCACTGGGCGCGACCATATTTTAGGGAGCCCAATGACCCGGCCTACCACGCCGCCACAAGTCTGGACATTTTAGTGAGCATGACTACTCAAAACACGTCATAGCTACTCACAATTGCCATCTGATGGTTATAGTATTCACATTTCACATAAGAATGCATGCGGCAATCAATACAAAAACCGCTACGCTTTCATATTTCTAAAATAATTGAATAAAGAAAGCAATGAGATAAACAAATTATAACGTTGTATGCTAATAAACTTATTATTTACTTGATATGTTGTCGTCTATGAATTCATCTATCCTGTAATAGGCTTTCTTAGACAAAAATTGTTTAATATAAGATTTGAATTGCTTCTCTGTCAGATTTAGTGCAGATTCAGGCAGCTTATTATAAAATCTTACGCAATTACCATAGAATGAATTACTGACTTTGTGCAGACGGCATTTAGGTAAAATTAGCTTATTTTTATTGCTAAGTTTCTATTTGTACAGTCTTTAAGTTTTTTAAAACTCTCTAAATTCTTCCGTGTATATATGATATTCTCATAAATGTATTGTGAAGTAACGGTGAGGATATTTGAATCTTTAAAACACTGACGTAATGACTCTCTTGAACCCATACCATAATAGAACGTATGGCTCTCTTTTGTAAAATAAATATAGTATTTATATCGGCTGCTTTACCCCACAGCAGTATGCCATATGACATAATGCTATGGAAATAACTAAAGTATACAAGTTTAGCCGTCGCCACGTGTGTTAATTGCCTAATTCTTCTAATTGCATATGCACCAGAACTGAGTCTATTGGCCAATTTTGAAATATGGAGCCCCCATTGTAATGTCGAGTCCACTGTTATACCTAAAAAAACTGTATCATTAACAAAATTTACTATTTCATCATTAAGCACTAACTGTGTATTTATTGGTCTTTCATTAGGAAGTGTAAATTTTATACACTTTGTTTTGCTGGAATTTAATAACAGATAATTACATGTAAATCAATTTAATATAGCAGACATAACACAATTTACATCGTCTAATTGATTAGTTTGACGTCCAATTTTAAACACTAACGAAGTATCATCCGCAAACAGTACTATATCTGCAATTTTCTCTACCATAAAGGGAAGGTCATTTATGTAAATTAAAAAGAGAAAGGGGCCTAACATTGACCCTTGTGGAACGCCCATCCCAATATTAGTTCCCTCAGATTTTATACCGTCAATATCTACAGTTTGGACCCTATCCTCTAAATAAGTTCTCATTAATTTTAGATCATTATCTTTTATACCATAATGTTCGACCTTGTACAAAAGTGTTTTATGATCCACGCAATCAAAAGCCTTTGATAGGTCACAAAAAACTCCGAGTGCATCCTGTGACTTCTCCCATGATTCGAAAATATGTGTTATTAGCGCTACACCTGCGTCAGTGGTAGACTTGCCGGCGGTGAAACCATATTGTTGACTGTGAAGCAGTCGGTTATCCTTGAAGTATTGTAACATTTGATTTAACACTATCTTTTCAAACACCTTACTTAGAACTGGCAAAATAGATATAGGTCTATAGTTCCCTGGCTCAAATTTATCTCCTGATTTAAATAGTGGGATTAATTTGCTAAATTTCATTAATTGTGGAAAAGTGCCATTATCAATATTTTTATTAAAAATAGTAGCTAGATATGGAGCAACAATATCTATGAAAGAACTAACTACTTTTACAAACATGCCCCAAAGGTCTTCTGTATTTTTTAAATTTAGCTGTTTGAATATTTTTCTGATATGAACGGGGCTAACATGTGAAAATTTAAATCTTAAAGCACAACAACCGATATTAGCCTCTAGTAATATTTTTGCTCGAGATGGAGATGAGTCCAGAGAAGATGTAATGTTAATCGGAATATTAGCAACAAAATCTTCAAAAATATTAACTACATCTTTTCATAGTAATATAATTAGTCAGCAATGTAGGGTACATACTAATGATTAAGTCGGCCTCGATCTCCCGTTACGATAACATGACCTATGAATCACTTTAAGCTTAGTTCTGTGTCTGTGACGCTGAGTTATGGTCCTGAAGCAGTGGTGTATAATACTGATAAAATAATTTTAATTGAATTTTTTCAGAAAGCAGTCGTAAAAAAGTTTTAAATTTCAAACCCATTATTAGCGTTTATTATAATTTATAGTAATATCTGCCGCTTTTTTTGTGGTGACATTCTTTTGGCCTATTGTTATTAGTGCGATAGGTATACGATAATCGAAAGAAGAGATATAGGTTATTCTTTACGTATGTATAAAACGAAACCGCTTTACTTAGATTTTTTAAACTCCCAACGGATTTTATGTACTTTTTAGCAAGTAGAAAGAGTTATTCAAGAGGAAGGTT